CACGTATTGTCGTATGTAAGGATAAGACTGCCCTGTTGCAAAACTCCAATATCCCTCCCACACCCTTCTTTTGCATTTTCGGCCTTCATCCTAACTCACCTATCCTTCTCTCCACCTAAGCCGCCGTCAGACGTCCCGCCAGTTCACTCCTAAACAGCGCCTGTCCAGCCCTCTCAACCTGCCACTTCCCGTACTGATCAAGCTCACTCGTTACCTCAGGAAGCTTGATGACATCCAGCGCCCCCAGCTTATTCCCCTTCGCCAGCGCACAAGCAAGCATCCATGTCCACCCCATCTGAAAGAACGCCCTAGCAGCAATGTCCGCGCGCCCGCCAAGCGACTGCCAAACCGGCGCATGCATGTACACCGCCTCGAGATTGATTGCACTTGCTAGCAGAGGGAAAACAGAATGTAGCGGCATGCCCTGCACATGCAGCGCGCCGCGAAACGTCTTCGGGTTAGAGGTCACGCTCGTCAAGCCCAGTTTACGCATGAGAGAAAGGCGGTGCTGGAAGTGGCATAGGAAAGCGTAGAGATCGGGCACTCCTTCGAAGTTGAACAAGTTGGCGCTGTAGAAGATTGGGGAGGATTCGGCGTTGATTTGCCGATTGGCGAGAAAGATGTTGACGCCGAGGTCGAAGTTGGATATGCAAGGCTTGTAGGAGTTGCTGGCAAGTGTGATACTGCCTTTGCTCTGGCCGGGGATGTCGTCGCGATCAGGTGCACCAGGGCGGGCGCGGGAGAGTCGAGTGACGATGCTGTGGCCGTCACGGCTGGAAACCGGTGGCTTGGAAGCGGATGGCGTAGGCGTTATCGACTAGGAGGTGATGGTAGATCATGTTGCGGATTTCTGCAGGAAGTCTCGAGGAGTGGGAAGATGGACTCGTTGAACACTGAGACGAGTGGACGCTTCTCGAGTTCGGCCTTCTTTTGCTTCTGCATCTTGATCTCCTCTCTCTTCGCCTTGTTCACCTTTTCCACTGCCTCTTGCCTCTTTTCCCTCGCCTTTTCCGCCGCCTCTTGCCTCGCCTTCTGCCTTAACTGTGCTTGCGAAAGAGGCTTGGTTGTTAGTTGACGTCTACCTATTGCTGCTTTCTTGTGACACTTACTGGATTGACCCACGAATAACCTCTTATCCTATACCTTACCATTGCGTATTGTATAGATATTGATGTCAGCGGTGGAGAAACGATTGCCGTAGGTCGGTGGGAGTACAAATAGGTAGAAGCAAGCTAAAAGTGGCGCTAGTCGTAACACTGTTGCCTGAGAAGGTAAGAGCGTAGTTAGCTTGCACGAGGCTGAAAGAGCTGCAATTAGGCTCGAGGTAAAGCTTGTATAGGAAAAAGAGACGTGCAGGTGAGCTCACTGGCACAGCATCGCGTCAAGAGCCATTTACACTCCAGTAAAGTAAGCACTGTAAGCCTGGGAGTAGTGCAACATATCAAACTATAGAGCACTTACCTATGTATCATGACTGAGACTTGCTGTGGGGGTACCGCGCGAGGACTTGTACCACGGCGACACCTGGGAAGTTGCGATGCGAGCTGATATCAACGTCTTCTCATGCATATGACTGAGCCCTGCAGGGTTCCGCGAAATTCGCATACCAGCTACTCGATACTATAGGATCTAAACTCATTCCCACTTGAGGCGGTCAATCATCATTCGGATATGCTCCGACCCCAACGCATGACAACTCTTCTTCGCACCCTCAGGCGTTTGTTTCCCAAACATGTGTGCTCTCTCCACACAGTTCATTTCCGCATCTTCATGCCATCTCTGTTGTCTATCCTCCGCCTCTTTGATCAGCTGCAGTAGAGGGCGAGGATTGCTTCCGTTCCCATACACCTCAGTCTTTAGCGCCATCTTGGCTATCCGCTTGTAATCCTGAGCACCAATCTCGATGTCGAAACCCAGTGGGCAGTCAAGGGTGCCTGTGTGGAGGCGCTGTAATGCGGCACTGTTGTCTCCGATGCGATATGGTTTCTTTTCGCCAGTTTGTTCAAGGCGCTCGGCTTCGGCGTCAATGACTAGGAGCACTTTGTTGAAGCGTTCTACGATTGCTTTACATAGTGCGGCTATGGATGCAACGTTCTGGATCGCACTGAAATTATCCTTGGGGCATTGTGGACAGTGTATTAAATCTGACAACACACCCATGGCTTTGCGTAGGGGTATCACGACCTGGGGAAAATGGAAGGATTGCACAGATTGAAGTTCGCTTATGGTCAGGTACATCGCGGCCAGACATGTACATGGTGCTAATGTTTCCTGGCCGGGTTGGTCGACTATTGGAGCTGGCAAGAAGCTGTCGTCCCATAACGAAGGATCGATAGCAGGGTCCCGTTGGAGACTAGAGACAGTGAGTATGGCAGCGATATAGTTTCCGATGACACCCACTCAATGTTCGAGATAGGTGAAAGACCAGATGCATCCGTGCTCCCCATATGCTGGCTCAATGTATTCGCATCTGCGAAGCCCATATCGTTTACAAAAGAACTAGATTCCTGGAATTGCGGTGGTGTAATAATGCCAAAGTCATTGTAGGTAGACGGGTCATCGATAGTTGTAATAGTGCAGCATGCATTTTGCTGCAGTTTGGTGGCTTCACCAACTTCACCCTCTCTCCTTCTCTTCTTCGGCCTGCCCATCTGCTTCTGTGGCGAGAAGATGCACACCATCTTTTCTCGTTGACATCGTGTACAGTTCGGTTTGTCACCGGAACACTTCAGCTTCCGCGTTCCTGATGTGGATCAGTTGTTGCCGCTTTGGTGGCTGCCTAAAATAGTACTGACGGCATTCGTCGCACGCTGCATGAAGCTTCTCGCTCGATTGTGTTTGCACCATCATCACTTGGTCCAGCAGTAAAAAGGATTGTGGAGGGAGAATAAGACCTAGAGTTGCTTTGTGGCGCTCATCAAGTGCTAGACATCGTTCCTAGGGCCCAGGCGGCATGGTTGCCAAGAACAGAGCGATATGCTGGATGGCCTAAGTCACATGACACCCGACTTCGATCATCCATGGATTCCTCTTCGTCGAATCGCCCCGTGGTTTAATTATACCAACATGAAGGAAGGGTCACCGTTTCTTACTGGGAAAATGAAGAAGAAAGGAAAACGACAGGAAGTATACCTCTCCAGTTGTCTCGTCTTTTTCCTAGGTACTTCTTCACATGCAGGTTGTCTGCGGCTTCGGGAGTTCGCTGCTCGGACCTCGACGATATGCAATACGACGCCGACGGAGAATACCGACAACTCCGACTTACTCTGAGCTCTGAGCGATCCGCGGCCGTGCATGCCTTACAGCGTCCTGGAAGGTGTGGGTGGGGTACATACTTTCACACACGAGATGACGAAGCAACTTTGGGATGGTCCCCCTTAGTGAACACCACGATTCCCATAGACAGACGGAGGTTCATCATCCCGAACAGGATGAGCTTGCGGCAGTGCCCGCCAAGATAAGGATCTGCCAATAATTCCACCCCGGATCGTCTTCGAAGCCACAGCGTACCAAAGTTGCAAGCATGTTGGGGCCGAGCCTCTATCGATAGATTGGCTAGACATCCTGTGATCCAACGCCGCGGGTAACGCGCACGTCTCACAAGTTGCACACCCTCACCGCTTCTGTTTGAAACGCGACGTTGCGCAGTAGCAGGTGAAGAATGTGGTCGTTCTTCGGCTGGGGTTTGCACAGTATCTTGAAGTCGAGGGACTGCGCATCTGCTCAAAAGGGCGGCCCTGTGCTCCGCCCTCTTTTCCCGCTGGAAAAAGAGGCTCGTCTGCCGCGCCAGACTAGTGCTCGTAATCAAGTCCACCGGTTGATGCAGCTGCACGCTAGGGGTATTGTGTTTCGTGCGCGCCCTACCGGTAAGTTCACAAGCTGACGCCTGATTTGGGTGATGTCGGTATCGTGGGATGCGCAGAGCCGCGAGGATTGCGATCCTAAGCCTAGCAGACACATTCGAACGCGCTGTTTCTTACGATACCAATTTCAAGAATGCGCCCGAGTCTTGCACCGTATTGCAGGGAAAAGGCATGCTGCCCGTGAGGGAATATCGGTGCGAAGGCTGATGTTAGCGCTGATGTTGAGTGCGCCAGCATCCCCTCATTGGCCCGTTGCACCTGCACGTTTTTGTGAGTCACTGGTCCCAGGCTTGGCACTCTCGCTTCGTGCGCAGTACAAATCCCCCACATTCCCACCTCGCTGCCTGAATTCTCTCTTTCATCCAACACGCCTCTACACAAATAAACACAAGACAGTCAACAAAATGGCTGCCTTCTAGCTTAACAGCGCCATCCTGGATCCCAGAACAACCACCACTCCAACCATTAACCAACCACCCTCAGAGTCTTCCTTTTTGGAACCTCTGAACTTCAGCACCGCCTCGCGCAGCTCTAGTTCGTCGTCACTTCCCCAGACCGACTTCACGTCGTCCACCACGGCTTTCTCCCAGCAAAAATGGCTTTCTTCACCAGCACCCCAAGCCTCTCGGCACCAATCAACTACGAGTCAACACGCATTCGCGCAGCCCCAACCGGACTTTGTGCTCTACGACCAACCAGCTCAGGTCTCTCCACGGCCTCTGCGAGCACCGAGCGCTCCTCAGCCTGGGCCTACGTTTAACAACGGCCAGCACTTCTACGCAAATTCTGCCCCGTCATCCACTACAGAATTCCAACAGCCTCTGTTACGCCAATACCCTCCGGTACCACTGTTCTCTAGCTCTAGCAACAACATTTCTCAGCAACAAAACAACGTCGCAGCCATGGCAGGTATGGTGTACTCTGCCCACAGCTGTCAGCGTCGGCTCACCTCTGTAGATCTCAACAGCAACAACTCCTTCGATTCGGGCGCGAGCCTGATGCCCGGTTTCCAGGCCGGTGCATTCAACTTGGACCAGGTCTCAGCTTTCACAGCTATCAACGACCACTCGGCTGCCGCCGGGTCCACTCGCACCGTGTCTCCCAAGGACATCTTCGCCGATGCTTTCGGTTCTGCACCCCCCTCTGCCGCGTTTACAAACTTGACTTCCCCCGACATCAACGACTCTCCCTTCCTCAACGACAGCTTCGAGTGCTCGCCCATGTTCCAAAATGAGCCTACGATGGCCAATAACGACTGGTACTCCTTGTTCCCCGAGGAGGAGTCCAAGACGATTGAGCCCAGCTACGGCGCACCTATGTCTCTGCCTTTGGAGCGCACTATCAGCAGCCAGTCTATGGAGCGATCTGGCTCTTCCAGCACTGGCTCTCCGATCGTACTCGACAGCTCGTTCCGCAGGAAGTCGTCTGTTACAAACTCTCCTGCCACCAACGGCATCAGCAAGTCTCGTCGTCGAAAGGGCCCTCTCCCTGCCATTTCTGTCGACCCGAGCGACAAGATCGCCTTGAAGCGAGCCCGCAACACTCTTGCGGCTCGTGAGTCTCGGCAGAGGAAGTTTGACCACGTCTCTGAGCTCGAGAAGCGCAACTCCGATCTCGAGGCGGAGATCGAGAAGTGGAAGAGCATTGCTATTGCTCATGGTTACAGCGGATCCTCGTGAATCCCCTCGTACTTCGATTATGGTCCCCTGTGGTCATAAGGAGCTGGTGAAGAAACCAGCCTCGCCTTATCGGCAAAAGTTTTCCTCTCTTTGATGTTCATGTTACATCTCCTTGTACTGCTCACCTGTCCTTGATTGGATGAAGGTGTTGTTATTGCGCGCACTCGACTTTATTGTTTTTCTGGGTGTGTAGTCTCCCTTTTGGTTGATGGACTCCTCCTGATGCGTTTTAATGCGTTGTCGATGGGTTTTGCGCGATCGTTGATCTGTCTGATGTTCTGATGCGGTGATATTGATTAGTTTCAAGCTGAAGTTGGCGAGATAGTCTCCTTATATATGCCTGATTGCGCAGTTCATGACTCCATTGCATTGTGACTCTTGTGCCTGCTTTACAATTTGCCTCACTCGAAGGTTGACTGGTTCAACCGGCTTTGACTGGTGATGGCTCATGGTGTGTCACTGCGTAGTTGGTCGTCCCAGATTAGCAGTATGCAGACGCCTAAGTGTCACAATCGCCCCTGAATGCTTGTGACTCATCATGATAAACTGTGCTGTGTTGCCTTCATGTTGCTTGATGTTGCGATATCTTCTTGCCTTCGACTCTGGTGTTGCCTTCGCGACTGCCTGGACAACTCCGATCTATCCGGCTTCACACGAACAACTCACCTCCATGTGACGCACGGACACAGCGGCGGTACATTAACACATCGGACCGAGTTTGAGTTCATGCGCTACTCGTTATGAGCAGCGAGTTCCGAGGTACGGCTGGGAGCTAAGCCACTGCCTCATCATGCTACGGAGGCCTCAATAATCACAGGCCCGGCAGTTGTCTCTTTTCAAGCTGTGTGTAGATTGTTGTTGCAACGTCTAAGATTGACGTTCGGAGGGATGAGCCGGCGGTAAGTGTGATCTCTTATTTCGGCTTCGATTTCGGCTTCACCTTTGATAGTCAGGTAGCTACATTGCATGCTGACTTGTGAATTCCACCACTAAAACACATCGCCAATTACCATCCCGCACCCTGTCCATTCTAGAAACCGCGGGCTGCACACACCAAAATCTGACCTCAGCGAGCATTGTCGCTACCGATCTCCATTTAATTGTTCCGCGCTAGGAATGCTTGCATAGTTGTGTTAATTAAAGTTTGTAAAGTCAGTAAAGCTTCGCACTCAGGGTCCAAGATGCGTGTATAAGTCCTCCTAGTGTCCAAGTTTATTGTTGATTTCAAGATCATCCTTCAAGTTGTCCAAAAATGTTGTCCGCTCTTCTTACCATCGCGTTGGCGGTGACGGTGAAGTCGCAGGCCGTCTTATCGGTGCGGCAAGCATCTACCATCACTGTAGACCTCAGCAAGACTTTCCAAACTATGGATGGTTTTGGCGTCTGTGAGAACTTCCAGCGCGCGGTGCAGATGAAGAATCTCTCCGAGCCGCTGCAACGCTACGCGCTTGATCTGCTCTGGAACCAAACATCTGGCGCTGGCTTCTCTATCCTTCGTAACGGCATTGGTTCTCAGCCGAACTCAAGCGACAATGCTATGGTAAGTCCAAATCCATGCACGAACTGAAAATAGGATGTCTACTTACTTCGCTTGCCCAATTCTAGATAAGCATACAACCCGAGAACCCAGGAGGCCCAGATGCACCACCAAAGTATCAGTGGGACGGATACGACAACGCTCAAGTATGGCTCAGCCTCGAAGCTAGCAACACTTACGGTGTCAAATCGATCTATGCGAACGCTTGGTCGGCGCCTGGGTACATGAAAACAAACGACAACGAAAGAGCTGGCGGTTACCTGTGCGGAGTAACTGGAACCAATTGCACGAGTGGCGATTGGAGACAGGCTTATGCAAATTACCTCGTACAGTACATCACATACTACAAAGAATCTGGCGTGAAAATAAGCCAGGTCGGCTTCTTGAACGAACCCGATTATGTCGCCACGTATTCAAGCATGCTTAGCGACGGACAACAAGCCGCGGATTTCATCAAGATCCTCAGGCCCACACTCGACAAGGCAGGCTATACAGATGTGAAGATCGCGTGCTGCGACACCACGGGCTGGTCGAAGCAACAGGAACGCATGTCCGGATTAAGCAGCGTGAGCAACCTTCTCGGCACCATCACTTCACAGTAAGTCATCCCTTGATCCACAACGTGGTATCACCACTAAACATCTCACAGCTCCTACTCCTCCCAACCCATCGATCCAATCGACACACCTCACAACGTCTGGCAGACTGAAAACGCCGACCTCTCAGGCCCCTGGGATGCAACCTGGTACCGCAACGACTCTAAAGGCGAAGGCCTCCTCTGGGCCAACAAGATCTCAGACGCCATCACTCTGGGCCATGTGTCTGCATATTTCTACTGGATCGGCGTGCAAGGCGGGCCAACGAATTCCAAACTCGTCCGCATCTCAGATGACAAGACTACCGTGACTCCGAGTAAGCGCTTTTGGGCCTTCGCCAACTGGAGCAGACATGTTCGACCTGGTGCGGTTAGAGTTGGAGCGACTGGTGGACCGAGTGAGGCGAAGGTCACGGCGTTTAAGAACGTGGACGGGAAGATTGCTGTGCAGGTGATTCAGGGTGGAGACAGGTCGGAGGTCGTGACAGTCAAGGTTGATGGGTTTAAGAGTGGAGCTGCGAAGGCTTGGATCACCAATGGCGAGCATGATGTAGATGAGCAGGCTGTTACATTGGCCTCGGATGGAGGGAGTGCGAGTGCGCAGGTACCTGGGAGGAGCATGGTAACTTTTGTGTTGGAGCCTGCGAAGTAGGGGGAAGTTCATCTCCCTGTTGTTTCGAGCTTCTCGAGTTTTCAGATGACACACCATCAGCGCCAGTATCTCACTGTCTGTTCTCGCACATCATGACAGATTTCCACCATTTGGGGCTAGTGACGTTGATAATTTTCAGGATGAATGGGTGGGCACCAACAAAATTCCCGGTACTACTCATAGAGCCCACCACAAAGATCGTGTGAAACAGAATCGATCTTGGCAGGCAAGGGAAACGTACACATGATGTGTGGATGGAGACGATCACGTGACTGATATGCCTATCGATAAGCCATAATGCAGACTTCGCTTACGCTCATACGACTAACTTCACCGAACAATTGAGTCATCCGTGTCGCCTTCCCAAGGCATACGACTGCTGAAGTATCGATTATGCAGTTTCTGACTCCTTCACATGACTGGGACGCAGATTTGCGGGGTACACTGGCCCAATTCGAATGTGGTTGAGGATTTCTCACCGGAAGAGCAACTTTGTACAGCATCCCCTCTCGACATGGACGTAGAATGGAGATCTTTGTGAGTCATTAGGCGTGACACTAGGCCAAAGTTTCGGAAAGTGTAAACAAAAAGTGCAATACGGCTATCGCCCTGCATCATGGCGCAGTCAGTGCCAAGGTGGCTGCTGCCTGCTGTAAGTGGCTTGGTTTACACGACTATAGATATCTCAGGCACGAGTTCAGGTTTCGACAGCCTCGCTCACAGCTCATAAAGCACAATTTATTCCTGGTTTCAAGACCCTCTGCACCACAGGGCTGGGTCAATAACGCCATTACTCAATTGCACTTCCCAGACGAAGACCATCAACTCGAACTAAGAGCTTATTTAACTATATTCCATCAAGCCTGCCACTCGGTCACATTCCTTCGATATGTCAGGTAGTGTGTTCAGCCAGACGCTACAGACGATCACTACTACCAAACTCGAAGAGCTCGCTCAACAGCGTATTGCCTTTGACAAGGATTATGCGGCACTCATTGTTGCTGCGAAAGCAGAGCAAGATCCACTCAAACGCCTCATATCTTTAGCAGATGCGACGAAGTCGTGTCTCGGCATCAAGACTAGCAATTGTAAGAGCAAGGATGGTCGGCCTGGTCGCATCATCACCGGTGGAACACGGAACTCCCGCCTTGAGACGGATCTGAAGAATCTCGATCGCTTTGTCGAACAGGCCAAATTTGACCCTTCCGTATCAGTAAAGGTGCTGGAAAACTGGGAGAAGACCTTATTCCAGTACCTTTCTATCCAGGCTAGCAAGTTTCAGTATGCAGACCTCTACGGCAAGCTGGTGACAGAGTGGCTTTCGTCCGAGAAGCCATCACAGAGCGACGGCGATGTCGAAATGAAGGAGAGCTTCGAAGAGCTACCTGGCGCCAAGAAGCTAGCTGCTCGATCACAGTGGGAGAGGAGCGTCTTCGAGCCAGCTGTTGTCGATGTCGACGCACTGAAGGCCTACCTTCAACAGCTCTTCATTACGGACAAAAAGGCAGCCGCATCTGTCATCGAGGAGTTGCGCAACAAAGTCGAAGACTTTGAGAACGACCTTGCTAGTCCTGGCCAGTTCAACGTACGTACTCTGCGTTGGGTCATTCAGGGGTTACAGGCTTCGGACCTTTTGCCCAACGAGAAGCGGGAAGTACTGAAGGACTTCCTGAGTAACGACGTCATCTTAATAGAGGTTGGAGATGTGCTTTCCATGCGCTTGTCAGCCCTTGATCGCTGGACATGGGGCGATCACGTCCCGTTGGAGCAGCGACGCAAGCTGAACGGATCTTACAGCATTCATATGCACGAAGATGTACTGCAAGCCATTTTCCTTCACTATATTGGTGTGAAGTGGTCGGTGTTCTTCAGAAACGCTTTTCTGAGCATACGCAACGATAATGCTTGGAAGGGCAGCAAAACCGACGTCACAAAGAAAGACATTGTACGCCGTCAGTACTTTATGGGTCCGACCTGGACTTCGACGCATAAGACTCTCGAAGGCACACGTGACGCAACTCAAAAGAACCGCTACTTTGTACATCAGCTTTTGGACTTCGAAACTCAAGCTGTCGAAGTCAATGAAGGCGAAGAAGAAGCAGAGTATGGCGATCATGTGAACTATCCGCCAGACGCCAAGCGACAAAAGCGAACCGTCCAGCGATCTCTTCAGTCGGCAAGGAAACAGACGGCTAATTATATGAATCTTACGCAGTCTACAAGAGCCGAGTTAGCGGCCGCAGGGCTTTCTGGACGTCTCCAACAGCCCGCTGAACCAGATGACAGTGACGATGGGGATACGGGCTTTGGACTTTTCGACGACAACTCAACCCCACCCCCTCGTGGACCAAAGAAACCGATTGAGGCTAAGCAAGATCTCCTTCATCTGTTGTCGACGGAAATCATCCTCAATACTCGTCTCCATGGTGAGCTTAGCTGCTTCCGCACCGTTTTTGAGTCTTGGAACCCGCTTCTGCCGCACCAGACTGTTCGTCAGGTCCTTGAATTCTTCGGCGTCTCTGACAAATGGCGCTCCTTCTTCACCAAATTCTTAGAGGCGCCACTCAAGTTCATGGACGACGGACCAACCGCCGAGACGCGTTTGCGCCGTCGTGGTGCCCCTGGCTCGCATACCTTGAGCGAAGTGTTGGGCGAGTGTGTGTTATTCTGCCTGGACTTCTCCATCAACCAAGCCACCGATGGCGCTCTCAGTCACCGTCTGTACGACGACATCTGGTTCTGGAATAGGGACTACGACAAGTGGCGTCAAGGCATGGGACGAGGTCACACACTTCGTGGACATCATGGGCGTCGAGCTTAACGAGAAGAAAAACCGGCAGCGTCCGCGTCGCACACGAGCAAGACCCTCACCATCGACGAGCGTCTCCCCGAAGACCAGATCCGCTGGGGTTTCCTCTATCTCGACCCGAGCACGGGACGCTTCGAAATCGACCAGAAAATGGTCGACAGCCACGTCGAAGAACTACGTACCCAACTCCAAGGCAAATCCAAGAGCGTCATCGACTGGATCCAGACCTGGAATTCCTACGCCGCCACCCTTCTTCAGCTCCAATCTTTGGCAAGCACCAGCCAACTGCTTTGGCCGCGAGCACGTGGACAAAATGCTCGCCACGCACCGCCATATCCAGGAATCTGTCTTCTCTGGTGGGAATGTGGTGCAGCATCTCAAAACACATGATCTCCTCGCGCTTCGATGTGCACGACATACCCGACGGCTTCCTCTTCTTCCCCGTCGAACTCGGCGGCCTGGATCTCAAATCCCCCTTTGTCAACCTCCTGCAGCTGCGCGACAGCGTCAGGGAAAATCCGCACGACCTGCTCGACGAGTTCCTCGAGAAGGAGGCGGATGACTATGTCGCGCTCAAGTCGCTCTTCGACAAAGGCAGGGTTAAGCACGAAGTCGACCGCGAGGACATGTCTCTGCTCCCAACGGATACAGAAACCTTCATCTCCCAGTCTGAGTTCGCGCGCTGGCGAGAGGCGTTTGCGTCGACTGGCCAGGCAAACATTCGCGATACGTTCGCTGAGCTCCTGCATCGGCCGGCTGAGCAACATGTGGATATCTCGGTGCAGGTGTCGCAGGCGATTAGCCAGCTGCAGGGCCAGGGAAATCTACGCGGCATTACTGCAAGGTGGAGCGGGATGGATGCGTATTGGAAATGGATTGCGCAGATGTATGGGGGCGAGATGGTGGAGCGATTTGGGGGGTTGAATGTGGTTGATCCGGGGCTGTTGCCGATTGGGATGGTAGGTTTTTTTAGGGCAAGGAGGACGAAGTGGCAGGGTTAGATGGAGGTGTATGAGTTTCTTTGTTTCTTTTGTTTGGGAAGCATTGGGTATAGGAAAGAGTTGGGAATTGGATACTAAAATTCCAAAAAATGGAAAGGGCGGGAGATAACGCAACGATTATGATCAATGAAGATATGTCTTTTCGAATCTACTCTCATCCTTCGCATGCATATTAACAAACTCAAAGCTCACCACCATCCCAAACGCCCATTGCACATTACCCTAGTGTCCCAAAATGCAACAGAAGCAGTACCACCCACAATACAAACGATGCGCCAAATACATGTGCCCCCTTATGTTCAATCTAACGAAGAAAAAGGGGAAATTTGTCTTAGCCAAAACGCCATGCTGTAAAGAAAAGACAAGAACATCCCTCCCTATTAAAAACTAACATACCCCGTATCCTCACCCCCGGCATCATCCATCCACCCGGGCCCAACATCACCCAACCCAGGCCCATGATGATTCCGGGATGCCATGCCTTCACCCTCGCCACGCTCAACCCACTCTTCATTGATATCTTTCCAAATGCGCTGGAAATAGAGTCTCAGGGAGCGCAGACCGCGGAGATAGCCCCTATCGATGCCGTCCGGGTCTTTGGGCGGGCAGGGCAGATCGTCAGGCAGCGGATCTTCCGCAGTAACGCAGTTTGCAAAGTCGACTATTTTGAGCTTGATCTCCGGGAATTTGGGTTTCGCTGGTGCAGCGGAATCGTAGCCGTTGGTATTGTCTTTGGCCTCTGTGTCGCCGCGGTCATAGAGCATGAGCAGACTGCTCGCATACAATCTGTAGCCAGGGAGTTTCTTGACCATGCGTTCGAGCTGGCTGATCTTCTCGAGGATAACTGGTATGTGCTTTGTAGCTGCCTTGTGGCCCGTGCCGTCCCAGAAGAACTTTTTCAGGGCGTCTTGGAACTCCTTGCCGGCTTTGAGGTCGCGGCCGTAGTATTTGTCTTCGAAGACGTAGCTTTGGGTCTTGACGTTCCATATTTGCATGCCGCAGACGCGTACGCCGAGTTCTCGGCTGGTGGTCATCTGGCACTTGCGTCTCTGCGAACGTTGCTTCTTCCCATCTGCTTCGATGCCGTACTGTCGAGTGCCCATCTTTAGATCCAACACACATGGCTTCGACATACCTGCCGTAAGGTCTTCAAGAAGGATGAAGTGTTGTACACGTTCATCCGGTTGCAGCTGAGCTTGCTCGGGATTTGAGGGCGATCCATTAGTAGTTGCATTACTCGATTCGTTGGGGGTGACAGGGGCTGGCAGCATCGTTCCTTCTTTTGGTCCGTCCGCTCCTCTCGTGCTTGGCGAATCCATCGTTTCAGACCTTTGGCCATTCTTTGTACCATTGGCTTGAGCTGGTTTCTTTCGGTCCTCGTCCATAGCGAAAACCTCTTCTTCACGATCGCCGCCATATCCGTCCTCTTCATAGTACTCAAGGTTGTGTCTATGCGCACAATCTATACCGAGTGGTCTCCTGACAAGTCCACTACCAGAATGACGGCGCCTGGAGGTAGTATTGGTAGGCGGCATGAGCTTCTCTGTAGTTCTCTGGCTCGGCTTCTCGCCGAGATCGTCTGAAATTGGTGTATTGAGTTCAATAGACGCATGTCGGCGCGCCTCAGACCTTAGTACCTGCTTGCGCGTTGATTCCTCCGCAATTCCAGTTTGCAAGGCTGCAACGTCGGTGCTATTCCTTCTAGGATTTGGAGCAGACCCTACGGCGCTCTGCTGTGACTCCGCGCCGAGCCTGCGCGCTGATATACCATGGTGGCTGTGATGGCGGTGGCGATGATGTATCGTAGGTGGTGCAAAAACTTGGCGCAATACCTCCTCTTGTAGTTTCCTGTTGATTGTCGTCACACCCCAGCTACTACTGTGATGATGCATGGGAGGACGCGTGTCACTGGGAGTTGACAGATCGTACTCACTCTGATTACGTCGATGATGCGGCGGTGAGTAGTTTCGCGAATTCATCCATGGATCCGGCGTAGCTGATCGCGGCGGCACCCGGAAAAGATTATCTGGTATTATGTGCCGATTGTTCTCAAATATGACCTGTGGAACCGGCATGATTTGCTGCTTGTGACTGACCATGCGTTGTTGATCCTGTGCTTGTGCTGGTTGGTCCGCAGTTGCGGATTCCTGCTTTAAGCCAGGCTCCTTTTGTGATGCGGATACAGAAGTGGCAGCATCGCCTGTTCCTTTATCTTTAGGTTTCTTCTTCTTGGGTGCCTTTCGATAAGTAACGTTCAATACACCGATGTACCTTAATGAGAGCGCAATGTTAGCAGGGTTCCATAACTCAAAAGTGTCCACCGAAATCTTTGCTGACGTCTCAGCCTCACACGACTAGAGCAGAGGAAGGGGGGTCCGTACCTTGGTAAAAATTCCAGCAACTCCGGATGATGCTGTTCCACCGTTTCATAGAACTCGTTCTCCCTGTTGTTCAGCTGCTTGCAAACAGCCCTTTTGGAGAAGCGATAAACCGTCGAATGGCCACCGACTTGGTGATCATACGGCTTCAACTCTACGGCATCAACGGGCGCTTCCGGCTGAGGAGGTGGAGTAGGTACAACTTTTACCTCCTTCGCGTATGTTGTCGCAGTGGGCGTAGTGCCTAGATCATCAGTGACACTAGACTCATAGCCAAGTAGCGAGTGCGTAGACTCAGCAAGCGATTCCGACTCAGATTCAGCTGAAAGCGGCTCGATTTCTGTGGCATTCAGTGGATCCTCGTCTTCATGCCGCACCGAAGCCGTCGTGGAAATATCACCATAGAGGCATTGATTTGTATCTTTGGACTGCAGAGAAATTTCTACCTCTTGCGGGGTTCGAGGAGCATCCCCTTCAGTACGACCTCCAGATCCTTTCCCTGCATTGAACGAAGACTTCTCCTCATTACCTTCTGTCTCTGCGTTACGATCATGTACTTCGTCAGAAGTCTGATCGGCATTTTTAAGTCGCCGATGGGGGAAGTAAAGTGCGGATGAGATTTGTTCCCGTTCCGAGTCGTCTTCCTCTTCTTCAGACACAGGCGATGGCTCAGCATTGGTTGCACCATTTGCCTGGAAGTAATCGGCCGGTTCCTTATACTCATGCCTAACTGATGTAGTGGACGCATGCGCATGGAACTTTTCTGCAGCCGAAGTAGGCAGGCTTCGAGAAAATGAGGACCCCGGTTGAGCGCCTGGTGTGAGATTGGCGATGGCCCTGATCTCGTCCAGTACATAATTCGGAAGCGGTCGCTTGTATACCGTGTCTTCGAATGCTTGCTGGGTGGCCTTGTGATCTGATAGAACGCTAGGTCCATTCTCACTGCGCGGAGTAGGCACTTTTTCGAAATACTGCTCCACTGAGTCGTTCGCGGGTGATTGTACCATTGATGACGGCCGCGACATGCGCTGCAGCTGCTCAGTCAGAGAGCTGACCCCATTGGTCCCAGATCTGGCGTGTTCATCCTCCTGAGGCACAGGGAGCTTCTTGTCTGTCTGTCGCCGCTCCTTCGCGCGCGCATCTCGCTTCAGCAGCTCATCACTGCCATCGCCATCTTTGAACACCCGGAGAAAGTGACTTGCTTTCCGACTTCGGGACGAAACGGGCTGATCGATGTTCGCCAGAGTGACGTCAATTTTCTTCTCGATGCAATTGTCCTTTTTGGAGGCGTCTGGCGCACCAGTGCCCTTGAAAGAAAGAGGCTGCCCTCCGCGCCATGCTATGTTCCGCTGCCGCTCCTCACTGTCCACGAGTCTCTCGTCAAGCGCCGATTGTACGTTTGGAAGGTAGGGGGTGACGGGTCGCTGTACGGGAGAATCGACCGGGCTCATGAACGGCGGAGGACTGTGTCTCACACCATCCAATCCCATGCCGACTGCAATGGGCTTCTGCGAATTGAAATGAGTGGCTAGGAGCGCGTGGTGATCGTCCAGGGCGACGGGCGGGTACGTCGATTGCTTCCTGCGGAAGACGGGTGCATCAATCAGGCGTCGCTGAGGCGGCACGGGCGCAGCCATATCTGATAAGCTGTGTTCTGGGGCATCGTCGTCGTCGGCGGCTGGCAGGTGTGCGCTGGTCTGCGGGGAAGATGCGGGCGTGTCGGCCACTAGATAGGTAGTAGCGAAGATGCTGTCCCTCTCTGAAAGCTGCGGGTGGTCGACTGAAGACTTCCACAGCGTGCTCTTCTCCTGGAAGATCGGCGCTGTTTTAGAGCGGCCGGTCTGCGCGAGCGTCCTTGGGGTCACCGCTTCCTCGTCGGGAGACGGTATGGGCGCTCCATGGGCAGGGCTAGGCGGCGTCCTTGACCTCACCGATGCGGGGTGGGCGTCTCCTTGGGTGTCCGGCTGCTGCGACATGGGGTCGACATTGGGCAGGCCGTCTCGGAGGCGTCCTGCTGGAAGCGTGGCGGATTGTCTGGCAGATATTGCCGGGTGGGCGCCAGGAACAGCGGCCAGGATGCGGTTGTTTGGGCGCGGCGGAAGCACCAGCTTAGCGTGGAGCGAAAGACGGCGCCGGTGGATAGGCAATGTGCAGTGAACGTTGCTGGTCGTGAATCGTGATCGGGGCAGCGAGTGAGGATTGCGGAAGGCCCACGTTCCCGCGATGTATGGACGGGCGCCGGCCCAGGGAGCACAGAGATATCAATTGGGCAAGCGAGAGGATGACGTACTTTTTGCGCCGAGACAAAGCGCTGCAGTGACCCTCAACAGCGCAAATGCTGTGATAATCGCAGAAATGATGTTTTGTTTACCAAGTCGCTACTAAACGAGGCTGCATTTGCTTTTTTCTTCTTCTGCCTCAGGCACGTGCTGCTGTCGCGGACGCGCTGGCGGGCGTTCTCCGTATCATGTGGTCTTGGGGAAGGCGCGATGTCGGATATTCTCCATGGTCCATGACACGGCAATTGCAGCCGGCCAACGACACATGTTCTCACCATAGGCCAGCAACTTTATCAGCGCGCATCTCTAGCATTGACCTCTACCAAGCAATCTACTGACACAGCGTCGCCAGGGCAGTCGGACGCTATACAAGCTAACCGTCTCCCCGTCCATCTTCCGCGCTCCCACCGCCGCGCAAGCCCCGTATCCAAACTTTGCAATGACCGCCATGAGGGCTATCCCAGGCCGCAAACATTCCTTTCATCGGCTCGCTCGTTGCACAAAGGAGTCCCTGTTGTCGGATGCTCGGATGCAAGCTCATGTAGCCGCAAGACGTTATCGTCCAATCGCTGCAGAACGTGGCCTCTCACCGCCGCGCTGCAACACGTTTCAAGTACAGCTGCACGACAGTAAATCTACTGATACCGGATTGTGCCAAGTTGTCCAAATAATCGTTAGGATAATTAGGAGAAGAAAGCGTGCGCTGTTATGCCAGCAGAGCATGGAGATAGGCTGATGCAAGTTACGCATTTGACCGCATTGGCATCCTTGATCAAAGCTGTAGTGACAAGACTCAGGGGTCGTTCGGATTACGCAAGAGACGGTCTGCGAAGCGGAATGACCCAGTAGACCCGTAATCGTCCAGCGAGGTGCGGAAGTCAAGTTGTGGAAGTTCGACATCACCGACGGATCGTTTCTTGTCACCCTTGTATGAGTGCTGTGAATTCTGTCGCGCCTTCTCAAAACTAAGCTTCCACGGGCTTGGTGCGACATTCTTCTCCTTTAGTGGTATTCGGTCCGAGTAGGATGGACTTTGCTGAGAGGCATAGGAAGTGTGCTCATCTGGATCACTGAAAGACGTCAGAGACATCCTCAGGTTGCTATGTTGAGGCGCATCTGACTTCTTCTTGATTGTGCTGAAGGCGAATGGCGAAGCTGCAGCAAACAGATCTTGTGTACTGAGAGGTGGCCCCCGAGGCACGCTGGCCAACGGATGTGCCTGCTCTAGCTGCGGTCTGAAGACCGAGAGAGGAGTTATGGCAGGACTGAGCTCGGGCAAAATCTGCCACGGGGTCTCCTCATCTGGCTGTGACCATGGCCGAGGGGTCTCGGAAGACGATGTTGGGAATGTGCTTTCTTGGAATTCCCGTTGCGCAAGCAGCATCGCAGCCTGTGTTGACATGGCCGACTGGCGACTAGAGGTATTGGACACGAGGCTCTCCTGCTCTTGAGCCAGCCCATCAGGCTCGCTTCTACTCATCGGCTTTTCTGGCTGGAGCACATCTTCGACTGCGGTCGGTAGTGCTCCAAGTGTCTTCCCGCCAACGGTATCACTTTTCTGCGAACTTGGCTTACTCGGTATTGCAATGTCCTTGCCGGCAGGAGATGAATTGAAGTTGACTGCTCGTGGTTTCGACCTTGGAGCATTGCTGATGTTCCACTTCGTGCTTCCAACCTTTTTGTAAACAAACCCAGTTGAAGACTCTGGCATTAGTGGAGTGGGATGACCATTCTCAGACTGCTTAGGAGCTGCGGTCTCGTCGAGACCCACCTGCTCTATTCGCTTCGACTGACTGTTAGATGACTGGGATGCTGAATGCACATCGACAAGCCGTTCAGCAGATCGTTGTATGGCTTCCCGGTTTAGCCCTCGGTTCGGGTGATCCACCAAGGGCAGCTTCTGAGAAGTGATTGGCGTGAGTGTTGGTATGGTCTCAGCAGCAGAATGAATCTGGGCGGGCTGTATCTCGGATGGTAGACTAGGCGTCTGTTGTAAGATTGTAGGCCCGGGAACGATTGCGTGCGCAGGAGAAGATATAACCATAGAGGCAGAGGCACTCGAGTGTAGGTTCTCCGGCGCAGCTGCTTTGGAAGCAGGGAGACGAAGACCGACAGGGGCTTTAGGTACGGCAAGTTGGAGCGTCTTGCGTCTATCTGGTTGTGCACGGTTTCCCCGTGTGTGTGTTGGTGAGAGATCCGTGCCAGTTCTAGTGGAAGTCCTCATGTCAACCCTTCTTTGAGACTCGGGACGTCGTAGCCAGAATGGGTCAGTTAGCGGCGATTGCTGTCTGACGCATCGCTCCGTATCTACACTGAAGAACTCGGTCGCACTAGATGTGTCCTGGTCTGGAGAAGGGGCCGTGGCAGGCGGAACTTCGATGACGTCGAGTGTATGGCTTTCTTCATACTGCTCCGTGTGGCTATGTATGGCCCTGGACGTCTCTGGCGAAGCAACAGCTTGTTCTTCCGAGGCCTTTTTGCCTGCGCTCCTCGTGCGCCTCTCCGTCTCTGTCGGCTTATTCTTTCTCGGCCCTGCCTTCCCACGTACGGCATTCCCGTCACTGCTTGTACTGTTCTCCTTATTCAACACTCTCCGCTTGGCTTTCTTCTCTTTTGCCCAAGGGTTCTTCCAGCCATCGTTGAAGGGACCTCGCAGGCTTGCTGTCAGGATCGTAGGCAGCCTCCCTTTTATGTATTGTGCCGCAATCTTCTCGACTCTCTGTCGCTTGGCAGCCTGCTCTTGCGAGTTTCTGTACTCGTGTGGTATGTCCTCGATCATGTCTGCGGGGTCCAGATAGAAGTCGTCATGGTCGAGCCCTCGCTTCAGGTGAGGATGCAGCGTCGAGCGCATGCTGCCGGCTCTTCCCCAGTCCATGCCCGTCCAAAGTGAGTTAGGATATTCGTGTGTTCGAGGAGGGTGCCGGATATGGCCGCAATGTAGGCGCTGCTCGGTAGGAATATGTGGAGGGGTCTGCGGTCGTGTGCATGTTCGGTTGCTCGAGGTAATCGTGTCGTGGAGTTCAGAAAGCGGGAGTATCGCCGGTAGCAGGTCCTGTCACTTCGTCTCCAGTTCAACGGGCGTCGTATGTCGCGTAGCACAACTAAGGTTCGACTCTCCAAGCCTTCATGTCATGATGTTCGACGGCGCAAGCTGTCGGAAGCGGGCCGTAGGTGGTTGCCCTGGGCAACCATCGGGCGATTTTCGTAGACGCGCGGGGGCCCAATCCCCAGGCGCTTGTTCCATGATAGCCCGGATCCTTGCATATTGATATTGTCGAAATACCGCCAGCTCTGCGACGCGTTGTCCGCCTCACCTCTCGCCATTGAGGAGTTCTCGACCCTGCAGCATGCCGAGTACGCAGTAACAGCAAACCGCCCGACGCGTTTCCGCATCAAAGCAGTTCTCCACAACAACTTCGACGACTCCACGCGATTACGACTGCAGCACCGCCATGGCCAACACAACACAGCCGTGGCTCGAGGACCTCTCGGAGGAATGGATACCGCAGGGCACGCCGCAGGCAATTGCGCGCGATCCAGGCAGCGCTGCATCTACACAGACGTCACAGAGTGTACCACCGAAACCACGAAGCCGCCTTCCCCGCATGAGGCAGTCGTCGGGCTCGCTCTCTGAGATCCAAGTCGACGCAAAAGGCCTGCACCCGCCGAAGAGAAGGAGCGCATTGGCCGAGCGCAGCCTCAGCGACAACAACATCGCCCCGTCATCGCCCGAGGTTTCATACATGGCAGCCTCGCAGTCGGCCTCATTTTCTCCCTCGTCGTTGGCGCAGAGCTCGATACTGTACGGCACCGTTGCGCACAATACGGTCGCGAAGTCGCCCGTGAAGGAGACAGGAGGTCACGGAACGCCAGAATGGAGGCGCAGGCTGGTGAAGGGCGAGCTGGGCTACGGCGATCAGACTGATCTATTCGGCAACACAGGCCTGCAGAACATCTTCCAGAAGCCCGCTGGAAGCCCTGTCGAGGAGCCACAACAGGCAAAGGGCAAATTGGGCCTCTTGAAGGGACTGGGCGCGATATCTTCCAGCCCCCCGCCGTGGCCAGCACGACAACAGAAGAAGGATGAAGATACGCACGCGGAAGAAGTCGCTGAACCCGAGCCGCACAACACACACAAGAACGACTCAGTACCAGACGAATCGGATTTGTCCCTCATTCGTGCGCCGCACACTGCCACACAGAGTGCGACGCGAACCGTCAGCGGTCAGATTGAGTTCGAGAACGAAGGCTTCAGCCCGGTCTACCTCACGACAAACCTGAAGGTTGGGCAGCCTCCTGCCCCAACACCGAACTTCAGAGGCTCCGAACTTGCGAACCGACTGCGCCAGATCGGGTCACCACCACAAGCCCATTACCAATCCATTACTGAGGTGAGTATCCTCAGCCACAGCCAGGAAGACTCATCGCTTGCACGGCTACAAGACGAATCGTTGCCAGAAGGCCTCCCAGCTGGTACTCCGGACTTGGCAAACGTTGGCCGATATGTAGAACTTCGACGGGGCGGATACTCGCGAGATGGCTCTTTCCGCCATCGTGCGCTCAGCCCTTCACCAGACAAGACGCAATCCTGGGAGGGAACAATTGCACGACCTGCGAAACCACAGCCATCGCGGGACAAAACCAACGATGCTCCTCCACTGGAAGCCTCAAATCCAAAGACACCACATCGACATGGCAATCAGTTCCTGAGCCCGGAGAGGGCCAAGAACTCGGGCAGTCCTTTGAAGCTGTTCGACGCGCACGACACATTTACAAGTAATCGGCTGCAAAGACGACTGAGTCAGCTCGAAATCAAATCTGACAAGACTGTCACCAGCAGTGATCAAGGCACCAGCACCAAAACAGAAACCACGAAGACGGTGCAGAAAACTTCTACGCTCACCTCAGTCGAAGAGGTCAGCATGCAAAGAGTGACGACCGAGCAGGAGCACGCCCATCGTCGAGTGAGCGCTTTCGGCCAAGGGCAGCTGAACGAATATGAGTTTTCCGGTGAATTTTCCGATCAATCCTTCGACGACTTCGATGCAGACAATAGTGCGCCTGATGGATCGCCATCGATGGATGTTGCGCCCCCTGGCAGCCGTCAGCCCTTCAGATTCCATGTCGAAGACTCCCCCGTCTCTCGTAAGCCATCAGAAAGACGAAGACAGGCATCAAGTCAGAGTGGGAGTGTAATCAGGAATGCGGTACGGCCAAAGTTTCAGAGACATCGAAGTACAGCGACGGATGAATCCGAAGAGCAGCTGGAGGTACAGCAAGAGTATACAGAGGGCAAGCGGGGCCCGACATCACCTTTCAAGAACCCAACGCCCAAACGCAGAAGGACAATTCCATCAGCAGGCGATGACGAAGAGCAAGAGGATGTGTTCAGTGATGGAGGTCTCAACAGCGTGCGTGAGTCCCATACAGCTATCCAGTCTATAATCGGACGGAAACGAAAGGATGCACGTCACGACTCTTACAGCAACGTGGCCGACGCCGAAACACTGGCAAGAAGACACATTCTAAGGCCTCGCAACCCTACGCCTAGTCAGCGAAGATTGGACGAACTTCAGACTGAGATCATGGAAGCAACGGAAGCTTTCATCATGTCGTCACCGAAACTCAACTCTATCAAGGAACAACTGGAATCACCTAAAACAACCGACGCCAAAACAGAAGAAGCTCGGGCTGCCGCGATTGCTAGCGAAGTTGCGGCTTTTAGTATGAAGAAGCAGAAGGCTGTGCGCGATGAGAGCCGCAAGCGCTCGGTTACCACGCAGGACTTTTTGGACGAAGCTGTCAAGATAATGAACTTCATCCGCACTAAAGGCCGACCGAGTAGCGGTCTGGGTAGTCTTGAAGAGACTGAGCAAGAGTCAGAGCTCGTGGAGAACACCGAAGTACATTCCTCAAGCTTACTTACCTTCGATCGGCCTCCAAGCAGAGAGGGCCGCACGTCGGCATGGAAAGAGCCAAACAAGCACCAACTGGACCCGAATGTTATGAGTCACCTACGCAAGTATCAGGAGAAGGATACGGACACGTTTCTCAACTCATCGGTGAACTCTCTTCGCTTATCTCGGGTGAGAGGATCTCAAACGCCAGAAGATGAGAGTGTAGTGATTGAGCAGGACGACATCCGCATCACTGACAATCCGAACCGACACAAGAGGGCAGAGCCCACAGACGAGGCTGGCGGATCGCAACCACGGACTAATGGCACTCTACCGTCCACAGGATCCTCCTTCGGCCAGACCATAGTGACAAACGCTTCACGTCGGTCGGACCATGTTGCTACCCTCGCCCCCGAAGCTGTAGCACATCTGATACCCCAAGAAGTCGCCGGCATGACTTTCGATCGCGAGAAGAACATGTGGGTGCGTCAGAAAAGTCCGTCGAAGGAGCACAGGAAGTTCGAGGAGGATCTCACCAACTTGAATGACAGCGAGGAGGACCCTTTTGGAAACATACCAGATCTGACCGTGGACGACACGAACGAGCAGGATGTCGGGATTACTCTGCCTGTCCGTCCAAAGCCCACATCAGAGACTATACTGGAAGACACAGAACAGCCCGTCCTGGAAGAAGAGGAGCGCCCAGTCACTCGGGAGGGTAAAGGCACCATATGCACCGACACGAGCTCTGTGCCATCGAAGATGTCGAATTTCGCGTGGAGCTACCCGAAGACAGAGACCAGAAACACCTCATGGAGTACGCAAGCGCCACGAAAATGGAGTTCCCAGAAGGCGCCACAAAGACAAACGACATATGCTATACCAGAGTCTGACGAAGGCGATGTCGAGCACGAAATCCAGTACTTTGAGGGACGGGGCCATGCGGATACGAAGGTGCAGAATCATCGTGTCCGAGACATAACGATCTCCATAGCCGAACGAGATTTTGCAGACACAGAGCACCGTACCGCCCATCCACCTAAACGCGATCAACCCAATTGGCAAAAGGCGGCGACTCAGAAGCATCTAGGCACTTCAAACACACTTCCTCATGCCCGAGTAAACCGCGCGCCGATGTTCAATGGAGATGGGGATCTGTCCCTCCTCGACGAACTGCCATCCAAAAACTACCGGATGCAACTCTCTATGAGCGTTTCAGCACCCGTCCTTACCCATGGCGACCGCAATACGCTTGCAGTTCCCTCTTCCCCAGCGAAGGGAGACGTCACCTTTATGTTGAGCGATCTACCAGAATTCACTCTCAACCAAATTGATGAATGTGAATTGCCAAATCGTGTGGTAGTGAAGCACGATGGTACACGCTTTTCCAAGGCACTTGAAGATCGCTATGCGCAAGGGACGGCTGAGCTTGTTAAGGCACTACAGGATGTCGAACCTGACGAGCCCTACTGGGAGGATCTGCGAAAAGTCGACCTGCACGGAAAGAGCCTTAGCACCCTTAACCGACTGGATGAATTGTGCTACCAGCTTGAAGAGCTTGACATGTCGAACAACAGTATCAGCCAAGTAGGTGGTATACCCTATACCATGCGACGACTACAAGCGCAAAACAATTGCCTACATGGCCTGACTTCTTGGACCACTTTGCTCAACCTGCAGCACCTCGATATCTCGAACAATGAGATTGACAGCCTCGATGGTCTTGCTGAGCTCGTTCACCTTCGTGTGTTGTTAGTCAACAACAACAAGATCAAGTCTCTGGATGGTGTACTACACCTGGACGGACTGATGGAGCTAAGTGCTAGGGGCAATGAGATCGAGCTGGTAGAATTCGGTCGATCTAATCTGTGAGTCATCTCTCCTTCCGCATCCAGAAGTAACTCGCTAATATACTAAGGACATCTCTCACTGACCTTGATCTCCGGAACAATCGTCTCCTTGAAGTGCGCAATCTCCAGAATCTTTCACGATTGGAGCACCTCAACTTAGGTACATGTTCTCAAGTTTGTATAACCTCCAACAATTGCTGACTCTCGCAGACGATAATGAGATCGAAGAGTTCCCTTTGTTCGATGGAGCGGCTGGACGATGCAAGTCTTTACGATCATTACGCCTCTGCCGAAATGGCACAGCGCTGCTGAACGTAGACGGCCACTTCCCAAGGCTCGAGACGTTACATGTGGATGGCAACTGTCTTGCGTATGTGCCAGGATTGGAACATCTTCGACATCTCCGCACTTTCTCTGCACGAGACCAGATGCTCAGTAGCGACTCTGATGTCGAAACTTGCGTCAGCAACCTCGTGCGAAACTCTGATGTTCGCAACCTGTATATCTCCCTCAACCCTACGCACGGGTTGGAAATCTCACAGCATCTGTTGAACCTACAGCGCCTCGAGCTAGCATCCATGGGTCTCAAAGAATTGCCAGAGAAGTTTGGGCAACTGACACCGAACATCCGGTCCATCAATCTCAACTTCAATTCGATTAAGGATCTACGGCCTCTCCTTAACATCAAGCGACTGGATGAGCTTCTCTTGGTAGGCAACAAACTCGAACGCCTTCGTGCAAATGCATTAGTCCTAGGCAAACTCGGAACACTGTCAAAACTGGACTGGCGCGATAACCCTCTTACGCTACGCTTCTACGCCCCTACATCCGAGAACCGAATCATATCACTCAGACAGAAGCCTTCTGACGAGCAACTAACAGATCGCTTCGTGTTGCCAGATGGAGATTCCGAAGCAGACTGCATACATCTTGAACGGTTGGACTTTGAAACTCGCATCAGGCGACGCGTGACTGAGATGATGCTAGCAAACCTCTGCAAGAACCTCAGGGAGCTGGACGGCCTAGTGTTCGACAAGGCGCGTGTCTTGATAAAGGACGATATCTGGGAGCGTATGCTCTTGCTCGGTGTCATTCAACGCAAGCAGCCCGAGCAGAGCAACGATCACGGGGAGTAAGGAGAAGAAGAAATAGACGAGTGATACCTGGTCATCAGTTTGGATGGACGTTGAGACTCGGTAATGATGCATTGCAGGCGAATTCCGTGGGACGGTCTGGTCGGTTAATGGTCGGCGTTGGTTGTCATGTTGTGGTGTTGGGTCATACGGAGTTGTTTCTGTTTCGCGGAGCATTTGATACTCGAGCATATTCTAGGCGCATATTTAGCGAGCGTGGGAACAGGTTCTATAGAGCTGTTGTACGATTTTACGAGCTGTATTTGGTAATGAACGCATATTACGCAAGCCGGGACACCCTCTTGACGATGTTGTAGTGAATATTGTAAACCCCAGTTAGTACCCCACCAATTGAAACGCGGCATTGGTCTGTGCGCTGCATACCGAACTCTCCCCGTGACATGGAACTGAGCAAGCCCACATTTCTGCGGAACTTTGAGATGCTCCCCATCTCCCGCATCCCGCATCAACCATGGCCTCCATCTCAGAAGATCAACGGGCGCTTCAACTTGCGGAGAAGGCAGGTGAGAGTACAAAAGCCGGTGAGCTGGCATCGGCAGCTCGCTTCCTCCGCGAGGCAAGCACTATAGCGCCTGAAAACCAGCAAATCAAAGATGCGTGGACGAAGCTAAGAGAAGAAGAAGATAAGAGCGAACTCCTGGCGCTGTGCAAGATTTGGGTGGCGAGCAGGAATGACGATGATGGGGACAGGGTGCTACGAGCCGTGCAGAAGGGAGGCGTCAAGCAAAAAGAGGCGGAGCAGGCGATGGCGATTCTCTTCGATTTCAAAGGTGAAGACGACACGCTTGATCAAGTCACGGGCGAGTTGTTGCAGAATGTTGGCGCGCAGACGTGGCTTGCACACGCGGTTAGGGAACAGCCGACGAGGATCTACTACGAGATGTTTGAGCGGGGCGACGATTCCATCGATGGGCTGCTCAAAGTGCTGCTTAACAGGAGTGTCTGGCCGGACGATGAGGCGTTCAAGAGTGGGCACAGAGATATGTTCATGCTCAGCTTGGCGATGATGATGGAAGAAGCGCTCGAGCATCCCGAACGTGCTATGAAGGGCATTGCACAATTACTTGCTCATCACGCCGAGCATCTCAAAGGCATTATCGATTCGGATAGCTTCGATGTCATTCTCGCGTCGTTGGATATTCGACTGCCGAATAGCTTGCGGGCGCAGGCTACGCTTGCGAGTATTAAGTTGTTCGAACTTTGCCCCGATACAGCTGGCGAGCTGATATCGAAGTTCGTCACTCATCGTGCTAATAAGGGCGATGCGAATGATCTGGTTATTGCTTTCTCTGCAGCTGCGGCTATCTTTCCGGTTGCTGTCACGCCGGCGGCAGCGCTTTTCTTGACAGAGGGCTTTGTGGGCACGCTTGTGCCGCTGGTGGAGAAGAAGAGGTCTCAAAAGCTTGATCAGGCGACATTGGAGCTTATCAGTGCAGCTTGTGTAGACAAGAATTGCAGAGATGCTATCAACAAGCATTGTAGGGATTGGTTGGAAGAGCTGGTCGCAGACAGTCCTGATAAGAAACGTGCGAATCTGGCAGCACTTGTTCTTGTCAAGTTGGGCGAAGAAGCAGCGTCTTCCGAAGGGCCTCGAATCGTCACACCAGCCAGGGTCGATCAGAGCGACTTGATTGCAAGCTTCAAGTCCATGGTCATTGGGGGTGATAATTCTTCCAAGCAAGACTCGATCGAGGGTCTCGCATACGCCTCCCTCCAGCCCAAAGTCCGCGAAGACTTGTCCAAATCACCAAAGTTTCTCAAGCGCCTCATTGGCACAATGAGCGAGCCCTCTGCTCCTTCAAACATCATCTTCGGTGGCCTGACCATTTTCGTCAACATCACCACTTATCTGCCCATTCAGTCTGAAGAAGAGAAACGCATGGCCCAACTCAAAGCATATGCCAACGTCCAAAAGCCCACCGAACCAGACGAGCTGCTTGACGACGCCAGCGTCAACACCCGCTGCAAGCGCATGATGGAAGCCAACATCGTGCCTCTCCTCGTGCAAGTCTGCAAAAAAGGCAGTCCCACCATCCTCTCTCACAGCAGTCAGATCCTGCTCAGCCTTAGCCGCGACGCCAAAATCCGAGGCACAATGGCCCAACAAGGCGCCATAAAACTCCTCATCCAAATCTACGACACCGTATCTTCCACCAACGCTGCTTCCACCACCGGCACAACTCCTTACCCACCCACCACCGCCCCCGCAACAGCCCAAGCCCTCTCCCGCCTGCTCATCAGTATAAACCCGTCCCACGTCTTCAACTCCGCCCTCCCATCCACATCCGCCCTGCGCCCGCTTATCAGCCAACTATCCCGCTCAGACAGTTCAAGCTGGCAACTGCACGCCTTCGAAGCGCTTCTCGCACTCACGAACCTCGCATCTCTCGACACAGCCACGCAAGACCACATCATACGTCTCAGCTTTGATACCATCATTGACGACATGTTGCTATCCAACCACACCATGCTGACCCGTGCGGCCACAGAACTCCTCTGCAACCTCATGGCCTCGGCGACATGTATCGCGCACTTCGCCGACCCTGCCTCCCCACGCGCAAAGCAGCGCCTCCACCTGCTCCTCGCCATGACTGACGTCGACGATCTCGCCACCCGCTCCGCCGCAGGCGGCGCGCTGGCCATGCTGCTATCCATCGAAGATGCGGTCACGGCATTGCTCAAGCAGGACAAGGGGATTGAATTCTTGCTGGGGCTGTGTAGAGATGAGGACGATGATGTCAAGTACAGGGGCGTGGTTTGCGTGCGGAGTGTGGCGGAGGATCAGAGCGGGGTGCAAGGGTTAAGGGAGAAAGGCACGGCGGAGTGTCTTAAGGGGGTGTTGAGGGAGACGAGGAGGGAGGATGTGCTTGCGTTGGGGGTGGAGACGTTGAAGATTGTGATGGGGCAGTGAAGGGGTGTGGGATGTGATTTGGAGCAAAACGGGAGAGATATGTTTGAGAGGGCATGTGAGGATGTAGTTGAGAGGAATCTATCCTGATTTCTCAACATCCTGTTCAAGGTCGTTTGACTTTTGTGCCCTCAGAAAGCCGCCGTCTAAGTTGATTTCAGAAAAATAAGTTGCTGGAGATGGGAAGGCTTGGGTGTAGTTGAGCGGGCATGTCACGATCTCTCAATCTCACGTTGTTTGAGTCTACTGACTTTCTCTCTCTCTCTCTGGAAAGTGGGCCAAATTGATACCTTTCAACCTATTCGCTTGTTTTGTGCTCTTTTCAAACAAACCGCTGCTTTGGACAAGTTGCCCATTTCTGGAAATGCAACACTGCAATGCATGTCTAACGACGGTGATTGAACATCTCCTCTCCTAGCCAGACGGAGATGCGCACATGAGCGCAAACCGCTGATTAGTCAATCCTCACCACACTATACTCACCACAGAACGCCTACAAACCTTCAATCGCGTTCCAAATTCTTTCAGCAACCACACCCTTTCCCTCTCTCCCATCTCCGGGCCCCAACCCCACTAGTGCATTTGCCCGACCGCACCCAATCCAGCCCCAAACCCCTCTTCCAACCCATTATCCAGGACCACCCTCCACATCAGCGTGTCATTGAATTCCTCCCTCACACATTCCAGATAACAATATACCCTGCATGCATCAAAGGGTCATCATGCGCATCTTCGCAGACCCTTGCAGCTGCCACCGGGAGGCCTAAAGTAAGTGCATATGCTGCGGAGACACGTCCGCGGCAAGTTCCAGAAACCTGTTTGCGTACATATACGGTACTGGACGCAACGCTTGAATACTTAGTGCAAGAGGAAAGAGAAGAATTGAATTATGCGCCAAGTGGTTAGTGTAGGGAAATTGGTCCGCAGCCTATGAGCCAACATGGAGCGCTCTGGACCCTGGAGATTTGTCTGTTGGTGGTGGGTGATTGGGTGCGAATAGTGAACAAGACAGGATAGGCAGCAGGGAAAAAAAAAGAAATAAACTCCAACCCCCAAACCAACTTTCCAAGACTCCGAAGTATTTCGCGTGTGGGGTGGTGGTGATTGTAGACATGGAAAATGCCGGTATCTTCTTCAGTGCGCGCGTTTAGACTCGGTTCCTTTGCTCTAGCATCTTAGACCCAACATCTAGGATTCAGGTGCAGCCCGGATGGCGGGGATATCGTGGTCCTTTTCTTTCTTTGTTGCCGTGCGGAGAAAGGACCGGTGTGTTGCGCAAAGGCCCGGATGATCAGGCAGATCTTCGTGCATGATCTGAAGTGAGTTTCGCCATCATGAGACCGGTCGGGATGATTGCTTGGTGTTGAGCTGGATGCGCTGGAGGATCAACATACGATGGTGCGGTAGTGGCTTACGATGCGTTCTTTGAACTTGGTTGTGATACCAGGATGAGGAAGTCTAGATTGTGCGGTCTTGGGGATAGATCACCAGCGTTGTAGCGATTGCCCTGGGAGTTGACTGAGTGTATGGAAATGAGGCGCGACCAGGTGGTATCGTGGTGATCACGGCCAATGTTGTATATGGTCAATCATGGAGCCTAGCAGATGCTACTGCGCTTGCGTGAAAGCTTCGTCTTCTAGGGATGTCTTTGGCGACCAAGTACGCTCAAGGACGTGTACGTTATCTCTTGAAGTGCATGCGATTGGCACTCGTACGCAGTGTGAAAACGAGAAAAGAACCCCGAGTTCGCAAGTTGTGAGGTTGGATAGGCAAATTAGAACTTCAGCATATCGAATCCAATCGCGTGCTCCGCTCCGTTTGAAAGCATGCAAAGTACTTGCGTCGTCTAGAATTATCCGGGTCCATCGAAGACCCTGAGCATCCGGCAGCGCACAAAATTCAAGCTCCAAATTCCTTGCATGGTTCCCTGTGTATAGCGGTAATGCGAAGGTAACCTTGAGGTCGTCTGTCGGGCGCCATGATCCATGTCGAAAGGCCGTTCAGGGTCGCCTTAATCGCTTACCCTTCTTCGTACAGTCGATCCCTTGAAGGAGGTGCAGGAGGCGTACCTAGACCTCTGGCCATAGTCCGCATGCATACGATCAACCAGGCGCACCAGTAAATGCCTACGGAGTTGAGTAATCCAGTTGCATTCAGGTACGTTTCTTCGGCACAGACGAGACCGTTGCAGAGAGACCGTTTCTTAGCGTCATCCGGGCGTCAGATAGCGGGGTCCATCCAAAGAACGTAAGCCCGGGTGCGTGTATGCGCCGCCACAAACACATGATTCTCCAGGTAAGAGGGTCTGGTAATGATACTTCCGAGCTTGGCCCTGCACCGCGTCATCATTTCTTCGCCGTCGCGTGATTGGAAGCATTTTGTGATCCTTGCGAGACATTACAAGCAGACCCTACAAGAATAGTAACTGGTCCACAGTAAATATGTCAGAGGAATTCCGTGTTTGGTAATCCGACCTGCACTCGATCGCTGGGTGCTGTACTCCGTGCGACTCATTCGCTTCAATTATTGAGGACCAGCCACATTCAGGGAAGGTTTGCCTGAGGTCACAGTGATGCTGATATTAGTATTGGTAAGATAGCGACTCGGGGTCGTGTAGGGTCGGCTATTACAGATATACGAGATTTGCTGCAAGCCACATCAATGCCGCCGCAAACGGGCACATGGGATTGTGTATTGCTATAGCAGAATTAGGATGCATGTCCTGGCTAGCGAATTGCCGAATGGATGATGATGGAAACGTTCTTGCGATGGATTGGTCAGTCGGCCGTGTTCCGCAGTACCGCCAGATGACGAACGCTTCCGGGGCCATCGATGCGAGACTACTTGCGTTCACAAGCAAGCGAAGGAAGGAGTGAAACTTGGTAGTGATCGCCCGTTGCGGAACGTCCGACCGGCCAATATAGATGTAAAGCCACCGAACCCATTATTCTGTTCGATCACTAGCTCCATGACAAAATTTCGGATGCAGGAGGCAGCGGGGAACGTCTTCCACAGTCCTAATGCGAGTGCTCGTGGTGAAAGGCAACGAGTAGCCGAAGTGTGGCTTGGAGGAGGGTGGGGCTGGGGAACCGGATTCCTGCTCCGTATCAATGCCCCAGCGGTCGGCCTAATTGTGACGGTAATATGCACCAGCCAATCAGCATCGCCGCTGCTATTCTTGCAAAAGCCTGCGATCATCAATAGTCGATATGACCTTCTCCGCGGTTTACGAGTTCAAACGCGCGCGTCGTGTTTCCGCAGAAATCACCTGGTAGTCTATCGCGCTAATCTGCTCAGCGTGGTGAACGTGATGGTGCGCGCGGTCGAGGCGTTGTTGAGAAAAGGACCCCGAAACCCTTCGGACAGCAATTCCCCGCTGCATGTGCCGATCTTCTCTGATTCCAAGCCGCCAGGCAGGCCCTGCAGTTGCAAGGTTCGGTTAGACACCAATCAGCGAGCTGGAGCATGTCCGCTTCTAGCAGTTATTGTTTTCCAAAGAATGCCATGTTCGGATTCTGTTTTACAATGATGCATTTTTTTCCCGGGACGCACCAGTCGTAGCTGATTATTTAATAACATGCGCGCTGGTGGCGATGCAGACTTTTCAATTGAGCGGGAGATGCGCAGGGATAATGCTCTGATAGGCAACGGGCTGCTTTGCCTATTCTATGAAAAAACGAGGGTCCGCACTGTGAAAGGTGATGAAGTGAGGGTGCGTACAGATGACCACAAATTGGGTTGTCAAAACTATGAGCGGATGTTCGGCACTGGCGGGGTAAATAGTTGCGCCGAAGACATCTCCGTGACGAAGGGTGTTTTCTAAAAGTTGAGCCTGCGCGCTACGGAAGGCACTGGGATAATGATGGGAGACTACGAAATCGATAGTTACCAATGGACATCGGAGAGTGCAGGCGAATTTCCATACAGCATCCCTAGGGCTTTATCCGAGAACTTGGTTGTGAGAAAGCGCTGCGACTTGCGGTTCCAACGGACTTGCGACCGTCGATGTCATTCGCCTAAAGAGATATCTCTGCGATGGTTGCACCAGCCCAAAACAGTAGCTAGTTCCCATGTGTGTCAAACAACGTCCGAACGAGCGTTGCCAAGGCGCCGCGCATAACGAGGCAGTGGAGCAAAGCCGCGCGCTCACAATAAGAGCGTTTGAGTAGGCAGATCGCGGTGCTGGGTGAGTTAACATCAGAAAAATGTCAGCACACGTTCCGTTTCGTCCTGGAGAGGCATATTGAAACCTGAGACACCACGAAGATACCCTGTTAAACTTTCTTGCAGAGCCTAAGCAGTGAGGCAGCAACGTCACCATGCCACCCAACGTGAAGACGGATCTTTGCAAGCCACAAAAGGGACTCGCAAGTCTAGAGCTCGAAAGACCCGGAGCAAAGACACTGAAAGACTCGGGTCATGCTGAAACGAAAGTGAGCATACCCTGGCTCGTCACGGGATAGCACGTGGCAGAGAAAAGGGAGAGAGTCAAGGTGGACCGGGTGGGATCTGCGGCCGAGCGCGGTGACCGGAAGGCCGAGGATCGAACAGGTGCTACAACAGCAAGTATGCCTCTCATGTATTACTGGTGACGGAGGTTCCAGAGGGACGATGCAAACAGGAATGCTACCCCAGGATCGCACGCGCAGAGCCTCAACCTCTGAGATTGACGAGCCAATGAAGCTCGGGATCCATCATTATGACCAGATCGGCGGAAGGAATCCGCGATGCGAATCACCTGGGGCTAGTACTCCCGCGTGAATCACGAAGAATGTCGCAAGAAGGTCGGATACGGTCAGTAGAGCGCTGTGCGGGCATGACTTCCTGTGTGCGCAATAGGCCGAAGTTCCTTGACTCTTCGTGTCGGAAATGACTTGTGAATCGGATCGCGGCATCGCCATCAAGGTTTTTCTGCAGCACTGCTGTTGTTCAGACACTGTGGCTTGCCCAACGCTGTCCAGGGGCTGGCGGGATTCAGGAAGCCAGGAAGCCGGGGACAGCCTCCCAGCGGTGTGATTCGCTTCACAAAGTGACATCATAGCTTGATGTGAAGCGTGGTCATTTGGCAGTAAAAAGGGAATTCGGCCACCCTGCATAAACCGAGCATGGCAAAGCGGCGTTTCGGCAGCGACGAGTGATCGCGATTTGGGTCAGAGCAGGAAGAAAAAGGGCCGGACAGAAGATGAGGGCGCAGAGTGGGCACCAGGCCAAAGTGGCTACGGTGCCGGAGATCAAATCGATTTCACTGCAGACCCGATCCTCACAGGCAGTGTGAGAGAGCGTGCGCGTGGAGGCAGGGTCTGGCCAAAGGGTCTGAAGGCTGAAAACAAGCGGCGTGCAGGGGCCCCGTCTGGATATAAAGCTTCGGGCGCAAGAGTGACGTCGCCGGTTCGTGCGAGTCTCGATCGCCTGCTGTTCGTCGATGCGCTCGCGGAATAGATGGGGCGCGCTACCGGCAGAGGGGCTAGCGTGGGAAGCGCAGTGGGCCGGGACAGGGAACGCCTGCCGGACCCTGATCTCTGTATTACATCAGACATCGCGACGTTTTCAGGTGCCGAGCGCAGCCTCAGACGGAAGGCCCCTACTAGGGCGTCGGTGCAACAGGCCGCCAATGTGCATCGAGAACAGAACATGGCAGTCGTGGCGTGGCGGCAGGCCACACGAGGGCAGCTGGACGGGTCAACCTCGAGTCGCCGCCAAGACGCATGTTGCACACAGCGGCAGCTGCTGCGACAGCGGACAAGAGTCTCTCAGACGACGCAAACGATAGCTCGTCAGGCGGCGGGCGATGAGGTCGGGCGACGATGAGCTGGCGGAGGGTGCGGATGCTGCGATTGGCGCCCTATGGGTCGCGGACAAGTTTTGGTTCCTGGAGCTGTTTGCGATCGCGATCGTGTGCGGCGACCATTGATTACAGCGGCTCCTCTCCGGCGCGCCCCAATGGGCGCGGTCACTCGCCCGTCGCTAACAGAGGTACCGTTCCAAGATGCCGAGCAGCGCAGCGCAGAGGAAACTTTGGCTGGTACGCGCCAGGAGCAGAGCAGACGCTGTTCAACGGTGCCTAGGAGCACTCCGGGATGCGCTGCTCTCGAGGTGCGTGAGGTGCGTCTGCGGGCGCCGTGCGATCGCCGGGGCCCCTGCGAGCTTGCAACGCCCCCAGTCAGGGCACTAGCTGCTTAGGGCGTGATGAGAGACGACATGGCAAAGCCAGGATTTCCTGCATGGAATTCTCAAAGGCCCTGATCCCGGTCGAGGAACCCTGCACATCGGCCTAGCTTCTCAAGGGAGAGTCTTGCCCTGCGTGTCCCTCTGCCATCTATAACAATACCATAGCCCGCACCTGCTCAGCGCGCCCAGTCTGTATTCTCGCAAAGACCCCTCATCCTTCACTCTCCTCGTGCGTGTCTTGGGCCCTTTTCCTCGTCGACTTTCACACATTCCTGCCATCCGGCGCCCAGCCCCATATCCTCCTGCCGTCTTGTGTGCTGTGATAGGTCACTCTTGTCGTCACTGTCCGCTGTCGACCAAGGTTCCGCATTCACTACTCACGTGCCTCCGCGTCATTGCCTCAGAGCGCGCCTGGTCGCATTCCACCCGACAGCCTATAGAAGGCGGTGCACCCAATCAAAATGGACGGAACAAATTCTGCGGGTTGCAAGGTCTCTCTGCTCAACGACCACGAACCCTCTCACCACCTCGGTCGCCTCAACTCCTTCGCGCCTTCTCTTCGCTCGCGGACCTCGAGCTACGACTCGTCCGCGCTTGGCTCACCACCCACTCCCCACCTCGTCCGCAGCATATCGTCCGACTCGTCCAACATGCAGACGCCGTCGCCCATCACTCCGGACTTTGGCTTTGCCAGCAGCGGAGAAGCGAGTGAATTTTCTCAGACTAGCTTTTTCCCGCAACAAAAAGAATTGTTTTCTCACGTCTACGACATGCCCGGCGCCCTCCCTTACCACCCAGCACACCCGCCAATGCACTTCGCCCAGCAGCAAGCCGTGGACGGCGCATCGGCACCCAGCGCTGCGCAAGCGAATGGGCGACCAAAGAAAAACCAGTATCCCTGCCCCATGGCCAAGGCCATCGGCTGCAAAGACCACTTCACCACATCAGGCCATGCTGCACGCCACGCGAAGAAGCACACCGGCAAGAAGGATGCCATCTGTCCCGAGTGTAACAAGGCTTTCACCCGCAAAGACAACATGGAGCAGCACCGCCGCACCCATCAGAGCGGCCGCGGCGCCGCTAAGACCGGCGATCGAGACGTGAAGAAGGCCAAGCTGAGGACACAATCATCGCGACCAAAGATCAGCCCCATCCAGTCGCAGGCACCCTCTCAGGCCACCACGCCGACCATGGCAAACATGCACACTGTTGATCCCTCGCTCGGCAACAGCCCCACTGGATCCTTCATGGCCGCCATGCAACCGTCGGACGCGTTCGCTGACTACAACTCACGAGCGTACCCCGACCCAACTGCATACGCCATCAACACCCACAGCTACATGAACGGCTCGTCATATGGCGGTCTAGACGCTCTCGCAAGTGCTGCCAGCAGGGAGCAACAAAATCTTGAAGACGACTCGGAGGACGAGCAGAAAAACCAGCTCAAGCGTCAACGCGAAATATAGGCATTGCCTTCGCGTAAATTCCCCGTCCTTTCACTTTCAGAATTCGTCCATACCAGCACGGCGCTGGTGGATACGATACGATTTACGGCGTCAAAAAGTCCCTGCACGGATATAGACGCATGCCGTCATGGCTATGAATCACGGCGTTTATGAAGTTGCTGCCTCCACGGCCTCAACTTGTCCTTTCCTTCTACCTTGTATCCTATTATTTATGGCTGCTTTCGATGCAATGTCATATGGTTTCTGTTCACCGGGCTGTCGGGACAATGGTTGGCATACATGGAATACCCGCCCTTGAGGCACTTGCGTCTGTTTTCTGTCTTTCAATACCCCGTATATGAGGTACTGGAACTGCAACGATTGGTTAGCAAGGTCAATCCACCGCGATGACCCAAAACAATGCAACTCATGCAGTTCAATCTACCCAAATCTACTCAATGCCATGTGACCATCTTCCATTCACGTGAAGTGAGCTCGGTACTCTGCGCGATCACCGGATGGTAAGACCCCGCTTCCCAACAATTGCCTTGTCTCATGAACTTTTACCCACTTCGGGGGTGACGGATTACCCAACTTGACCAAGGCCTTAACTAGAGTATCACCAACGGTGTAAGGCAAGAGTATGGTTCAAAACTAAAGGTGCTCCGCGTATGTCAGCTCACAGTTCGCGCTAACGCCACTCTCCCCTCCAATATCGTCCTGTCCCCGCCAGCTCCGACCAAATGCTGACATCCCTCATCCCCGTGGGGCTAACGAATGACATGAGACTTATTCAGTCTACTCGCAAGGGGCAACGCGGCGTCCGTATGCACATGACAGTCGGCCAACTGGCCTATGTCCTCAACACTCAAATCTTGGACTATCGGAAGGATTCACTAGCTCCTTCCCTGTGATACCGAGGACCCTGCAGCCATGATGTGTTCCAGCTAACGCCTGTACTGATCTGCACGACAAGATGCGCCCGGGGTGTCTGGAGCGGAAGGAGCAAAGCCCGCAACTAGCCATTGGCTCACTTCTCGACTAAGTAAACTCTATCCTAACCACATATTTTTACCGCCTCAGGACCTTTCCATACCTGGACCTCCGCGGAGCACGCCTAAGGCGGTACCGCTAACGAGCGAAACCGTTAGGAAATCATCGTGTGTTGCGCCCTTCTCCTATACTGGGTAGTTGCCATGCGTGACGTCAGTCCACTTTGAAACCACCAGCTCAAAGTATCTTTCGACCTCACTCTCAACATGACAGACAACGTCGCTCCGTGTCAAACCCTATCCCCAGACCTATGCCAGCACGTAGCATGATCCTTGATATGCGCATGCGGACGCAATGACATCCAGCAATCACAACGTTGACAGCCATGTGGGCATCTCCAGGGATGATGGATACACAACTAAATCTGGAACGACGAGTCGCACTCTTTTCGCGCCACCATCTTCCCTGCTGTCGGCATAGCGGCCGCAATTCCTCGAAAAGTGATTGAATGCGAGCTGTCGTCTTCACGGACGCTGTGCGCCACGCTCAGCCCAATGTCCGCGTGTACGACGCCCGTGGGATTCCGCTACATTCGAGATGCGACCGAGTGTACACGTGTGTGCATAGGTAAAGTTTCTTTCAGTCAAAACTTTCTTGTGGTTCAGGCCTCCTGGCAACCCAGTCAGGACTCAGGAGTGAAGTGCTCGTGCGGAGAGCCCTCTCCCCCAAATCATGTCGACAGCGACAGCAGGGAATCGGCCCGCCTCACGTTGAACCCTCATTGAGTCCCTGCAGCCGCTCAGTGGGCCTCGTGAGTATGGCCACGGTCACCCAACGCAACATATCTGGAGAGACACCTTGCTTGCTCCGGTCAAGCACAGCGAGGGAAAGCCCCACGGGTCGTGTGCAACAATAGCAACACAGCGGCGCCCCAAATAGGCCTCTTGGCTTGCTCGCTTCTTCTGTCTAGCTGAGAGCAGTGGCGGGAGGGGCTACATGCCGTACCACATCGCCTATCTGCCTGGAGATCCCTAAACAAGTAAGACAGCGTGGCCTACGGCTGTTGCGGGGTAACGATCGGAAGTTCTTGTGCTCCACGACATGCTGGGCCATGCAAGTCATTGTTTCAGGATCTCGTTCTGCCGATTCCCCGGCTCATGGGTAGGGGAAAACTGTTGACGTGTGAGCTCGGTCGTTGCGATGTTCATGTCGTACAGCTTGCTCGGAGAGCAGTACAACGCTATTTTGGCAGTGGCGCAACTTGCAGTCTGGCCGCATCCATGTACGCACATGAGGGCTATGTTTGTCATGGTGTAAGACATCGCAGGCTCAATGTCAACATCGCGAGACGCAGCAGAACGCCATGCGACTTTTTTACTAACAGCGGGTGAAAGCGGTATCACGTCGTGCCGTCTCACCTCACGAGAAGCGTTCCTTCTCATGCGCCTTCCGAAATGTGGGTAGCGAAATCGGACGACGCGTGGTGTCCCGTGACGGACACAGATTTCAATGTATTCAACGGGTATGACAGGCTCACGAGATTCACCGTGGCCGGCCAACCAAATATGATACTGCCAAAGCCGGAGGGCATAGAAGACGGAAGTCACAATGGGATACTGAATTGTCGTTTTTTTCATTTTGATTTCCTGTTATTGTCAAGCTCGAAATTCCTCACTTCACCTTGCCCAATCCCTACCCTCCAGAAATCAATCAATCACCGCAGAAACGATGCACATCTCAACAAGCACAGGCCCAGAACAGAACCTGTCACTTCCCGATTTGCCCTCACATCCTGCAAGCCCCTTCCCCCCCCTGGGCTGTTGTGTCCCACGGGCTCCACATGCGTTGTGCCTGTGTGGCTGATACAGCCCATTCATGTTATGCAGGACCGAAGCGAGCGAGTCTGCAGCGGGGGCTATGCGTATGTCTCGAGGGAAAAGGTAGGCGGTACGAAGGGGCGGGTTTGGGAGTGAGTCTGATGGCTTGCCGTGCTCGGATTCTTCGCATCAGGCAAGGTGATCAACCACATGAACGAAAACGCAAGGGACGCAAGCACGCATTTGAGATTTTTTTTTAAATCCGACAGCGGTCTGTTCCCTGGCGACTGCTATTCTCGTCTTCGCTACCCGCTGGCCCTGCAGCTCATCATGTCGTGCTACCTCGTCTCCTGCAATGAACCAATACGTCCCACCGGCCGTTCTGTGTTTCAGCCCACTGCGTCTCGAGCGCGCGGGGCACACAGGCATGAGAAATGCAGAAATCATTGCCATCTAGACCCGAAGAATTTTGCCAACTGCAGCAGCAAGCCTGACAAAAAGAGGAGAGAGTGGGGGGCCACGACAACACGACAGCTTGAATACAAAATCAAGCGGCATGTTTACGTGTAGTTCTCGCCCAACAGCATGAGCATGTATACGCATCCGTGCATTTGTCCCCGAACGAAAAGGCGGGAACTAGGCGAGATCGAATCGCCATTGTGACGATTCGTCGGCCGTTGGGTCTCCTTGCATACCCCGTATCCGTTCACTTTTCCCTTCAACCAAACTTGGCAGCCTGCATGTATCGTGCAAAGCTCATGTCGTCGTCCTGACCCGCGCCTGCGTTCTTGAGAGCCTGCTGATACCGATCTTCAAGCGAGCCGTCCGGGTTGTCGCTATCCTCATCATCCTCGTGAGCGCGGTACTCCATGCTATCATCCGAGTCCTGATCCTCCACATCACTGACGGTCTCCGGCTCTTCTTTATTGGGCCTAGATTTGGGTTTGGGTTTCGTGCCCGCGCCGCCGACTTTCATATCCTTCATGAGCTTGTCGAGTTCGCGCTGGCGGGATTTCTGCTTCTCCTGCTCGCGCTCTGCGCGGCGGCGCTCGAGTTCAGGCTGGTAGTCGCGCTGGAATTCTTCCTTCTTGGCGGCGATGCTGCGGAAGAAGTCGTCGACGCCGTCGCCTGTCATGGCGCTGACGCCGACGACGCTGAGGTGCTTGTAGAACTCTTCGAGAACGAGGGACATGCTGTTTAGGAGACTGCCCATGTAGCCGCTTCCACCGCCGACGCCGTCGCCGCCAAAAGTGCCGCCTTCTTCTTCGTCGCGCAGGGCGGTTTGGAAAGCTTCGAAGTCAGTCATCCATTTCTTGGCGAACTCGGCGTCTTGTGCGTCGGTCTTGTTGAAGACGAGGACCATGGGGAGTTTGGTCTTGTAGAGGATCGAGCAGGCGTACAGCATGTTGGACATGAAGGTGCTTGTGCTTGTGGTTCGTGGAGTGTCGATGATATACGCGATGACGGTGGGGAATGTGCTTGCTAAACTCGAGAGCAGGATTTCTCCACTCGCTGACCAGACGAAGACTTCGATCTGACCTGGCGTGTCGACGAGGATGTGCTTCACTTGTTGCTGCTGCGCAGGTGCTGCTGCCTTTTCTTTCCCGCTATTCGTCATGAACTCGACAGTTGTCTGCTCCGTCTCCTTGACCGGCGGTGGCGGCTGTGTGCGCTTCTCCAACAGCCCGATGACCTGGTCGATCTTTGTGCTGAACAGATTCAGACTGGTCAAGATTCCGCCATTAGGCCCCAGGTTGAACTGCTTCATGACCTCCTTGTAGTTGACGCTGTCGCGGATATCGATGTTCGGCGTGAACGGCACATGATGCACGGCAGGATCAAGGTTTATTATGTATGGAGGGGTCGGTGAAGCAGTCTTGGAGACGGAAGGTTCGCTTTGCGCGGGGTCGGGGTGGGTGTAGATATGGGAGACGAGACGCTGCATGAAGGTCGTCTTGCCGCTGCCGGCCATGCCTACGCAGACAATCGCGACGGGAAGTTCAGCCTTGTCTGGCGTCGGCGCGGAGGCCTCGGGGGCTTTTGAGGTGGACATGTTGTTGGTTGTAAGCTCCCTTTGTAGAGCTTCGGGCGCAAATGTTGTCCCAAGTCGCGCGAATCTGGGCAGATTCGTAAATGGCAGTGTCTGTCTGAAGGTTGTTCTACTATGGTAGCTGTCGTTGATATAAAAGAGCGTGGTCCCAGTTGTGAGTGGAGTTGCGCGATCGTAAATTCTTTGGCGGGGCGGGCGCGCTAGTGATGCGTCCGCGGTGATGTCAAAGTGCCATAGCTCCCGGCATCGCGAAACTTTCTAGACCAACAATCTGCCCATTCACTCGCCAAGCCTCAGCCCACAACAACACTCATCGCGACAATGGGCCTCGACGACTTTGAGAAAGAACTTGCGCAGAGCAAAAAGAAGGAAGAAAAGAAGCGCGACAGAAGTCGGAGTCGCGACAGGCATCATCGCTCCAAGGTAAATGCTTCAGCTCGAGACACGACTTTACCTGATGAAGCAACGTACTGATATTTTCCAGGGCAAGGATCGCGAGCATCGCCATAGCCATCACCCCTCGCGCCATGGTCGAGACGAAGACAACCACCGAAGCAAACGATCGCGCCATGAACGAGAAACGTCAGAAGAACGCTCGCGGAGGAAGCGACGCGAGAAAGAAGGCGACGTTGGACGCTCCAGCCGGAAACACAAAGATCGGCGCAGCCGTTCACCATCAAGCGACGACGACGATCGCTTGACGCGGAAGCGCAAGTCGCGGCACTACGATGAAGACGAGTCTTCAGACGATGAGGCGCCGCAAGAGAAGGACTATGCGCCTCCAGACGACGATATCCTGGACCAGCAGCTCGAGGATGCAGCCGATAAAGACCTACAGCGTGATGATTGGATGAAGGCGCCGTCATCAATGGATGTCGATTACGTGCAGAGGAAGAAGAGAGAAGAGAAAACCACATATGTCAAAGCATCAGCCGAGCAACAGCAGGCTCTGAAGATTCACCATGCCGAATTAAACCGTGGTCTGGCAGATGAAAAGGAGGACAATGGCCAGGTTACGGATGAGCCAGCGCAACGCGAGGTCAACTACACATTTGGCGACATGGGGGCTCAATGGCGCATGACAAAGCTAAAGGGCATCTACCGAGCTGCCGAGGAGAGTAGTCGGAGTGTGGAGGATGTGGCTATGGAGAAGTACGGTGATTTGCGCGACTTTGACGAGGCACGAGAAGAAGAGATCGAGCTAGACCGCAGAAAAATGTACGGAAAGGACTACGTGGGCAAAGAGAAGCCATCAGGAGAGCTGTTCGAGGAGCGGCGGTTGAAGGCTGGAATACATCGATCATCCCGCGAGCAAGATCGAGGCGACGATCTCCCCCAAGGCGAAGTCGTGCAAGACCCTCGCCCAACGACCAACACTGTTGCAGTCAGCCAGACCGAGCTGAACCGCTTGAAAGCTCAGATGATGAAGGCCAAGATGAAGAAGGCTCCCAATGCCGCCCAGCTCGAAGCAGAATACAATGCAGCCCTCACCAACTCTGCTGGCGGCAAGCAGTCCGACGTTGTCGTTCTCAACGCCATGGACAACCGCATGCTCGCGGGCGGCCGCCAGGGCGAAGTTATCAACCTGACCAACAAGCGCGGCACCGAGCGCGGCCTCGTCAAAGAAAACGAAGACATGTCCATCGAAGACATGGTCCGACAAGAACGCCGCACCAAAAACCAAGCCGGCGGCGAAGGCCTCCTCCTCGCCGAGAAAATTGCAAAAGACTCCAAATTTGACAATGACCTCGACTACATCGACGACAACGCCTCCAAGCTCGCCGCGCGCGCACCCAAATCTAGCATCAACCTGCGCAACTCCGCTATCCAGGACTACCAGAAAATGAACCGCATCCTCGACTCCTGCCCCTTGTGCCACCACGAAGACAAATCCCCCCCACAGCCTCCCGTCGCTCCTGTTGTGTCTCTCGCCACACGCACCTTCCTCACGCTCCCCACCGAGCCCGAACTCACCCCCGGCGGCGCCGTCATCGTGCCTATCCAGCACCGCACCAACCTCCTCGAATGCGACGACGACGAATGGGAAGAGCTGCGCAATTTCATGAAGAGCCTAACCCGCATGTACCACGACCAAGGGCGGGACGTAGTCTTCTACGAAAACGCCGCACACCCCCAGAGAAAAGGACACGCGGCGCTGAATGCCGTGCCCATACCCTTTGAGCTGGGCGACACGGCGCCGGCGTTCTTCCGCGAGGCGATTCTGGAGAGTGATGCCGAGTGGAGCCAGCATAAGCCGATTATCGATACGCGCAAGGCGAGTCGCGAGGGCATGGGGCGACAGGCTTTTCGGCGTAGTTTGGCCAAGGAGATGCCGTATTTTCATGTGTGGTTTGAGCTGGATGGCGGGATGGGGCATATCGTGGAGGACGAGCGTAGGTGGCCAAGGGGCGATTTGTTTGCGAGGGAGGTCCTGGGCGGCATGTTGGATGTGGGGATGGAGGTGCAGAAGAGGCAGGGGAAGTGGGTCAAGGACGATCGCAGGGTGGAGAGGTGGAGGAAAGGGTGGCGCAAGTTTGATTGGACGAGGGTTTTGACGGAGGGATAATAGGAGACGGGGAATCTGATGAGTAAGTGACTTCGTGGTATGAAGGCGGGAAGGCGAATAAGATACATATCCATACTCCAAACAATCTCCTTCGGATCACCATCAGCAACCACAACAGAACAAACCCCCGTCTCAAATCTTCAGTCAACTTCTTTCGTCTATTACTCTGACGCATCATATCAAGAAAACAAACTGCCCAAAGACTTCGCCGTAGCGAGAGACTGCTCTCCTCACTTTTATTACGCCTACATAGCAATAATGCCCCCACAACCTCCTTCCTTTTCCGAACCCCGAACAACATCTCTCCGCATTAACCCGCCCAAGCCGCTGTCAACAGCTTCTTGAAACAGAGCTGCTCTGGAATAGCATTACAAGAATTGAGAACCGTGGCATTCTGGAATTTTGCGTGGAAATACCTTCAAGCAACCGCGTACTCAAGGCTGATCAGAGTGATGGCGTTTTGGAAGCAAGAGTATTCAACGTGTAAACAACACCTAGGTGAAGTCTGCAGAGTACGAGAACCCACGGAACTCCTCCTGCATAGCCTGGCTGAGCACACTCTGTACCGGCGTAAGCACCGGCGTAACACTGGTAAACTCCGTGTCGAAATTGCTGGTATCAGTCGCGCTCGTAATCGTCGGGATGAACGGCGCCGGCACCCTCTTATGGTAAATGTCGTCCCAGTTGATGTTCCTGAAGAAAGCGTGGGACATGATTTCCTGCGCATCCGTGGGGCCTGAACCGAGGCGCATCTCGGGCTCGCGGGTGAGCAGTTTTTGGAGGATGGAAACGGAGTCGCGCGGCATGTGGATTGGGTAGAGGGGTTCGTCGGCGAGAATGGCGTCGTAGATTTCGTCCTCGTCTTCTCCGCGGAAGGGAGATTGCTGGAGAAGCATTTGGTAAATTAGGACACCAAAGGCCCACCAATCAACTGCGCGGCCGTATTTCTTGTCTAACAGAATCTGTACATTTGAGGTTAGCTGATGCTAGATCCAGGGGTTTGGTTGATGCTTACCTCAGGTGCCATGAATTCAGGTGTACCGCAGAATGTGCTAGTAGTGGACCCATACCACATCTCTTCTTTACATAGACCGTAATCGGCAATCTTGATGTGGCCATCAAGAGTGAGCAGAATGTTGTCGAGCTTCAAATCTCTGTAGATGACACCATTCTCGTGAAAGTACTTCAAAGCCAAGCAAACCTCGGCTGCGTAGAATCTGAACAAATGTTAGACTGGTGGTGAACACACGGGTCTGTGTACTTACTGAGCGCGCTTGGTGCCGAATGTGCCCCTTTGAATATGCAACATCAAATCACCACCACTGATGTACTCCATGACAAAATACACTCGGGTTTCTGTTTGGAAACAAGCGTGCAGATTGACCAGGAAGGGGTGCCTCTCCTTGTTTGCTATCAACAAGACGCGCTTCTCGGATCGTACACTCTCGACTTCGTCGTTTTCGATGATGAACTCCTTCTTCAGCACTTTAATGGCGTATAATTGCTTGGTGCTCTTGGTCTCTGCAAGCATAACCTTTCCGAAGTTACCCTTTCCAAGGACCGCGAGGAAGTTGAAATGGTCGAGCCCAATTCTTCTTCCAGTACCTTGTGTGTTCGCCGATGGTGTCACCTTGTTCTTCGGTGCCTCGGTAGGTATCGTCTGTGGTTTTGCTATCTGTTGCGTTGGCGATTGTGGCTGAACAGGCGGTTGTTGCTGGGGCTGAGCCTGTTGTGGTGGTTGTGGGTGAGGAAAGGAAGGCTTCGATTGCGCATAGGGTGCACTTGGTTGTTGGGCTCCCGGGTGGCTTGGGAAATTGGCGAAAGCTGAAGGATCGTAAGGCACATGCTGCGGCGGAGGTGGCTGCTGTGGTTGCTGTGGTACGCGCTGATCTTGTGGATAACCTCCTGAAGTCCTTCCGCTTTGTGCCATGTAGTTGTCTGACTGAGTTCGGCCATATGCAGGAGCAGCAGCGGAGCTCTTGTCCATCGCTGCCCTAGCGGCGTTAGCAGCCGCAACAGAGGATTGTGCTCGATCTGGTTGAGGTCGCTGTTGCGAAGTAGGAGAGGTTGGCGTGGGTGTGCCACTCGACGATCCAACAGATTTGCGTGCGGCATCGACCGAGGCAGCGTTGTACGAAGGCTGCCGTGGCGGTCCTGCAGGTGGAGATGATGGTTGGTCTTTTCCATAAGAATATCTGTTCGGGTCGTCTTGACCCGGTGGGGGCGCGAACTGCTGCTGTGTCGCAGGCAGCGGCTTCGTTGCCGGCTGTGGCCTCAACGTTCTTCCGGCCATGGTTGAGGCCATGGCTGCGCCTGATGCCGATTGACCTCGCCTAGTCCTCTTGATTTCTCCCAAAATTTGGTTAGCAGCTTCCATTGACATACCACAAAAGTCGGGTACAAAATGGACGCAGTGAGCGTGACACGTGAGAGCACATTCTAAGACAGTGTTAGTAAGTTTTTCACCGAGACACAAACATAAAACGTACCTGTACACTTTTTGGTCTGTTTGCGACCGAGCGGAAGAATATAGCCACAGTGACAGCACCAATTGGCTCCCATGTTCGAGAAATTTTCAAAACGATGCGGAATGCGATGATTGAGCTTTGCCTCATCCGGGTCTGTCTCGGCGTTTGACTGCGTGATACACTTGGTGACCACTTTTGGATAACACTTTTTGTGACAAGTGTAGTTGCAGTCTGAACACTGCATTCCGGCAGCGTACTTGAGGAACTCGGCACATAGTGCACAACGCATGACGTTGTAGAACTGCTGTTGCACGAACTTGTGGCCGTACTGTTCAACTACTTCTTCCTTGCGCTGACGAACGGCGCCTTTACGGCCCAGTCCGACGTCGAATGGCTGCTTGTTGGCTGTTTGCTTGGCTGTTGTTTTGTTAGTATTGACCATATATTGAAGACCAATAAACGCTCACCAAAAGACATGGTCAGATGGATGCGACCAACAGGTTCGAGTGAGAACCAGTCGTCAACCATCACGGGTCCAGTTTGAGGCTGCGCGCCTCCCTGGCCTTGCGCTGGACGCATCCCACCAGGGGGCGCGCCTCCAGGACCGAAGTTGTTTGAGCCAGGAGGCGGTTGGAATTGCATATCGGGCTGGATGCCTCCGGCGCCTCCTCCCATCATGTCGGCCGAGACCCATCCTGAGTTCTGTAGCTCGGATTCGATCTTTTTCCGGCGCATTTCCTCGACAATGTCCGATATGCGAACCCAGAGCATTCCAATTGGAAGTAAACTGTCTCCGGTCTTGTCGTAGACGGTGATTTCAATTTCGTTCGCTTTGTCAATGCTGAACTCGTGCACCTCGTCCAGCCATTTGTCGTTCCTGGTCGGCTTTGTGCGGCCCTTGATCGCGTCTTCGACCTTGATATTAACAAATGTCTCTGGACCACGGCTGAAGCGACCGGTAGCTGCGTGGTCGACGTCGGCAACTTCCCGGACGCGTAAAGAAAGATGTCCACTCAATGGCTTTCTTTGACTGGGAATGTTCAGGCTGTCGTCTGCAGGCGTGTCAGCATACATGCACGAGGTGTCTGAGGTATGAGACTCACTGTCGTCGCCCTCGCCCTCAATGTCTACATGCAGATCCTCGTAACGCTTCAATGAGTGCTTGAGCAGCTGGATCTTCTGGTTACTCTCGATGCGCTTGGCCTCGGCGTCTTGCTTGCTCTTGCGATCGCCCTCCATCTGGTAGAGGCGGACCATCTTCTCGATTCCATCCTTGTACTGCTTCTCCACACTTAGCTTGAACTCGAGCTGTGACAGCATCAGCTGGATGCGGGGGCCCAGATGCGGCGTGTCGTATTTGATGAGGTCTGGCAATCGTCAGTGCATGTCCTAGTGTTCTTTGCGTCCTGAACGTACCGAGCTTGCTGTAGTTGGGGCGCTTGTTGGGCGCGCCTGGTGCCGGCGGGGCATATGGCGCGCGAGGAGGCATGAGGACGTTTCCACCGCTGAGGTTGTTGTTCGGACCCTGAGGCGAGGTGAAGCCACTCTGCTCCTGCACGTATCCGCCGCCCCACCCATCTTTTGGCGGAGGCGTCAATGGATTGTTGGTGTTCCGCGAGCCCGATTGCAGGCTCATGTTGTCCAAGCCTGAGGTTGTCCGCTGCACCTCCAGGTCCCGCAGCTTCGACTCAAAGTAGTCGATGTTCCGGCGGCCATCCTTGATCTGCCCGTCGAGTCGCGAGAGCACGGCGGGATTGTTGGTGGACTGGCGCATGGCATTTGCAGCGTTGATCAGGGCGCGTTCCCTGTCAATCTTCTGCTGCACCTTGGCCACGGTGTCGTCGACGTTGGACATGGTGGCGGGTCTCTAGGTGCTTCGGTGAAGAAGGCGTGCAGGCTGCTTTTCGCCGACAGCAGCAGACGGTGGTGCCTGGCGGTGGGACGCTGCGTGGGAATAGCGTCGACGCCCAAGCGGGCACCGGTCGTGCGGAGCGTGGGTCCCGACGTAAGAGTCCTGTCGCCGTGTCCGTGTGGTCCACGGGGAATCAGCGTGCGAGTGGTGGTCCGTTAGGAGGTAGCAATGACGGCAGCTCGCGGGTGTGTGGTGACGATGTCGTCAAATCCGAGCGGATGAACTGCGATTTAGCTCTGCACACGAGCGTGGCTGAGCGGTTGCCCCACAAGTTTCCCACTTCGCACAAAGACACCAGGCAGTTGTGGCTAGTACGCGCCCGTCGGGTGAAGCAGTGCGCGGGGGTCCTGGGCTTGAGGCGTGAGTGTTGTTGCGACTTATGACGGCGCGCAGGGCCTTGTTGTGACCTAGATAGTGGGGTGATGGATTCAGGCGGGGTGGACGGCCAGTTCACGCACTATTCAGGAACCGCCAGTGGCGCATGTGCACACCAATTCCAGCGAGTATACTTGCACAGGCATGAATCACCCATCTAAAACGTCTTCATCTGCTACGTGTTGAGTGTTGACATGCTTGATCTTTGTTGACCGCAGCTGATCGTCACCGATTGGATCATCTCAGGGCATGTGCGACATGACGCGAATGCCCAAGGCTTGTTTCTACTGCTAGACCCATCCGCTCACGTTTTGCAGCTGTGCTACCCACTGAAACACTCAACTTGCACATAATCTCGGTAGCCTGCAGGTTCTGTGCCCATCGTAATGCAATTGTTGTGAATCTGACTGGAATGCGCGGCTGGTCTTGGCATGTTTTGCCCATGCCGCAGGAAATGCAATTAGAAAAGTATGGGATATCTACAATAAAAGGAGACGAGTAGCATGCAGTCCCAGAATCGCAAACAGTTTCGACGAGTAGCGGCGTTGGACCGCGACGAGCTTATTCGCTATCATCGCCAATGAGCTTCGCGTAGTCTTCTAGCAGATGCGAATGTGGGAAGATGCTTGAGCTTCCTCTTCTTGCTCTTCTTCTTGTCGCCCTTCTTATCATCATCGACATCGGTATCGTCGTCCATGTTGAGATCGACAGGAACCTCATCCTCATCATCCATGAAGCCGTCCTCGTCGTCGAGGTCGAAGTTCTCAAAGTCATCCTCGTCGTCATCGTCCGCAGGCTCAGCACCGCCAGCATCGTCATCGTCACTACCAAGGTTCAGCTCGACGCCCTCATCCATGTTGACACCGCCATCTTCGTCATCGCTCATCATGTCTTCCATGTCAAGATCACTAAAGCCTTCGTCATCGCCACCGTCACCCTCGACATCAGGTCGGCTCTTGACAAGCGCCTGCCAGATTTCATCCTCGCCGCTCTCGTCATCACTGTCTGCCTTCTTGTTCTTCTTAGCCTTCTTGTCCGCCTGCTTCGCTTTGCCTGCTTTCTCGAAGTATGTGTGGAAGAAGACCTCGTCGACGCGCACGTCATCGACCTTCTTACGCCAGAACAGCTCTGAGTTGAGCGGGTCGTGCGTACGATCGCCATCGCGCGCAGTGATAAGGTAGTCCGTAGCCTTGGATGTACCAGACATTGGCTGCATAATGGAGGAGCCGTGAACAGCCTGTGATTTGGTCTTGGCATTTTTAAACGAAAATTTGTCGAGAAAATTCATCAAGGTGTAAATCGTGGGGTCTGGCTTCTCCTTGATTTGCTCTTGGTTAACAATTCTCGAGGCGAGGACGTGAACCGAGGGGTGGTAATGTGCTTGAAGTGGCAGCAGCTCCCATAGACATGACAGATCTGCCTGCGCGTGTTCTGGATCTCGTTTCCGGGCGTCGTAAGTCGGCTGCTTCGCTCCCTTTTCACCGGATGACTTCGCCTTCGCTTCTTCGTCGACGTCCTCATAATGCTCGTCCCCACTATCATCGGCGTGGTCCTCTGGCGTGGACAACATCGTCTTGATGGTAGGGAAAGTAGTAATAAGCTCGTTGATTAAGTAGAGGACACCACAGATGAACGGAGGGTCGTGCATGTGGATGATCTGAAGTAAGCGCTTCACAAAGGCCTTGACGCGTTTGACGCTCGTGTCGGCCTTGAGCGCCCGGTACAGCAGATTCAAAAACATAATGTGTTTGGAAGTTGAGATGAGCCGTGGGTCCAAAAGAGATTCGTAGAGTGTCCGGTAGAAACGGTCTGCGGAGTAGTGCTTCGCGGCAGAAATCTGCTGGATGAGCGTCATGGCCTGGATGCTGGTGTTGAAGTTGGACGAATGCGTGACCTCGTAGAGAGTGTTGAGCTTCTCCTCGAACTTTGCGTCGTCCGTCTTCGCAAACGGAAATGCGCGGTTCACGCCCGTCAGAATGGCGGAGATAAGCTTCTCTCTCGATTCATCCTCGACCATGAAGGCGTTTGTGGCAGCCTTTTCGGCCTTCTTCTTTGCCATCTTACCAGGCTGACCACCACCACCTTGGAGATGGCCGTGCTTGTTCAGTCGCTTCTCTTCCTTCTCATGCTCTTTCTGCTTCTTCAGCAGACCCAAAAAGAGAGTGAAGTACATATCCAGGAGTTTGTTCGCGACCTCATGTTCCTTGACGCTGAGAACGGTCTGGTTCAGAGTGATGACCGCGTAGTACTTGGCGGTTCCACTTTGGTTGGGACGGAAGATGAGGTCCGACTCGATAGAGCTCATAATGACACTCTTCATGAGGGGATGTGTTATCTGGAGCTGGAGCAGCAGATACGATGCCCTCGATGCGACCTTCTTCTCCTTGTCTCCAAGCTTGTTGATGAGCAGGCGCAGCAAATTCTCTTCCTGTTCGGGCTTTTCTTTCAACAACTCCCAAACGAAAGTGACGGCTCGGTTGCGCGAATATTCAACTTCGTCGTTGGACCAGGTCTCCAAGATTTTAAGCATCTCAAAGTACTGCTTCTTCAGCCAATCTTCGTACGCCCAGGCTATCAAGTGTATTTTCTGCAGCTCGCCTGGTAGTTTATCGCCAGTCTTCCATTGCGCACCCTTGCCCTGCACAGCAGACAGGAGGCCTGGTTGCCGCGCAAAAGCCTTCAGCTTTCGGTCAGGTGGAAGCAATACACCTTGGCCAAGAAGGTCCTTCAGCGCAGCCAGGGCCATCATCGCCGCACTCCTGCTCTTTTTCCTGGAAAGCCCCAGGAGCTGATCAAAAGCCTTCATGGTGTGCAGCGGCGATTCCTGAACTAACAGGGTCAGGGCTGAAACCTTGTCCTCCATGGTTCCGGCATTCATGATAGAGGACATGAAGCGATGCGATGCGTCTTTGGACAAGTGCACCGCTGCATACTCGGCCGCCTCAGCCTCCAGAAGCTGGTCGGCATATTCGTGGATCGCGTCGAGTACGTAGCGTGGAGGTATCGTGGGGTTGTCGATGGTGGGGAGCTGTGGAAGCTCTACCGTGTGCCATTCTGGCTGCACCTTGAACAGCTGTCGCGCGCATCAGCATGGTCATCCAAAGCTATCCTATGACGTGTATACATACCAACGCAGAACGCGCCTTCTGATCTCCGTGCTTGCGCTTGTCCTTGTCGCCCTTCACGCTCGTCCGATTGCTATCCGGCGGCGGCTTCGCAAAGCCATCTTTGGTTTCGGCATGGGTCCGCTTCTTCCCCATTTGATGTCGTCGGTGTCGCGGGGTATTTCGCTGCAAGGTCCGTCAGAGAAGAAACTCTGACCCGTCATGACCTTGAAAGAGACGACTGTGACGCCCATGTGGTTCGAAATTTGAGATGCGCACGGGCCAGGCGCGGTGAATCATTCAACCGCGACCCTCGACCCGCACTCTAACCGGATCCGGCATTGGTGGGTTCTGCTCTTTGGCTATGCTTACGAAACCTATTGAGATCCCGAAGTAGCTGATTAATTTACTAGAGTGACTCAACGTGGCATTCTTCGAAACTTACACTCAATTGAAGCAAACGAAAGATACCCCGGGGCTTCTCGTGCAGTAGCAGAAGCAGCACGACGCAAAAAAAGTTTGACCCAGCTCACTCGACTCGCCAGGTCTGCATAAGGCAAGGGACTCACGGACACTATACTACAATGGCCACAGCTCCAAGTGACGGAGACGTCAAGACATCCATCACACCTTTGCTCAAACGACTCTGGCACGAATCACCGTCGACAAAGCCTGATGCTACCGAGATTGCAGCAGCACTCGCATTGATCTTCACCAACAGTCTCTCAGAAGTACAAACGGGAGCACTTTTGACGTGTCTTCACTTCACGGACCTGGATAGACAAGCAGATGTCTTGGCAAAATGCTCACAGGCAATGCGAGATTTTTCAACCGGCATCGATGTTGAAGGATTAGAGCGCCTGCTTAAAGAGCGCGGGAGGAAAGAGGGAGGTTACTATGGAGGTTTGGTATGACTACTCGCATCATCTCATCAACGCCGTTTTACTGACCAAAATGGACAGTGCGACATAGTCGGTACAGGCGGTGATTCACACAACACCTTCAACATTAGCACTACTTCTTCCATATTGGCCTCTTCTCTCCTCATGATCGCCAAGCATGGCAATAAAGCTTCAACATCACGTTCAGGTTCTGCGGATCTTCTTTCTTGCGCGCCACCAAAGCCGCCAGTCATTACCGCCATCGCGCCTAAGACGATTCTCGAAATCTACCAGAACACCAATTATGCGTTCCTCTTTGCGCCCATTTTCCACCCAGGGGCACGGCACGCAGCAAGTATCAGAAGACAGCTTGGCTGGCGCACGATTTTCAACCTTCTTGGTCCGCTAGCAAATCCACTCCACGACTTGATTGAGGCTCGTGTATTGGGTGTAGCAAGGAAAGAAATCGGACCTGATTTTGCCGAATCACTTCGCCAATCTGGATGTCGGAAGGGCATGGTCATCTGTGGTGACGAAGAGCTGGACGAATTGTCATGCGCAGGTCCCACGCACTGCTGGCGCTTAGTTGAGAACGATTCAACAGGCGAAGTGAATATCAACTACTTCACAGTAACGCCAGCGGACTTTGGCCTGCCATCGCATCCTCTCACCGCAGTATCGCCTGGTCAAAGTCCAGAGAGGAACGCCGAGATTTTGATGGACATCTTACAGGGTAAGGTGCCCGTCGACGACCCGATTCTGCACTTTGTGTACCTCAATACTGCAGCGCTGTTTGTTGTCAGCGGCATTTGTGACGCAGACACAAGCGACATGGGTCACGGCGATGATGGCAAGGTCATTACCGAAGTCGGTCCAGGAGGTGGAAGATGGAAGGAAGGCGTCAGGAGAGCGAAGTGGGCAGTGCAAAGTGGCGAGGCCTACAGGCAGTGGGAAAAGTTCGTCGAAGTCACGAACCGGGTTGCATAGATCCGCAGCTCGTGGAGTATGAACGGCACATATCTTATTTACCTGCTCAAGAGGCCGTCCTGTTCACTGTATTCAGACTCTGAACTGATCGAATTTTTCTTTCAGAGACAGCTTGATCTCGTATAATACCATACCGAAGCCCGTATCGTCGCATCCCTGTCTCTGACCATCCGCGTGAGGACCTCCTCCAGACCCCTCTCACACAGACACCGAACGTTTCCCCTTCCCCTCGAGTGATATATAGAGCCGCTTTAACTTCGTGCAAGAGCGGACGAGATCATGCCAAGCTTTTCGAAACTCCTCGATCCAGTCTTCATCGCACACGGCAAAGCACGTCGCCGAGCCAACAGTATACGTCAGTGACTGAATGTTATTGCAGCGTTTCTTGATGAATGGAATCACTTGTGCAAGGAGGTCGAAGCGGCAGTCATTTCCGGTTTGATGTTGAGACTCGGTTAAGGTTATGCTGGTAAGATAGGCTTATTTGCTGGGCAGGTGTTAGCAGATATTGATGGCCTGGAGTAGCTTGTAATAACTGTTTGAAGATTTTAGGCTCGAATCCTAAGACTTTCCGCTCTTCATGGTGGCTAGACCGCTGTCCATTGGCAATGGAATATCGAGGTAAGAAGCGAGCATCAGTGTTCTCGAACACAAGGCCCAGCAGCTCGTCTCGGATTGACATGTTAACGCAAATTAGACCGTCGTCAATGTCAATGGTGGTCCAAACTGGTCCTGAAAAGGCTGCTCAGGCTTTCCGAACAGGGCTTGACATGTCTCCAGTTCCTCTCTGTCTAAAATATCACCAGCATCCTCCTCATCCTTGAATTCCATCCGAACTTACCGGCACCACTCCTCCCACCGAAATCTTGACCCTTGCCATGCGAAGTGGTCCCCGCCAATCAATCTGCTCCACCCTGCGGTCAATTTCCACAGCACCTCGACGAGCATGCCAAGTCATCGGCCAATCCGAGTCTTCATGGAAGATAACGTGTGATTTGATGAAGCAGTGTGGAGGACCAGGGCAGCCAAGCCACATCTTTCTACCAGTGGGAAAGCCGAGGATTGAAAGTACATGTATCTAACCTCTGCTGGGAGGCGCTCGATGAAATTACTTGGCATGGTGTTATCGAACATTGACGCAAAGGTCGGATGAGTGCGCAGTTGAGGTACTTGGAAAGTTGGGCGCTCGAGTATGATTGCACATGAACTCGACGCGCCGGCAGTGCACAAAGTACTGTGTGGAGTAATTCACGCATTGTGGGCTAGACTTAGGTATACAGTGCGAGTTTTTGAAAGTTTGATTTACTGCGTGTGGAATAAGACGTCACATTTCCTACTACCGTAGTATTGAGCTACTGTTTCCACGCATCAATAAACTGCGCAGGAGTTCGTTGTTGTAGCTTATCGATCGAGCATAGTCTTTTCGAGACATGTAGCCGTCGTCGTTCCGACGTCCGCCAACAAAAGTTCCTACTCCGGATGAAGCTTGAAACGCTTACCGGCGAACAGAGTGCTTGCCGGTGAAGGATCGACAGGATCGGTCGGACGTGGATGCGCGGGCCTGGCTTAGTAGTAGACTTTCGGCGAAGTCAACGCATGTCGAGATTGCCATGCTTCTGCCGTACCCGGATGATATCGGTCACGAACCTTAGCGCGCTTTCCGTTCTGATCGGTCAAAAATCCTCTCTGCCTTGACCTCGACCTCACCAACCACCTTTTGCGCTCACACTTACTTCCAGTCAGCTTTTGCCGTCTTCTAATGTCAGCACATCATTTCAGATACCAGAACATGTGCGGTTAGTGCACCCGGATTTCGCCATCGATCCACCGATCAGGAATATAACAGTTACACAATAATCTCCAGGTGGCCCTCCGACGTAAGTGACGTGAGCTCATGCTTAGCGCGGCTTGCGACCCGGAGATTGATGTAACGAAAGCCCAGCCTGTGGCACCAGGCCGCAAGATCAGTCATGATGCACCTTTGCCTTGTGATCCAGTACACGCAACCTACGCGATGATCAACGCAATCTTCAAGCAGTGCTACATTGTTGCGATATCGATGTTTGCAAATCCTGGTCGCCGTGTACTTTGGTCTTCGCGCGCCTCAACGTGTATGCGTCGTGATTTGAGTTTCCAAGGTCAACCTCAACGCCCCAGGAGATGGTCGCACAGCGTTCGGGTGAAAACACATCAAGCGCTGCCATTCCATTGAATGCGCTCGCCTCGACAGTCTGCACAGTCGGTGTCGCAATGCTCTCGAACCCATGCTCTGCATGCGGGGTGCGCCTTGGTAGGCATCTGCATCTGCACAATCAGCCCGATCCAGTATCGGGCACACTGGCCTTGCCAGACTCAGCACACATACGGCATATCGCTCGAGGCTCTGTGATGACGAGATAAGAGCAAAAATCACTCAATACCGATGAAGAAGAACCTTCAGCCTGGTACGAAGCTACAGCCAGGTGATGATGATGACAGTGGTCCACAATGTCGACCAGAAGTCGGTCTGCCAGAGGATCGAAGACGCGAGATCGCTTGGACGAGGTGCAGCTGGACGTGCGCCACTTGGTTTGAGTAATCCCTGCGCTGCGTGTTATTCGAGCCCACGTGTCAGCGTGGTGATGGGGCGCACCAGCTCGCAGCGGAGAATTGTAAGAGACGCTGTCGAGAGGCATATATGTGAGTCGCAGGAGGATGAATTCAGACCGGACCGAATTGTAAGGGAGTTCTTCGGTAACATGGACTCTGACACGGCCCACGGAGTTTGAGAAGGTCACCTCATCTGCTTGCCTACCAAGCGCCGTCACTGACGAGGCAGACGTCAGCAACGACAGTAAGGCGTCTACCGCGGCGGAGGCTGTCGCGGCGACGTGGAAAATCTATGAGAACGGCCAGCCCGTGGTGGGTCGCTTGTATGGGTGTGTTGCTGGGGGACGTGCCGCTAACGCCAAGTTCATCGGGAGAGAACAGATGTGATGTTAATAGCCGTGTGCCCAGTGCCCACCGCGCCTCACTCCCAAAGCATAGCCTCTGCAAGAACATACCTGGCTTGTTACCAGCTCTCTGTGGGCCACCTTTGATAGGACAGTGCAACGAAGCGCATGTTCTTTGCACCCATCCCAAGGTATCGTTATCGTCGACGCTTGGCCCCTTTGAGTCCCCGTTTTTCGGCTCCACGACACCCGCCCGCGAGACCATCCGGGCCGTATCTAGTCTATCCTGGCATCGCCCGAACAACGGCTTTCAGGGAGACGCGCTGAAGGCAACGGCCATTGCATCTTCAGTGCCAACCAGGTTCCGCTTGAGCACTCCGCTAAAATTTACGCCTCGTCGAGGCCGCGTGCCACTGGTGCGCCTTGCCCAGCATCATCGGGAGAAAGCAGCATACCACGGCTGGCTGCAGCATCTGCTCAAACGTAGCAAATGTCACAAGCGCACATACATACGCAGCAGCCATCCCGGCCGGTGCAGCAGTCGTCGCCTCAAGGCGCGCAGTCGCCGTCCACATTGAATGCCTCACCGATGGTGACCCCAGGGGCTTTGACGCCCAAGGGTCACGTGGACGACACTGGACGACGCATACAGGGCGCTGACAGGGCGCGCGCGTCGATTGCTTGTACGAGTTGTCGTCGGAGTAAGACAAAGTGCAACAACAAGGGTCAAGGGACCACCTGCATTGCTTGCGCCGAGAAGAACAAGTTCTGCGATTACAGCAACACGGATGCATCCACGACCGGTGTAGTGAAACGGCGGGAGAGCACGGTTGGAGACATTGATGTAAGTGCATGTTGCGTTCTCCTATGTCTTGCACCTGTCAGTCCACAACAGTGACTTTCGCTGGTGTCTATCGTGTAAATCCATTCCTGCTTCTCCCACACGTGTTCGACTTGACGGCTGCTGTTCAGTAAGAATTGACCGAAGGACTCGCAGACACATCCCAGGAAGCGAAAGAGACCAATAGCGTCGGCTCTGGCGCATCACCCTTACGATGTCCCTAAAACCCAAGATGACGTTCTGCATTCTCCCTTCCTCACCGCCAAGGTCTGGGAAGAGCTGGTATGTGCTGCAACTCAACCTGTGAGCTCGCATTGACGAATGCCAGTTCGACATCTACGAAAAACATTTCGCGTCTGACTTCCCCTTTCTACACCGGCAGAGGTTCCTGAAGCCGCTGCATCAGCCTCAACAATCTATCGCTTCCAGGCAGAACTTTGATGCTCTACCACGTCCTCCACACAGCCCACCTCTACTCCTTGGGTTCCTGACTCTGACTGCTCGTTATCATCCCGAATTAGTACAGCGCGTAGGGACCCCTATCGCGACGGCAGAGTATTGGGCGAAAGCCACGCAAGACCGTCTGGGCTCCATTCCCGGGACCGGATCTCTGGAAAGAGCCCAGGCTATGCTTTTCCTTGGGTATCATCGTTGGACTGATCTGAAAGGAGAGAACGGATGGCATTTCATTGGACTGGCCACGCGTTATGTGCAAAACCTTGGGTACCAGAAAGACGAAAACTACGAAGATACTAAAAAAGGGGAACGCCGTGGCTCCGACGCCGAAGACGAACTTGCCGAGCGTAAAGAATTCATCGACCGCGAAATCCGTCGCCGCACTTTCTGGAGCTGTTTCATCATGGATCGATATACAAGCTGTGTATCAAGTCGAGTACAGATGATCAACGTGAATGACATCAAAACCCAACTACCCTGCAACGATGGAGCTTTTAATACAGGAACTAAAGTCAGGACTCGGTGGTTAGGGGAGAGCGATGAACAATACAGCGAGCGTAGGGACGCAGAAACGGCCAGGACAAGACGTGTCCACCATCATTCTCTTTGGGACAACAGAAGCAAGACACATGGCGAAACCCAGTGGGAAGTGGGCAAAAGTGAGGCAGCACTAAGCTTGTACATACAGACAGTCGACTACTTCGGCAAAATCCTGGCGTATTCGATTGGGAGAGGTCGACGGTACGTGAACCGAAGTGTCCGATCGCGCGTAGTGTACTGACATGGTTTAGGACAGAAGAGCATCCCCCTTGGGACGAAAAAAGTACATTCTACAAGCTTGTGCAAGGCTATGAGGTGCTTCGAGCCGGACTGCCACAGCCTCTGACCCTTACAACACAGCATACGTATGATCATATCTACTCGAAAACTTCACGAGATTACGTGATGATCCACGCCCTTCACACCTTATGTACTATCGCTTTGTACAGAGAGTATATTGCGTTCGCGCCTTGGGGCAAAGCCAAACCGGAGGGGCCTTTGGATGAACCCAGGATCACACAACCACTTCCGGACGATATGCCAGACTACTGGATTGATCAGGCTCGCAAGTGCTTCGGTGCTGGAAAAGACTTTGCCGAATTGCTCATCGCTTGCGATGCAGCTAATGCGCTTGTTGACAGTACTATTGCGGGTTGGGCCACGTACATCGTCGGATGGTGTGGTAAGTTGTTCACTCATTGCTCCGGATCTTCAATCAGAAGCTAATTAAGTCTAGCTATGTACTGCCACATGTTTCCCAACATGGACCCTGACCGCGCGTTAGACTCTCATGCACAACCAAATGCGTGGGACACGACAAATAAGATCCTCCATAAGGTGGGAAATCGCTTCACTATGCCGGGTTATTGGCAAGATGCTCTTACGCGCTTGCATGACCTCTATCGGCAACAGAAACACAATTGGAAGAGACTTGCGAATTCGCCTGGAAGCACATCGAGTACAGCCAGTGAAGGTGGAGGTCTCTACATTTACGAGTCTCAAGGTTTCCAAACAGATCACTTAGAGCTTGGCAATACGTTGGACAAGAGTTGGAGTCGCAAAACCAGACCAGACGACTGGAAGCTCACTCATGACCCGGCCGCGGAAAGACACAACGGACTGAACAGTCCGACAGCGAACTTTAAAATTGAAGACACACCTGCCTCGACACCCCATTCGACAGGTTTCAATTCGATCAACGGGCAACCAACGAGCGAGGCGCCTTCGGTGACGCCATCAAGCCGTATGCCATGGAATGCGCATCCTTCCCCATCCGTTGCACCTGTACGCCCATATGGATCCTCCGAAATACCACAGAGTCCCCACGGACCACAGATAACGCCAAACCCCAGCATTGAGGGTACAACCATTCCGTCGCCTTATAGAGAGAGTGCAGATGTGCATTTCCCCCCGGCCCCAACGCATCACTACGCACCTCGAGAGGCTCTTCCGGGCGTAGCACGCGGACCTACCCGCCCTACAACTGCGCTGTACGGCTGGTCATCGCAAGTCCAACAGGCACAGTTTGCGCAGCAGATGACTGTTGACGAAATGAGACTTCGAGGGCAACCTAGTGTTGCCATGGGCGAATTTTCAGATTTCCAGCGTGGCGATTATAATCCTTGGCCCAATCAGCACATGCCCGATTTTGATGTATTCAATGCCAATTACGGGTCTGAAATGCCTTATTGCGAACTAATCGATCAGGGTTATCTGGCCGGGCCTACGCAATAAATCGCTCTAGCAAAAGGGCTTTGAGCCGCCATTCGACTACAGGGCTAGAGTCGGGCCAAGTCCCGGTCGACAGTCCTCTGGTGCTATCGTCTTCCGACCCGCTTCTTTGTGGGACTCTGTCATAATTCCTGCTGTCGACCACTTTTGTTATTCTTCGTTCGCGATACGCTTGACTCTCATGGGCTGCTTTATAATGGGAAGTTCATTACCGCACGGCGTTGGAAGATTGGGACATTATGTTGTTGTACATGTTTATGACAAATCTAGAGAGCTATGTGTCTAGACAGTGTAGGCTTCTTTGCGTACGATGCGATAGCGATGGTGGCTTGGTTGTAAACCATGTTTTTGCCTAGTAGCCTTGGCCTAAAAGCTGTTTGTAGCGTCGTCAGCGAGGTTTAAATACCAATAATATCTCAACCATGTGATCAAGAAAGAAAGCCGCGAACCATGCGCCAACCCAATGGTAACTTACACAACAGTACCTGAAACACATCCATCGCACACGTCCTACCCCAACCCCACAATGACCAATCCATGTGCCCAACCCATCCAACCTTCTCTCCCACCAGCCGTAACCTCGGTCACGCTCCCTCGCCGCCTCGTACACCCAGTCGGATGCCTTGCCCAAACAAGCTCCGGCTAAACACATCACACCCAAGCTTCCGACAACAAGCTCCACATCCCGGGCAACAAGCTTGCGCGGGCGCGCCACCCCGCCGATCGTCTTGGACGGTTGGGGCGTTTCCCCGCGTCTGCGTCATGCTGCGAAGGCGCTTTGGTCGATGGAATTGGTGGGATTTTAGAAGGTACCTGCATACGCTACCTGCCATTGGGAAGCTCGGAAGAAATGGATGCGAGATGCATCGGCGTTGTGGTGGATTGTGTCATTTGGGTGCTGGGGGGTGGGTTATTTGATGACATGCTCGCGCACTGTTTTTGACAAGGTGTGATTTTCCGTACCTGATTCTGGGATTCGCAAGACACGATGAAGAATCTTCTGAACGTGGTTGCGCTGTCGTCGTGTGCCATTGGGGCTGCGGCGAGGGCGGTGGGGTATTCTCCGAAAGAATGGATTATGCCGTACAAAAGAGAGGCTTTACAGGATATCGTGAGCATTTGGATCGGGAGAGATGGGCGGTCTTCAATGGATGGCTGATGTTTGTAGGTCACCTGGGACGAGGACTCGATCTTCGTCAATGGCGAGCGAATGTTCCTGTATAGTGGTGAAGTCCACCCGTTCCGGTAATTTGCTTCGAGCATTGGAACTTGAACGCAGATGCTAAATCAGCTCAGGATGCCGGTCGCAGATCTGTACATTGATCTATTCCAGAAGATCAAGTCTCTTGGTTACAACATGGTCAGCTTTTACGTTGATTGGGCACTGCTTGAGGGTAAGCCTGGCGTGTACCGCGCAGAGGGTGTTTTTGATCTACAACCGTTCTATGATGCTGCTCAAGAAGCGGGTATCTACCTCCTTGCAAGGCCTGGCCCATACATCAACGCAGAGGTGTCGGGAGGTGGCTTTCCAGGATGGCTTCAGAGGGTCAACGGCACTCTGCGAACCAGTGCGCCGGATTATTTGAACTCTACCAACAAGTATGATTTGCGCGAATTTCTCCCCTACTGGTACATACATACTAAGACAACGTCACAGCTATATGAAGAACATCGGCGCGAACATCGCGAAGGCTCAAATTACGAACGGAGGTCCGATTATCCTCGTGCAGCCTGAGAACGAGTACACGCAAGCAACTTCGGCCATCCAACCTTTCCCGGATCCGGTATATATGGAGTACATATACAAACAAATTCGCGATGCGGGTATTGTTGTGCCGCTGATTAGCAACGATGCATCAGCAAAAGGAAACAACGCACCAGGGAAACCTGCGCCTGTTGACATCTATGGTCATGATGGATACCCACTGGTACGTAGTTGCGTATCGAAACGCACATTTGATACTAGAGCTAATCAGCCTTTGTTTGTTGTAGGGCTTCGATTGCGCGAATCCTGAAGTTTGGCCCGATAACAACCTGCCCACAAATTGGAACCAGTTACACCAACAGCAAAGCCCTAGCACGCCCTACTCAATCATCGAGTTTCAGGCCGGTAGCTTCGATCCCTGGGGTGGACCTGGATTCGACAAGTGCTACACTCTTGTGGGCGCTGCGTTCGAGAGAGTGTTCTACAAAAACTTGTACAGCTTTGGTGTTACGATTCTAAACCTGTACATGACTTGGGGCGGTACCAACTGGGGCAACTTGGGTCACCCTGGTGGCTACACCTCGTACGATTATGCGTCGCCAATCCGAGAGGATCGCCGCGTAGATCGTGAGAAGTACTCCGAGCAGAAAGTGCAGGCGAACTTCTTCAAGGTCAGCCCAGCGTATTTGACCGCGACCCGAGGAAATGCATCAAACACGACCTGGACGACTACGAGCGATTTGTCTGTCACTCCAGCCTGGGGCAATGGCACTGGCTTCTACTTCCTTCGTCACTCCAAATACAACTCGCTTGCAACGACGAGCTACAAGCTCAAGATCTCGACTTCAGCCTTCGGAAACATCACTGTGCCCCAGACAAATGGCACTTCGTTGACTTTGAACGGCCGTGATGCTAAGATCCATGTCAGCGACTACGACCTTGGTGGCACGACACTGGTCTATTCGACTGCCGAGATTTTCACGTGGCATAAGTATGCGGACAAGACTGTTTTGGTGGTATACGGTGGACCGGGCGAGACTCATGAGCTTGCTATTGCCGTCACTGGACTCGAAGTACTCGAGGGTGATGTTCAAAGTACTGCTACGCGTGGTTACACGCTTCTGAGCTTCAAGGCGGATGGAAGCCGGAAGGTCGCTAAGCTCGGTGTAGGAAGCAACTTTGTCTATGTTCATATGCTTGGTAAGTCTTGCTTCAACTTGACATATGTTAAGGTGTCTCTTGCTAATACCACGAAAAAGATCGCTACCAGGCGTACAACTATTGGTCCATCGACACCGCTCCTCACTCCTCCGCCAACCCCGTAATACTTAATGCTGGCTACCTCATGAGGACTGCAAAGGTAGATGGTACAACTTTGGCCCTCACTGGGGACCTCAATACCACAACAACTGTCGAGGTTTTTGGTGGTGCGCCCAACGTCACCAAATTGACTTTCAACGGCAAGGATGTTGGCTTCACGACATCAAAGGAAGGTGTCATTTGCGCTAGTGTCGATGTCCCAAAGATCGATCTTGCAGTTCCCAAATTGAACGACCTGGAATGGAAGTACGTCGACTCGCTGCCCGAGATTCAAGCAGACTACGACGACAGTGCATGGGTTACTGCCGATCTCCCAAAGACGTACAACTCCCTCAGGCCACTAAAGACACCCATGTCCCTCTACTCATCGGACTACGGCTTCCACACCGGCACCCTTCTTTTCCGTGGAACCTTCACAGCTACCGGCAACGAGACATCCTTCTACCTCTCTACCCAAGGTGGATCAGCATTCGGCTCCTCCGCCTGGATTGGCGACCACTTCCTCGGCAGCTGGCGTGGCTACGACGCCGCTCTTAGCGGCAACAATACCTTTTCTCTTCCGAACCTGACCGCGGGCAAGAAGTACATCATCACTGTCGTCGTCGACAACCAAGGCCTCGACGAGAATTGGACCATTGGCACTGAGACTATGAAGAACCCCCGCGGAATCCTCGACTACAAGCTCTCCGGCCACGCCGCTTCTGACATTACCTGGAAATTGACTGGCAACCTGGGTGGCGAGGACTACGTCGATATCTCGCGTGGCCCACTCAACGAGGGTGGATTGTACGTCGAGCGCCAGGGCTTGCATCAACCAGGCGCATTTGCGGCATCGGGATGGACGGCCAGCAAAGGCCCTGTTAACGATGGTATCAGTGCGCCCGGAATTGGCTTTTTCGCGACTGAGTTCGAGCTCAATGTCCCCGCTGGCTACGACGTTCCCATGTCGTTCACATTCACCAATGGCACATCAGCGACGAATGGCTCCAGCGTACCGGCATATCGCGCGCAGTTATACGTGAATGGCTTCAATTACGGTAAATACGTCAGCAATGTGGGTCCACAGACAAACTTCCCTGTCCCTCAGGGAATCCTGAACTACCAGGGTACGAATTACCTGGCTGTGTCACTCTGGGGTTTGGACAGTGGCGCGACGAAGCTCGAAGGATTCGAGCTAGGCATTGACGGCACACTGTGGAGCGGTCTCGGAGAAGTCAAGTACGTCGAGGGTCAAACATATGCAGCAAGAAAGGGAGCGTATTAGGTAGTCATGGGTTCGTATTGATGAATAATCATATCCTCTACTTCATCTGAAGTATCCAATGTATCCATCTAGCCATCTGTTCCGTGAAGCTTCGCCATCATCATCTAGACCCATTCAGATCTTTCTATGTATATGAGACCACTTCCATCGAGCACACCATCTAGCAAGAATAACCGCACTTGTTGTGGCAGTCGTCGCCATTCTTGCGGCACGTATCAGCGCGGCAAGAGACGTCGCAGCCGTACGGGTTGAGCCAGCACCAGGGAGACTATCACAAACATCAGTAAGATCGTCCAAACCACACCAATATACAGGAATTTTAACTTACACCACGGCACTTGTTGTAGAAGTCATCGCACTTCTTGCAGTCGTCTCGGGCCTCAACCTTGGGCTCAGCGACCACGATAGGAACAACCTCGGTAGCAGCCTCCGCAGCCTTAGGAGGACAATCACCGGGGCAATTGTCACGGCACTCCTGGATGGCCTTGCACATCTCACGACGGCACGTGACAACGCAGGCATTAGGGTTGAGCCAGCAGAACCAGGAGCGCATGCACTTATCGAACCAATCGCTGCACTGCTTGCACTCGGCGCGGGCGAAGACGGTGTTGACGTTGGCATAGTTGGTCGAGGTATCCTGGGGAGCCGCGAGAGGAGTGGCTGCGACCATGACCGAGGCCGTGGCGGCGAGAAGGAGGGAGCTGAACTTCATGATGAGGAGAGAAGGTTTAGCTAAGATCGAGAGAGAAAGTTTTGGTTAAGGTTGAGAGAGAAGAGCTGTTGGGAGTTGGAGCGGGTGAGGAGAGATTTGGTGGGGGTAGGTGAGGGTATAAGTATGCTGGAGGCGAGGAATTGGTGGCGAGAATGAACCTCGAGAGTGTTTGCCTAGAGCCTGCAGGTGAGAGCAGTAGAGAAGACAGCCAGGCAGAATGTTTGCATTAAGTGATAGAATGACGACAGAGTGGTAGACCAGCAAAGACAAAAGCGATGGAGAGAGGCGCACAGTGTGAGTGAATGATATTGGCTAGTTAAAATTACACGCAGCCCTACATGATGGCATCGCCTACACTGCTGGCCCTCTGTCTTCTATCCAGATGCTGTGTACTCTTAGCCACAGCATTGTTGCCAGTTGACGATCTCGATTCGCCTTGACTGCTACCTGCGTTCACTCCATTTGTCATCTTCTTTTTCGCTGACCTTTTCCTTCTCCTCACCATCTGATATCCGCGTTCTATCTCGAACTCGATGGCTAATCTCACTTTCAGGGCGGTGACAGCTGGCCATACGCTTCGCTCTCCTTTGTGAATCCAATAGTCAATTCCCACCTTTGTGGGGTTCTCCAGGAGTTTAAAGAAGTCGATTGGCGATAATTCGGGCACAATAGTCAGACTTGAGCCGGGCACACGTTCGTCGATAAGGAAGCGCCGTATGGATCGGCTTAAGAGGCCCAGCTGATCGAGTTGATGCAATCGATGCTGAATCTCGAGTATCACCAATCGTAGAACAGGCATTGTCAATCTCCACCAACCGAACTGCCTAGGGTGCGGATGATGCGTGTCACTTCGCAGGAATGGAGCTAGGTATGGTCGAGCTTGGCTGATAACCCAGTGGTTCACATTAAAAAGCTCGCTTAGACGGTGCAAAGGTGATTGTCGATCACGATAATAGGCATGCGTCCAGGGACCGAAGGTTGCATTGAGAGCTGGGGGCCAGGGCACGATTTCGTCATTGTGGTCTTTCGAGTAGAGCACTACTTGATGGTAAAGAGTTGAGGACGCCGTAGCATTCGACGCGAGGGCAGCGGACCAGATGAGCTTTTCGCGCAAGTTAGTCAGATTAGAGTAACCTGGGAAGATGTGTACATACGACATTGGGAGCGGTCATGTAGTTCAACAAGTTCGGTACGCCGCTATCACCACCATTCGGAGTGACGGTGATATTCAAAGCTCGCTTTGTGCGCTCGTATGCCTGTTCGAAGGTGATATCGCCAATGTTTGATCTGAGCAGCTCTTCGAGTACGTCTACGTCTAGAAAGTGACCCAGCTTCCACCATCGCTTGATGCGTCGAGTGAGTGTTTGATACCACTTGCCATCTTCATTATTCCGGTTCGCGAATGCGTCCAGATTGATTCCCCCACCATTTAGGACGTCTAGTAGTTCATCCTCTGGGTGGACACAGACCAATGCTGCGATTATAGCGCCCGTGGCAGTCCCAGAAATGATCCGTGGAAGAAGTCCTCGAAGAAGCAGTGCTTTCACGACTCCTAGGTGACAAAGACCGAAAATGGCTCCTCCTTGAAGCACTAATGCCGATCGGCCGAAGGTTGACCTCATATCATGTAGAACGTCCAGCTTCCTCTGAGCAGTCAGAGCTGTACCATCCTCGGAGGTAGGTGCATGTGAGAGAAATTCAATGCCGTGCGCGACCTGCGTAACATAATCTTCGATGAGCAATTTCGTGCCGTTGTACGCGCGATTGTATAATTTGGGTGCAAGGATATTTCCGAGGTTGCGAACAAGCCCGCTTCTTATGTAGTCGATCAAGTCGAGGATATCGCCGCTTAATTGAAGCTCGTAGAGGGCCTCGAGACGTCGCTGGATGAGGCGATGATCGTAGTGCTTGTCTTTATGCAACTGCCGCCTGAGGTGTGTAAGCAAGGGACTGGTGTACAGGGAACAGTGTTTGGGATGATGGGATGCACATACCAATAGTCGTGGTCCATGCACTTGTCAAGAGTGAACGAGACAGCCGCATACTCCTCGTACATGCGTACTTCGGCCAATTGCTGGAGCAGCAGATCCCTATTGCTTGGCCGACGAAGCCATAGCCATAATCGCTGCAGCACATTAACGCACTGCTCGTAAACACGCTGACGTCTCATCTTCGGCACTTTGGGTGGAATGAAGGAAACGTACTCGCTGAAAGTAAGTAAATATCAGGTAGATGCACCACGCGACCTCGACTAGGTCCCTTGCGAGCGCTGCCATGATGATGCGGTCCGGACACTGTTTGGCTGCTGATGTTGGAACGAAGTGATGTGCTGCATCGTTAGTTGCTGCATGCTCCGGAATGTGTGGTGGAACCTAAAGGGTGCATTCGCGACCCAGGCTTTCACATGCCAGGACGCGAGATGTAGCTGCAGCCAACGTCAGATGGGCCGACTGTTTTGTGGGGAAGGGACGTGCGAGCTTCAGCCACACATGGCGTCCGAAGCCAGCCAACCACAACCCCGCAGCATCATCTGAACATGAGAGCGAGCACCATTTAGCATCCTAACATCAACTCTCGCATTTCGTCAAAATGCCGGGCTCATCTCTGTGGCTACTTCCGCCCAAATCGCACCGTCTCAACTCGATACTTCCCACCCTGATTGATCAAACCTCATCACACTTCGGATCTGCTCACCGGTTCCTGCCGCACGTCACCATCACTTCGGAGATATCACCATCCACACATTCACCCAATCCTCAAGCCTGGCTGGATTCACTAGAAATCTCATCAGGCGACAAGATTGAGGTCATGTTCGAAAAGCTGGCTAGCGAAGATGTGTTTTTCCGAAAGCTTTATATCAAATGCCACAAGACTGAAGGACTGAAGAAGCTAGCTGTGCTTTGTCGGCGGGAAGTGGAGGGGTTTGGGGAAGAGAGAGAGGCCGCTAAATGGGCGACTGAATCGTACAATCCGCATTTGAGCTTGCTTTATCACGATTGCCCATCAATCGACGCAAGTGGACTAGCTGAGATCGAAAAGTTGGCCCAGAGCACTGGAGTCAACCTCAACGGGCAGAGTGACTTGGGTGGCTGGAGTGGAGGTAGATTGGTTTTGGTTCCTACCGATAAGTCCATCGATCAGTGGTCTCCGATTGCTGAGAGAGAGCTATGAAGACTGTGCTCATCGAACAATGGCAAATAGATTTCATAAGAAGAGAATGTTTTGTTCTTGTGTTGATGTTTCATTACTATGGTATCAAACATTTCATCGTCAAAGTGAAGAGAATCGTCTACTTATGGTAGAGGCCGTGACATAGCTTGTATCACGATACGCTTATTTCATGAAGCCGGCCTTGCCGTCACCGTCAGCGTCCTTCTTGGGGTTGAGCTGGAAAAAAATTAGTATAGGGTTTACTGCTTGAGAACTTGCAACATACCTTGTCCATCAAGCTGGGCTTTCCGTGGGTAGAGCTGGTGGAGTCGTGGTGTCCTGAGTACTTGTTAGCATTCATGGTTCTTAACGGGTTCTGAGCAGATGTACCCTCACGACCGGTGGAGCCGATCGGGCCATCAGTTCCGTAACCCGAGTTGGGGTGATGGGCTGAAGTACCAGTGGTGTTGTGGCTGTGAGATCCAGCGAGGCCTGAGGCAGCACCTGTTCCAACAACGCCAGCGCCAGCGACACCAGTGCCGTGGTGCTTGGTGTCCAAGTCACCGTGCTTGTGGTGCTCGGAACCAGTGTGGGAGGCGTGGGTTCCATCACGGATATGGCCAAAGCCACCAGCGGTACCACCGCCGATGTTCTTAGGCACGCCCTCGAACTCATCGTAGCGCTCCTCGCGACCGCTGAGAACACCACCCTTGTTCTTGAACTGGTCCATGGTCATGGCAGGGAGAGCAGTGGTCTCATGGTGAGTAGCAGCATTGTGGTGCACCTCGTGGATGGGGACAGTGGTGTGGACAACGTTGGGCTGGATGACCTCCTTGTTGACGACAGGCTGGATGGTCTCGTGGATGTGCTAGAAGGTGTTAGTGATGATCGTGGCACATTGCGCAATGTGGAGATTTACGTGGTGGACATGCTCGCCGCCGATGGTGGGGGCTACGCTCTGGCTTTGTGTGGTGCCCTCAACGCGCCTCTCATCCCTGAACTGAGCCTGCTCCTGCACAAGGTTACGCTTGGTGGAGTCGTGGTCACGGTGGTCAAACTCGCGGTGCTGAACGGCACCGAGCTTGGCAGTGTGTGTCTCGGGAAGAACCTCGCGGTCCTGGACAGGCTGGACTGTGCGGTGGTAGTGATCCTGGTGAACCTCCTTGTCTACGGCAGTGTTGATCTCCTCATGCTGGTGAGGCTTGACGGTCTCGTGGACGACAGCAGGGGCAACGGCCTCATGAACTGTGGTGTCGTGGTGACCAGACTTGTGGGTGAAGTCAGTGAGAGCTGCCTTGACCTTGTCCATGTTGATGTATGTGGTTGTTTATTAGGTTGATGTGTTGGTTGTTGAGGAAAGTGCTGGAGTTGAGAACTTGTTGTTATGAGAAGGTGAGTTGATGTGCTTCTGTGGATCGCTACTCCGTGAACTCTTTATACAGGTCTGGCTCCTTTACTGAGGGCATGACGACATAATTGACAGCACTAGTCGGCGATTTCTTGTTTGTTGCGCACGTCTACTCCACGGGCTCTCACCTGCTAGCCCTGACATCCCGCACGCTGTGCTTGTTTGCTTCAAGCCGGATCACTATTGGTCCGTTGACGGGAGGCGTCGTCTGGCTGGACCGCTCTCACTGCAGTCGCCCGAGGGGCCTGCCCACGGCAAGGCCGGATTTACGTCAGGGAGTCTTGAAGCGGCTACAAGCTATTGCCTACATCCAGGCCGCAGCGGTACGCTTGACGTGGGGCCATTGGGCTACATGCGTAAGGCTAGTGTGCTTAAGGCTTTCGTATACCCTTGGCACAGGCAAGAATGGATCGATGCAGTCATAGCACCATTGTAAACCAAAGCAAAACGGGTAATATGGCTCTGCGCATAATTCCAGTTCCGCGGGACGTGTATGAAAGAGGTAACAAAGATCGCCACTAGGATCGTGATCCAAGAGAGTCCGTGCACTGCCCGAATGTGATTCCAGCGGCCAGGGCAAATGCAAAGGAAGAAATGCAAGCATCACTCCAAAATCCTAGACTTGACTGCCACATGCCAGCAACACGCCATGCTCTGCCGTTTTCGAGAACATGGCTGCTGCATCTAGAGCAATGCTTTGAAGATCGTGCTCAATCCAGCACGCTAAGGAGATCAGCATGGAGCCGCCCGCGACAGAGATGCACTAGTCCTTGTCGTCATCCCGTCTCCTGGGCTCCACTTTAACATGCGCTCTCGGGGCCTCCTCGTCACCGTATAGGGACATCTGTCTTTTGTTATGGCAGTTCTGGTGCGCATCTCAAAGCCCATCACAATTCTCTTACGTCATTTGGCTGCTCCACGCATGCCTTGGACAAGCACAACACATCCCTGCGCCATCAGCCGTGATGCTTGGCTGAAGGTGCATGTTGGAGACAGTCTAGATCAGTCTGTGGGAGCTGCTGTCGTGATCAGAATTGTGCCGTTGGTGGATAGAGCTTATGCAGTGCCATGGGAAAGTGCCACAATCCGAGCTTCAGCATGCAACATTGGCCCTGTCGTACAGCGCTGTCCTTAGGCGGCTGGATTCTTTGGGCCTTTCTAGATGCTGCTCGGTTGCTAAAATTGCCCCTTCCCCTCGCGTTGTCCGTAGCAGCAGCTGGAGGAGAGTTTGTTGAGTGCGTCATAGGGTCCAGCCTTCCGTCTCGCGGCATCACGAAACTTTCCCAAGTACGTTATCTAGATTGCACTACCTGTGTTCCGCTATTCGAGGACCACTCTCTTACCTATAGCCCTCCACTCTTGCAACTGACCTGTAAACTTGTCGCCTCTATTTTGTTATCATCAACACACCCTACTGTCTAATGCAGAAATTGAAGGCTGTCTTTCGCAGCTCGAGCAAAAAGAGAGCTGCGCATCCTGACGGCTACGACCAACATCCCACCGACGCAACTCTACCTCAATCATCTCGCAGCGATCGACGGGCTACTTCTCTTGATGAAAGGCGCTCTCAAAAGTCTTCAGAGTCTTCCAAGGCAGGCAATCAACAACATGGTCGCAGTCGGCCGCTGAGTTCAGTCTACGACTCGCGCTTGAGCAACGCTTCCGGAGCACAAGTTAGTGCTGTCGACCATGCGCAGCCCCAACAGCACCAAGGAGTCAACAGTTCAATCGCTAGCGATTACCAAGCTTACCTACCCGCTCTGACTCCAGTCCACGATTCGCAAGATGAACAACATACGTTGGGAGGCGACAGGCGACTGATGGTTGGTCAAAGCGATACTCTACACGAGGAAGATGTAGCCGACCGAAACATCGACCGCTATAGAACCTCGCTCGACGTCTCGAAACGAAAGCCCCTTCCAGAAGCACCTGGTATGTACATTGATCGGTCCACTGTACTGCATGAAGCGGTGGCAGCCATTTTCACGAAAAACCAAGTTAATGGCTTCACAGTACCTGAAGAAAAGGAGGCTGAACGATTCAATCGAAGAAACTCCACCGCCTCCGGAATCAGCTCGAAACAGTCTGCGGCCACTGGGAAATACTCGTTGGGTACTGGGGATCGCACCACAGGTGGACTCATAGATAGTATCTCCCCGCATACGGAGGCTACTGCTCACGAGAAGAATCACTGGAAGAAGACAGATTGGCCCGCGAAAAGCGCCCGCGCTGAGCCACAGGTGAATTGGGGTAAAAGAAGACCGCAAGGTTCAGAAAGCGAGGATGGACAACCACAATACCCGCCAGACAATTTGAAGGCCCGCCAGCAGCTGCCGACCAGGCTGAATGAAACGCCGCATCATCCCAGAGTTGCTGTGGACGGACAAGACGACATTGAGAGGGAAATAGAACAGCTGCTTGGTGGGGTTGTTGATCTAAGGAACACAGTTGATGAAGACAAAGACGTCCAGTGGGCACCAGGTACGTTCTGTGTCCGACACGAGAGGCTTCTGGTTAGACACATTGACTGATGCAATGCAGCTGTCACACATGAAATTGTGAAACCCCACGAACACGAGATCATCCAACACAAGATCTTCCGCGAGATCCATAACTACGAACACTATTATCGTATACAGCCTGTATATGATCTCGAGATCCTCCCACCGCGGCATTGGAAGCCCAATCCCAACGGGCAAGGTCTAATTGAGATTTCCGCCGATGAGATACCTTCACAAACTGGCCATAACAGACGCTGGAAGATCGTTCAAGAACACACAGAGCTCCCTGCAGGATCACAGCCCATCTGGCGTAAAGAACCTGAGATCATTGAGCACCCCACCACCATCACGGCTGAAGGGTTCGAGCGTAAGGAGACCACGATCATTCACCCACCGACGCTGCAAGATATGTCCGAGTATGATGGGCCAGTGCAGCCAGTACATTTCGACCACAAAACAGGAAAGCGATGGCTGGGTGAGATCACAACCATGCACAAACTCAGAAACGAGCTGGGGCAGGTGTCAGACCCAAACGTATCGCTGAAGGAGCTCGGCCAAACCTTGCCAGAGGTCCCAGCACTATCTAACACCCCGCATCTATCGCAGAGTCCATCGATGAAGCGCAAGCCCATCAACGGAAAGTTGCATGGAGCAAACCAGCCAGAAAGCGTGGCTATCGCCTTATGAGAAGCGAGAATGTAATTGACAAACGACCTCCTGTACACTAGTATCATGTCCATAAGTTGGTAACATGAAATAATGGATAATAGCAAACTTGCACGAACTGCTTGCGCCGCGAGGACGCTGTGGCTCTCCAACTCTCAGTCCCTGCCAACCCCGAGTGAAGCGTGCCGGGATGGATAGCCTCTTTTACTTTTCAAAATCCATCGCATCAGTGACGTCTAATTGAGATTAACGCCCTAGACCATACATGAACACTTGATCCGAAATACTAGGTAGGAGCAGCGCAAACATTATGCTATAAACTTGCTCAAGGACATCATTCTGTGATTCTGCCGTGGCGGGCACCAGTAAATGGTCTCGAACACGCAAGCAAGTAGAACTTGTGACTACAAAGAATGGTGGGAGCTTCTCCAGGCTGCTGATCTGCCCGCTACAGGTTCCAAGACTATCCAAGAATGGTGGCTTCATACTGCGCAGAAGGCGTATTTCTCAGCTGTCTCGAAAGGGCCGTTTGCCATCGACGACCAAATGGAAAGGTTGCGCACGACGAGTTCGGCGAGATCTGAACCACAACATGTCGTGAAGTGGTCGTCAACTGCGAGAAGCTCCGAGCGATGAGACGGCGGAATATCGAGAGGCACAAGGCGCATGCCGCTTGAAGCTTCCAACTTCTTGAGAACATAAGCCAAGCGTCAGCGGAGCGTGGGGTATGTTGGTCTGTTTGCACGTGCTTTGACAAAGCTTAGAATTCTTCTGACAGGAAGTACCTGGGCCAATTCTTGGGTGCAGACAGGGCAATTAAAGGCCGACGGTCAGGTAGTCGGCACGTCATGTGAAAAGCCACCGAGCATCAGTCAGAAGCGTCGCTCGCACCCAAAAACCATCTCCATAGAGTGATGGCACTCTACGACGTTGCGCGGCCAAAGACAGGCCTCGACCCACTAGATAAGCGACATCACTTTGAGAGCTGGAGATTCACCGAGCTAGGGGTGCTACGCGGTGCAGACAAGCCTGTGGCGGAGAGCGGAGACATCGAAGCCAGCCCGTCCGCCTAGCATGCCAAGTGCGCTTTTTGCGAACAGGATTCGGCTGCAGGGACAGTCATTGGAGAAGCTTGGAGGCCAAGAAAGTGACAAGAGATGGGAGCGGTCCTTCGTACTCTCGAACGGCACAAGGGATTCGGGGTGTCCGATTGTGCGAGACGCGGGCGATAGCGGGTTTCTGTGCGCTTTCTGAACGATAGGTGTATTGATATGGTGGCTTACCTAGACTGACTAGATATAGCACGAGAAACAGTGCGGTATGTACAGTGGCTGGAATACAGAGGTGATGCGGCGAAACGGTACCCCGCGCAAGCTCCAACAGCCGCTACTACCTCCCTCGATCCTTGCAACACCACGCAACTAGCAACAATTTATCCTGCTTAGCTCGAGGCACACATCAAAGTCTTGGGTCTTACACTGTATGCAGTGCCTCCAGTGTTCTTCCAGCGGACAGCCGAGGCAGAGTAAGCATGATAAGCGCCACCGCAACCAGCTGTGCTTAAGCGCAATTGGCGCTGGATCAAGCACGATGTGGGATGGAAAAGAACTGCATACGAATGCCGAGCAGACGATCCAGGCTGACTAGTGCCGCCTCCGAATTTTCGGGGCCAAGGGCAAACTCGCGGAGGCTCAAGCGATCGGATGTTCATCCTGGAGCTGACACGCTAGACATGACCCCGGTGCCGTTTATCTACTACGCCCACGCGCACCTTTTCCCTTCGACGCCTGTCAAGCTTTCTCGCGTGGCACAAATCCTTCACATCTCTTGCTAAGTCCTGGTTGCTGGCACATGGAATTCGTTGTGCAGTTTTTTGCGCTTCTACTCAAAACCATACTTTGAGCTTGTTGAGGCTTGACGGTTCACAGCCCTTTCATCATGGCTTCTTCTTCTGGCAACGATTTTGGCCAGTACGAGGCCAAGGGTGCTCGTATCGATGAAGAAAAGACGTTTGATGGCGCTCATCCTCGCCGCTCGAGCGTTGTGGGATCGGTACGAGAGGTCGGCGATAACACGCACCGGAAGCTCAAGGGTCGCCATATTCAACTCATCGGTATTGGAGGAACGATTGGTACTGCGCTTTATGTGCAAATTGGTCGAGGTCTGATGAACGGCGGCCCAGCTGCGTTGTTCATCGCCTTTTCCTTATGGTAAGTATTTCTTCTCAACTTGACAAAATCTGGACTAATAACTTGTGATAGGTGCACTGTCATTCTGGCTGTAACATTGAGTGAGACACCCCATTCCCAAGCTCTCAACACCACTTTCTTCCCATTGCGACAAACTCCCCAGGCGCTTCTGTTCGACTACCCAAAGCAGCAATCCGAACTTGTCCGATTAACTAAAGCGGTGATGTGCTAATAGCCCTAAAGGTATCGCCGAAATGGTCACCTATCTTCCCATCTCCTCGCCCTTTATCCGTTTTGCTGGACGCTTCGTGGACGATGCCTTTGGCGTAGCTGCCGGATGGAACTTTTTCGTCTTCGAGGCTGCCCTTGTGCCCTTCGAAATCGTGGCTTGTAACGTAATCATCGGCTTCTGGAGCGATGCAGTACCGACCGGTGCTATTATTGCAATCGTCATTGTTTTATATGCGTAGGTTTGCTCCGGACAGTTTGCAGTCGTCGCATAATACTAATTAATACTAGTGCGATTAACATGATGGCCGTCAAATGGTACGGAGAAACTGAATTCTGGGCCGCCATTGGAAAAGTGCTGCTCATCATCGGTCTCCTTATCTTTACCTTTATCTCTATGTTGGGTGGCAACCCCGCCAAAGACCGATATGGATTCCGGTACTGGAAAGATCCCGGTTCGTTTACGGAGCTGTACTACGGAGGACAGCTTGGTCGCTTCCTGGGCTTCTTGCAATGCTTGATTCAAGCTTCCTTCACCATTGCCGGACCGGACTATGTCTCCATGGCTGCGGGCGAGACAGAAAATCCACGCAAAGTTATGCCCCGCGCGTACAATGCTGTCTTCTATCGTCTCACGACTTTCTTCGTACTCGGCTCCCTCGCTGTTGGTATCAATGTCCCCTACAACGACCCTGAGCTTATCGCCGCGTTTAAGCTTGGCAAGCCCGGCGCTGCAGCTTCGCCGTACGTCATTGCCATGAACCGTCTCCGCATCGAAGGACTCCCTCACGTCGTCAATGCCGGTGTTTTGGCTTCCGCCTTCTCAGCCGGTAACTCCTACGTCTACTGCGCGTCTCGCTCCCTGTTCGGCCTGGCACTCGAAGGCAAAGCACCCAAGATTCTGACAAAGTGCACGAAGCAAGGTGTGCCCTTCTACTGCGTCGGCGTTGTCCTACTCATCGCCCTCCTATCCTTCTTGCAGCTTGGGGAGAACTCCGCCGTTGTGTTGAACTGGTTCGTCAGCTTAGTTACCGCCTCTCAGCTGATCAACTTCAGCGTCATGTGCTTTACCTTTTTGCGCTTCTACAAGGCGTGTCAAGTCCAGGGATTAGACCGCAACACGCTGCCATATAGGGGCATTCTTCAACCATATGCTGCGTGGTACGGCCTCATCACAACGTTCATCATGACATTTGTGGGCGGATACACAGTGTTCTTAAAGGGGTACTGGGACGTTCCGTCGTTCCTGTTCTCATACCTCATGGTACGTCGATCCTCCACATACAACGTATAATGTTCTAACACGGCAATCTAGGTCTTTCTCTTCCCAGTGCTCTTCTTCGGGTGGAAGATTTTGAAGAAGACCAAGTGGATCAAGTCGCACGAGGCTGATCTTGTGACTGATCTCGCGGAGATTGAAGAGTATCACCGGAATTATGTGGAGACGCCTGAGACGAACAAGTTCAATCGTATATTGGACAAGTTGTTCGGTTAGGAGGATGACAGGTTGAGTCGTTGGTGATTATTAGATCTGGACATAAGCAACAAGTCATGCTATTCGCGTCTAAACAGAGCAAATTATAGGGTGTCACCATTACGATCGACAAGAATGAATGTACTCGAAGCGAACTCTCTCACTTACACTGACTCTCACACAATCTCATAACATCATGTATCAACATGTGCATGGAATTTCCATCTAACACTGGGTATCGCTAACCGAACTCCAGACGCCAATTCAAAGCAACTGCGTCACCCGCGTACATAATCCATCAAACCAAAAACGTCGGAATATCCTCCAACTTGACGCTCTTCTTCTCACTCTCCCTCTCCTTTTCCCGCTCAGCCTTCCTCTTCGCAAGACGTTCTGCAGTCTCCTTGCTCAGCCCCGAGCTCCATGTATCACTCGCTTTCGTCTCTACCGGTGGCTTAGTGGGCGAAGGTGAGTGGACCGATGTATGCACGCTGCTACGTGCTGGTGACGGTGCAGCTTGTACCTTGGTTGCGTCTGTAGACGAGGTACGATTTGCTGGTGGAACGTAATCATCCAACATATCAATATTGAAGCGACTTTTACGTGCGGTTCCGCGTGGCCTGGTAGCAGGCAGTGTTGGTTTTGTGAACGATATCGTGCTTGTAGCCTTGTGCGTTGAATTTGTGGACGCGGCGGATTTTGACGACGTAGGGTGAGAAAGGGTCGAATTTGGTGCTGGTTTGGACGCGGTCTGCCCGGGGTTGAATTTCCTGACAATACGGCGGGACGAATCTAAGTCGTCACTATCGGAATCGGATGCTGGCTTTGGAAGTGGTGGACGCTTGAAGGCAGATGTCGTAGTGCGGCTTGATTGAGTGGCATCACCAGCATCCTCATTTTCATCATCTTGGGAAGCAAACACATCTCGAATAGCTTTGTGCTGTCTCTTCGCCTGCGTTTCAGCTTTCTTCTTTGTCTGTCCTTCAGCTGATAGCTTCGCACCCGCTACAACAGGCCTCGGTGCCTGCACCTGCTCTTTCTTCTTCGCTTCGATGCTCTTCTTGAGCTTCTCGTACTCTGCAATGTGCAGATGGCGCGTGAAGAGTTTTGCAGTCTCGAGGAACTCGTCTTCTACCATCATCCATTCGTCATCGCGTAAGTCGAATTTAGACGTGGCTTTGCGCATGTACTCGATTTGTGGCTGGATATGGTCGGCGATGGGTGGAGGTGATGATGAAGGTGCACGCTCCTTATTTGATGCGTCCTTTGTGCCTGATCTGTTGCGCACTGTAGATCGTCCAGTGGGTAAATCGGGTAGATCGTCCTCAGAGTCTTTATCGTCTAGCGCAGCCTTTCCTTTGCCTTTACTTGAGCTCGCCAGCACAGTACCGTCGAAGAAGTCATCTTCGACATCCGATAGAGCTGTCCTATTGGTCCGCGCCCTGGGTGGTTGCTTGAGTTTGGTCTTGCTTCCGCCACCTGTGCTCAGCCACGGTAGTTGTCGGGGCATCACGTCCAAAAAGTTGGGTTATCGTGAGGAAGTGACGTTATTACACACTCGTTATGATGACGCATCAAAGACATTATGGTATTTCAGTTGTTGTGCATTGCGCTTGGACCTCTTTGGTGCGCGGTCGCGTCGACAAGCACCACGAATACGCACGCGATGTGAAAACCCGCTGTCACGTGGGAGGTGATGGACCCCTGTCTAGCGTCATCGCTTCGCTGTCCATAACGCGCCCTTCCAATCTCGTCTCTGAGGCAGCCATACCTCTCCGCCCTTGGCGAGGAGCCACGTTTCGCTTCTACACTCTTCTGCACCATTCCCTTTTGTGGCTATTGTGAGTTTCATGTACTGATGGGGGCCCTCTTCACTGCAGCTGGCGCCTACCAGTTCTTTGCTTGTTGCTCTAGCTGTACAAGCACAGAACAACACACCCACAACAACATCAACAACCGCATTCCTGCGCCTGTCAATTGAGTCAGATAAGAGGCTCTAAGAGCACATGAGGCATTAGTAGACCATTGCACACGCAAGAAGCCGAAGAAGTTTACCACTTCGTCATGTCGATGTTTCGCAGACCAGGAGAAGACTCATCTTCAACATCCGAAGCGTCCTATGATGAGACGGACAATGATGACACAGGTGCATCGCATCAAGATAGTGTCCTCTCGCGAATTCAGACCCTCGACTCAGCAGCCTCCACGCAATCTGGTCAGAGACCAACACTACCAAGCCTTGAAATGCGGCAAAATTCTACCCAAAATGTTCGAGATCTGATGCTTCACGCGCTGCTGGAAGAAAAGGCACTTGCAGCCGCAGCACAAAAGCTTGGCAAAGATGTCTCCGATCCGGACGTTCAAAGGATGGGCCGAGAAGCCTATCAGGAAATCGCACGTCAGATATCCAACAATGTCGACGACACGTATGCCGGCGAGGAAATGCGAAACCATCGAGCAACTGCACAGGAGGGCATCAGCAAACTTACGCGCAATAACTTGAGCCGACTTGTAGCTGTACCTGAAGGAGCTGCATTTTCTCAAGCCTTGGCCTCGCGGGCTCGGAATGGTCTCTCCATGGATCTCCCTCGACAACCGTCAACTGGATTCGACATACTCTCAGGCATTCATGCGCCCACCGAACTGCAGCTGCGTGGCTACCCTGGGTTGCAGACAGATCGCTACGCTCGCGAATTTTCAGAACTTGGAATTGTTGGTAAAGGTGGATATGGAAAGGTTTTCAAAGCGAAACACAAGCTCGATGGCTCATTCTACGCTGTCAAACGTATTCCCGTAAGTCCTGCTAAGCTGGCAAAGATACAGCATCACGGCTCAGAGGAGCTTGAGAACATGCTTCAAGAGGTCCGGTCACTAGCTCGATTCGACCACACTAACGTGGTACGGTACCACAACGCCTGGCTGGAGTTCACGACGGCGCCAATCGATGAAACAATAGTGCCGACGAGTACTCTGTTACGAGAAGATCGGTTACTTGAGAATGTGGCTGTAACCTCGGCAGAGCTGCCATCTCGGGACGAATTGCACACGAATATCGACGACCTTTTCCTTAGTGACCCATTCGAGAGAGCCAATGACAGCTATGGAGATGGTATTGTCTTTGAGACAAGCGATACGGGTGCACATGCGGACTCTGCGAAAAGCGAGGCCGAGCATATGTCCTACAAGGCTCAATTGAGAAAATCGTCGCGGCGTAAAGCCCGGCGTGGAAGCCAAGCGAGCCAGGCAACAATCGCAACAATATCGTCTACCAAATCGCGTATGAGCGCTGTGGAGGATGTTGATGAAGAAGAGGAAGAAGAAGATGTTGAGATGATTCCAAGATCACACATGCACTACACATCGGAAGTCACGGAGAGCATGGTCACACAAAGCGATGCTCCTGATCGCCTCATCCCACTACGCCATGTCGGCCCGATGTTGACGCTCAACGTACAAATGAGTCTATGCGAAACGAACCTTGCAGCGTTCTTATCAGCTGATCGATCAAATACCGATTCGCTACCAATTGGCCGACACTGCTTCCACCCATGCTTGTCGCTCGAGCTCTTCTTGAACATCATCTCAGGTGTCGAGTACTTGCACGCGCAAGGCGTAGTACATCGGGATCTGAAGCCGGCTAATGTCTTCCTATCCCTTTCTTCCGCGCGCCATCCACCCTACGGCTCCGTCGACTTATCGACTTGTAAGGTATGTCCAAAGCGCGGCTGCTTGCACATTACACCGCGCATTGGTGACTTCGGGCTCGTAGCAGCACTCGATGATAGTTGCTTGGATATTGGTGCGATCAGTAAGCCAGTCGGCACCGAATTTTATCGTCCGGACACCAGTCTTAGGATCAACGAGAAGCTGGACGTCTTCGCACTTGGAGTGATGGGGTTCGAAATGCTGGAAGCTTTTGGGACCCGGATGGAACGCGCTGCTGCACTTGCTGACCTTCGCCGTGGAAAGTTCCCGGACGACTTTTCACGGAAGATAGAGAATGTGGGCGACGAGGTGCAATCGCTACTCAGTAGCATGCTCCATGCGGACGAGCAACAGCGACTTGGCTGCGAGGATGCGAGGAGAGAGATCGGGAACGTGGTTCAGTCCTTGAAAGCATAACAGCGAGATTGTGTAGGACAATACTTCGAATGGCATGTAGAGCATTATACCCAGGCAGAATCGATAGACATGATATCCCCAGCAACAGAAGTGATGATGTCACATAAAGGTATGGCAGTCTGCCTTGATTTGGCTTTCAAACCCTATCGCAAAAGCAAGGATGAATCCCACCGCCTTTCTCTATGTCTCGAGACATGAAGATTGCCAACGTGGACAATCACGCCGCATGTTGGTTTAGCTATATGAGGCTAGCCTCGCATGTCAGCTGCAGTGGCTTTCCTGGTGCGACAAGCTGAACACAACCTCCACAGTTTCACACATATACGCACATTTCTGTTCGGTGATCTGACTTTAATCTTCACGACCCTTCATCACACATCCTACAGCTCTTCCATTACAGCGGACGTACAGTACGCTTCTGCAGCCCCTGACTCAGTCTGCTCTACTAGCGTCCCAGGCAGCCGGATTTCCACCACCATGAGTACCAGCACAAGCAATGCGGTGCATGCAAATGGCCCGAAAGTCTCCAATTTCGCTCGACTAGCCGACCGGCTCAAGGATTCCATGTCGACGAAGCGTGGCCCGAACCCGACTTCATCGCGACGCTTCTCGACTCAACATGACCTGGAAGATGCGAAACAGAATGAACACGTCACCCAAAGCCGTCGCAGCAGCAGCACACGATACACAGAGAAAATGCTACATAGGCTCATGCACACGACTCGACCCAGGAGCTCTACCCTTGTCCTCAACCACCTGCCCGTAGAAATCCTGCAGAATTGCTTCCTCCACCTGGATCTCTTCACTCTCCTGCGCATCCGACGCGTGTGCAAGCTCTGGCGGGACCTAGTACCGGGGGACTCGCCCATGCTAGCTGAAGAACTGTTTCTCAAGCCGAGTTACAATCTGCATGCGTATAGCTTTACTATGGCGACGTTTGACTTTGATTTTGAAATCAATGTGCGCCCGCTGCCGGAGCAAGGTCCGAATCTGCGGGTGCAGAGTACGTACATTGATGGGCTGAGTCTGACGCGGCGCTGTCAGGGACTGATCCGGACGAGTGGGGAGATTATCTTTCACCCTATCATCATGGACTTTAATCATTACGTGCAGGGAGATGGGGCGGGGAGGTCGAAGCTTGTTGTCAAGGGGAAAGAAGAAGAGTTGGGCGTCGGGTGGCAGAATATGTTGATCTCTATGCCGCCGTTGACGGAGCTGAGGATTAGCCGCACGGTGGGGAGGAAGTCGAAGACAATGTGTGTGCTGAAGTCGAATGAGGGTGTTAGGCTTGGAGAAGTCTTTGAGACGCTGAGTAAGTGGGGGAAGAAAGAGTTGGCTGAATCGGGGTGAATTGGCGGGGCTTGAGCTGCAGCTCAGTAGCACAACACAGCTCTCGTCTTGCACGCCGCGTATCCATCTCGACACGCAGTAAAAATTTCGGGACGTGGAGTTAGAATGGTCTACGTCTTCGGAGGTGGGCCGCCAACCATGAAGCTCTGGCAGCTTTGGCGCGATTTGAATCGGATTCTGCTTCGGTACGCGGCTAAACGAGCATCCATCGCAAACGGTCTGCTCCCCGTAGAGATTGTCCAGCACATATTCGCCTACCTCGACACACGGAGTCTATACAATTGTCACGAAGTATGCCGCTTTTAGAAACACTGCGTTCCTGGGGCCTCATCAGCCTTGCGGACTGCAATGTTTCTCTCCCCGCCAGGAGTCGACGACGATGGACACACTGACCATGTTCCAAATGACGCGCTCTAGTCTCAAGCGGTACACTGAGCTCTGGCAGCGTAAAAGCAGTAGAGAGACACCCATCTGGATGAATGCTTTACTGTGTACACTACAACAATCACACTGCACCTGGATTTTCTCCGGACGAATCTACCCCTAGAAAAACCTCTGGATACACCACCAGCTGCAAAGGTCAGGAGGCCTCTGGATCCTCCCCCCCAATCGCCACGAAAAAAAGAAGCCAGCAGACGAGCAACGCTCGCACAGGACTACGCGGGCCATCAGTCAGGCAATAGCTTTTACTATCGGGGATTTTACCATGTGCGATACCCGAGGATGTCGAATGGCCATAACTCGTATCAAACAGGGACACTGCGTTTTACAGTAATAAAGATGTGCAGCTCGCCCCGTACGCCAGGTCGACTGCAAACGCACCAGCAGCCGTGAAAGAACAGCGAACGAGGTTACTAAAAGCGTGAGCCAGGAAAGCAGTCTCGCTGCCTAAACAAAACAAAACAAAACAAACAAACAACGAATTCCTCCCGCGCTCTCCCATGGAAATCCCAACCTATCTCAAAACAACCTCCCTCCCTCCTTCCGGTGTTGAGAACATGGCGGTTGAGCGTGACATCGCAGTGGCAGACGGGGTAGGGGAGTCGGCAGCAAGATGGAAGGAGGAGGCTTGCATAGAATAGAGGTATGGGGAAGGTGTGGCATGATTGTCTTTCTTTTGCGCTTCAAATATCCAAAGGCGGGAGGGAGGGTAGGATCAGGGCTGTGGGGGTTGTTCAAAGCATGTGTTGGAAATCTATTGGGGCATAGGCATAGCAGCTGTTGCTGAGTGAGGCATGATAATCCCCTGCACCCTGGTGACGGGCTGGTAGCAAAAGGGGACATGTACATCTCATGGGGTGTAGCAGCGCGCATAGACGCGTCTTGAAATGTAATGTAATGTAATGAAGCTGTCGAATATCCAAGTGAATCAGGTATTTCTGAAAAAAAAATCAAGAGGGGATCCAGGCTGGACATGGAAATTGTCTCAAAGATCAAGTGTTGGGGATAGTGAGAGGGCAGCGTGTTGTATTGATCTAAGTTGATACGCGGCCCAAGCCTCATAGTCTTCTCTCGCTATATCTTCCCTTTTTTATATAGGGTGGCGCTGTTGAGACGTGGCGCTGGGTCCGTCATCCTAGTCGTTTTAGAGGACCCCTTTGGCCATTAACGAGGCATGTTCTGCGCGTGAGTACTTTGGCCTTGCTCTTTCTGCAGATCATCTCGAAGCTTCAGGCTGGTGTTGTTTTGCTTCTGTTCAAGTGCTTTCATCCTTCATCCAACCTCAATCGCTGCCAGTGCGGTGATGACCTCCTCGGCAACACCGCCGTCCTCGACTACCATCTTGGTCACCTGGGAGACCAGACTCCGCTTCATACCGCCGCGCGGTGGTGTCCATACTCCTGACGCTGCGAGTAGTTCTCGTTGGGTAAGGGCATCCGCGCTTGAGGTTGGTACGGTACCACCCGTCGCAGAATTCATCGAATTGGGTATACCAGGCGGGGTAAGGTGGGATGGCGGGTCAATAGTGCGTATTGAGACGATGCGCGCGCCGGTGGAGGAAGATGAAGTGTTGGTGCAAGCAATTGCGAGGACTGCGTCTGCGACAGCGAGCTCTTCCTTGCAAGGGTCGAAGATGATGTTTGGGCCGACTGCCATGGCGAGGATGATGACGGGCGGCTTGTCGGACAGCTTCTTTCCCTTGTTCTTGGGGTAGAGGGGCACGGCGGCGTCCCAGTCGTCGTTGAACAGCGGGTCTTCGTCCTGCTCCGACTTGAGGGCGGGGAGGAGGGTTGTGAGGAGGGCGAGATGGGTGGTCATGGAGAGGAGGGCAAGCGGGTACGACAGGGGTGGCGAGAGCAGCAAGATCTGTTCTCTGTCAGTTGTGTTTGACAGCATTTCCCGATCGTCTCACGTCAATGTAGAGCTTCCAGTGGAAGCGCCTGTTGATGTACAGGCGGTCCTTGAGCTCTCCACTCGCCAGCAAGCTCTCCTTCAGCATCGAAGCTAGGAACACGGGGAGCGAGTCGTCCTCGCGGAAGCCAGGCACCTCGACGCTCATGTCGAGCCACGCGTTCTGGCCCTTGCCCGCGCTCTCGTCCACGTCTGGGTCGCGCATCTCAGCGTCTTCGTGCAGCCCCAATGACGGGCGCTGCGGTGTCTTCTCGACCTCAGCCTTGACGCCAACCAGGGCCTCGGTGCCGTCCTCCAGGGCGATTCTGGCACTCCCGTTCGCGCCGGGAAGTACGTCATACTCGGCGCGCATGGAGCGAAAGTCGCGGGGCCCTTTGGTGACATCGAGACGGATGGGCGGGTGCTGGACGAGGGAGGCGCGCAGAAACGACAGCTCGGGCGGTGACAGGTTGACGAGGGCGGTCTGTTGGGGCGCCATTGGGGGCGAGTGCGGCTATCGAGTGGTTCACGATGGTGTTTGCGGGTGCCGAAGAAATGTTTCTTGGGCCTCGCAGCCTCGGCGAATCGGCGTCTTCGTGCCTGGCGGGAGCGCTGGCGGAAGCTTGACGCCATGCGCGACAACACCAGCGTGCAGTCCAAGTGCCGTTTGCTTGACCGCCGCGAGGGACGGGCTCTATTCCTTGCCGGTGACGCAGATTCATACACGCATACATACAAAGAAGCATCCACGGTCAGTCATCAGCCATGCGCCCGTGAGCCACAGCACAGCACGCGCCCCTGCCACCCCGTCACCTGTCACACGTAGCCGTCACCCCCCCGGCTTCTCCCATGTCCCCGTCATCCTCGAAGCGAAGCAGCAATGGCGGCATCACCACCATCGACAAGCTCGACTACCTGCCCCAGAACTCGCCGCGCCGCCCGCTGCTCGCCCCCGACGACAACAGCGACGCACACTCCCACTCCCACTCCAACTCCAACTCCAACCGCCGCAGCCAGGACACGAGCTACGCCGGCAGCTTCTTCGAGCACGTGGCCGAGGGCATCATGGAGCGCGACCGCGAGCGCATGCAGCGCATCTTCCTGCGCTGGCTGAGCTTCGGCTGGGCCATTGTCAACTGCCTGTGCGCCGGCAGCATCACCGCCTTCTCGCTGTACGGCCACCTGTTCCAGTCCAAGCTGCACTACACCCAGTTCCAGGTCAACTTCGTCTCCATCGGCGCTGAGCTCGGCCTGTACCTGCCCGTGCCGATATTCGGATACCTCTGCGACCGCCTGGGGCCCGGCGTCCCCTCTGCGCTCTCGGGCCTCCTCTTTGGCCTGGCATACCTGCTGGCCGCCTTCACATACAAGAGCGGCCCGCCGCCGTCTGCCGGTGGCCACGGCTGGTCCTATGGCGTCATGGTGCTGGCCTTTGCCCTGGTGGGCATGGGCACCTCCTGTATGTACCTCTCTGCCGTCACGACTTGCGCGAAGAACTTTGGGCGCGGAAATGCAAAGGGCATCGCACTCGCCGTGCCCATTGCCGCCTTCGGACTCAGCGGCATGTGGCAGAGCCAGATCGGAAGCCGCGTGCTGTACGAGAGGAACCCCGACGGCAGCAAAGGAGATGTCGACGTCTTCCGCTTCTTCCTCTTCCTCGCCATCCTGCTGTTCGTCGTCGGCCTTGTCGGCTGCTTTGCCCTGCGCATCATGGACGAGGGCGAGATGATCGACGAGGCAGTCGACGAGCTCGAGAGATCCGGTCTGCTGGCCCAGGACAAGTTCTTCACCCAGGCCGCCCACCACCACGGCTACGGCACCATGTCCACCCACGACCTCTCCGACTCGACCTTTGACTTCCTGCAGTCCGAAGCCGAGGCCCTCAAGGCCAAGCACGAGGAAGAGAAGCGCAAGAAGACGTGGCTCCTCAACGAGGAAACACGCCGCTATATCCTCGATCCAACCATGTGGTGGCTCGCAGGCGGCTTCGTCCTCGTCACCGGTCCCGGCGAGGCCTTCATTAACAACCTCGGAACCATCATCGACACCCTCACCCCACCCCACGTCTCCTCCAACACCTCCCCCGCGACCCACGTCTCCATCGTCGCCATCACCTCCACCCTCGCCCGCCTCCTCACCGGCACCCTCTCCGACATCCTCGCCCCCGTCGCCCCCTCAAACCAACACCGCCGGGGCCCAGACTCCATCGCAAACTCCCTCGCCTCGCTGCCCCCACTCGACCACCAACCCAAGCGTTTCTCCGTCTCCCGCATCACCTTCCTCCTCGCATCCGCCCTCGTCCTCTCCCTCGGCCAACTCCTCCTAGCGTCCGGATGGGTGCAAAACCACGCATCCCGCTTCGCTGTCATATCCGCCCTAATTGGCTCCGGCTACGGCGCCGTCTTCTCCCTCACCCCCATCGTCGTGTCCGTCGTCTGGGGCGTCGAGAACTTCGGCACGAATTGGGGTATTCTAGCCATGACGCCTGCTGCAGGTGCGACGCTCTGGGGCGCTGTGTACGCTGCTGTATATCAAAAGGGCGCGGATGGGAGCGAGAAGGGCGATGTCTTGTGTCATGGTAAAGGTTGCTATGCGCCGACTTTTTGGGCAATGGCGATTAGCGTCTGGGTCGCCATGGGATTGTGGGTGTATGCGTGGAGAGGGCCTGGTGGGTGGAAGAGGAGGGGTGTTGCTGTTTAATTTTGTTGCCTTTTTTCCTTTTTTGCATAGTTGGCAGCTTTGGCTCTCAGGCATTTTTGACGAATTAGCGAGCATTTTTGATTCTGTATGTGGTTGTGTTTCTCTCCGTCCTCAATCAACTGTGTTTTCACAAGTTCTACAACTCGCATGGGTCTACTTCCTTCCATCCTACAGCGGGAAGGATTTGGTCTTGAAGGATCTCAATATGCGCTGAAAAGGATCTTGAGGATTCCACGACTGTGGTGGATTTCTGGAACGATTGAGCCTCGTGTAGTGAATGTTGGAGTGCACTCTACTTGTCAAGGCGCACCATGTCACACAAGACTAAACACGCCACGCAGCCTGCACACAGCATTGCCGCGATCGCACAGGCAGGCTTTATTCTTGTCCCTTCCCTTCGTGCTGGCAACGACTCCTCTGCTCCTTCACTATTTAGTTTGCATCTAACCGCTTCACTCTCACTGCGACTCTGCACTCGCCGCTCATGTGATGGGACAAGCATTACTTTAAATTGGCATACACGGCATCTCTCTACACCCTCCGGCCTTGTGCGATGAAGCGTGACGACTTTGGCACTTCTGACCCGCATCGCTAGATGGATCAACTCTCAGCAAAGCCAGACGGCACACCCTCGCCTCAAGTCCGCATCGCGTTCCTTGATATGTTCCGCTTGTGGCTCTTCTTCGCCATCCCAATCTACGCGCGCGCATATCTTTCGACGTCGTTGTTAGTCGTGACTTGCCATTTCCCCCTCATGGGGGCATGCGCCTTGTGCTTAGCACGCTTCAACGGCAAGGATCGTATCGGACTGATCTGGGATGTTGCTTACTGCTTACTTGCCTCGATTCTACCATTCTGGGCTCATTCTGTTTGCAGAATCTTCTGGTTTGGTCCCGATTTCAACAGCTGGCGCCTCGACGTTTTGTACTGGATGTTCGTCTTGAGAAAGCTGGTGTATCTTCTCCCGGAGCAATATGGCAGTGATGTCGAGGTAGGATGGTGTCTGGTGTGTCTGGACTGTGACATACTAACTTGGCCAGCTACTCATCCCGGAGTACGAGCATGTTAGTGATCCATTTTTGCGCCTCAGAACCGAAATGGTCGCAACTTTTGTCGGCTGGGTACTCTGGCCCAAAGGCTGCCCGTGGTACCACGTCCTTCTTATATTCTCCATCATTCGCTCAGTCCTCGAGTATCTACAGTTTGCCTACATGAACCACACGTAAGTTCTAGCGTACATTTTCAGAAATCTTTTCTTACTGGGTCGATATAGGCATATACAGAAACATGGCAAAACAGTACGACAGGATGATTGGCCATACAAAGATTTGTACACAAGTAAGTGGGCGACGGATGAACAGGGAAATCGCACACACCGTATCAATCACACTGCAAAAGAGTGGCTGCTGTATCTTTCGACTGGGAGCATACATGGCAGGACGCGTGCTCGAAGGACATCATCAGAGCCTTGTACTTAGGCCAAAGTTACAAGGATGACATGATGAACAATCCAAAAAGCAGAAGCCATGCGTATGCCTCTAGTAAATTCCATGGATCTCATAACCAAATACTCCACCCATCATCTCTCTGGGAGACTTGGTACCTTCCCAAAGAGGCAGTCGATTTCAGGTGTCGAACGCTGCAGATTCTAGAGTGAGAGTACTGCTATTTAGCACTATCCTTTTTGTCTACCACCTGCAATTCCTTCCTTTAGCTTCTTGATGCCCCCATGTCACCCTCCCGTCGCACTGAGACACCAAAAACTTCGCTACAATCAACACTTCAACTTCATTGCCCAATTAGGCATATACCAACCCTCTCTCAACCACATACTCCTTTCCACTCTCGCACTCAAACACCCACCCCACACCCAAGCGTATCCGCCAAAACCCGCACCGCCCCCCGAACAACCTCCCTATCACTCTCAAACCCCAACATCCCACACGCCTCTCCCACCTCTACCCACTCTGACTCCACCCCTTCCTCCCCTCCTCCCCCCTCCCCATCCCCATCCCCATCCACCACCGCAACAAACCACCAAAGAATCTTCACCCCCTTCCCCTCCCCCAACTCCCTCACCTGCCACATGAACGGCTCCCGCAGCGCATCCCACACGCGCGGCACATCAGGCACATCCACAGGATCGTCAGCAGCCGTTTGGCGCGTGGCCATGCGTATGGGCACGAGTGTGCAGCGACAGCCGGTTTCTTCGCGGACTTCGCGCAGCGCGCAGGCGGAGCGGGATTCGTGCATGTTGCGCCGGCCCTTTGGTAGGGTGTAGGTGTTTGTGGGGAGGAGCTTGAGGAGGCTGATGTGCGTGTAGGTCGGGGAGAAGAGGATGGCGCCGCAGGACTCGACGAAAGATGGGGAGGGGACGGTGTGGGTTTTGAGGGCCATGGAGGATGGATGTTTGGGGTTGTTGAGATGGTAGAGGAGGTGGCCATGGTGGTGGAAGTGTACCGGTGTTTTGGTAGGCGGATGCCTGAAATGCGATGACTCAATGGCTTTGCTCGTGTGACGTGCTGTATTTTTGGGCTGGATGTATTCAAAGAGGAGGTTTGGTCGAGTGTGTACCTTTCGCATGTGCACTGAGGGGCACTTGTGCGTTTTGATGGATGCACGGTATTGGAGAACAGTAATGAAATCCACAAGGCACTGTGTACAAAAGAACGCAGCTGACAGCACAACGGAGAAAGAATAAAGCGCACTGTAGCGAGAAATGTGAGGCAGTCGCGTAGTCTACGGCACACGTGAGGGGTTTGATGTCTATGAGGAGGGAAGTGATAGTAGGTATTAGAAGTCTTCACAAATCAATCTCTAAGAGACGGAGCCGTATGGTATGGCGCCGGGGATTAGAGCAAACTGCATACCACGAAGGCTTCGCGAATTGAATCATTACGTGGACTGCCTGCGTGTGAAGTCCAGGTGTATTCAGAGTGACTCAAGAATTGCCGCACAAAGACATCCTGCAAAGACTACAAGATCGAAAAGTTTTGTGCATCTGTTCAAGAGATAGTCTCTGCGCCAAAACTAAGCCTGAGGTGTTAAGCTCTACACCTATTGCAGAGTATGTATCATTGGTATACTGTGCTAGAGAGAACTACGGTGAGGCGATTCGTCTGCTAATCGTGCATGACATGTCAGAACAGACGAGTAGTGTACATCATGCATGATTACCTACGAGTTGACCTGGCCAAGTTGTTGAGCTCGGGTGACCTCATGATCAGACATGGTCGAACGACAGAGACTATTTTGTCAGGCACTATCATGGCTGTTGACGGAGTGGGTCTCTTGGAAGTAGCACAACCTTAGTCGGCGAGCTCGTCGAGACATACGAACCCGTTGCCGATACCTGACCTCTACCCAGAAACCCACAAGCCTTGCAAAGAGCTGTTGGGGGCGAAGTAACTGCGCCGTACTCCTGCCACCACCACGAGACGAGGAGCATGCATCGTGACTTCATCCCCACAACCCAGTCTAGACTTCGGCGACGTTGTACACAGGGGCACTCACCATGCAGCATCAACTTCCGGACCGCAGCGGGAAACTCCCTCGAAGCGACCCAGACCAACCTGCCGGACTGTTTCAGCATTCTGCTGCTGCATCTCGCCACTCTTCGGGCGTCCACCTGGGTTCGGCGCAGCGAGCATCCTTCCACCACGCCTCAGACCCACGCGCCAATGCACTGGTTCTAAGACAGGGTAGGTGCAATATGCCGTCGACGTCACTACAAGTCGCTTTGGACGCGAAGCTATACCACCTATACGATATAATACGACCTCGCCAATAGCTCACTTCCAACAACATGGTCCGAGATTAAATATGCAGCGGATGCACACGCGACGGACCGTGCAACTGGACTCACGGAACAGCATCCAAGCCGTTCACGTTGCCGTTGCAGGGTTGAATGTAGTATCCAATATGGGTCTTGAGCGGTTCGCCTCAGGGCGTAACTTGCCACGCGCTCGGGTTCGTTACAAGGATGGCTCGAACGTTCCGCAAGGCGTACTCGATCCAATTACTTGCCGTGAAGATTCTGCCGTTAGGTTTGGATGCAGGTGTGTGGCGAGGGCCGTTGGTTGTTTTACCCGTCCGACATACGAGAAGGGGCCAGTAAGCACCGAGAACAACAACGTTGCACAATTACCCAAACGATCTGCTGAAGCCCTGGCTTCGCTTATGCATGTCTCTCGTGGGATGCTGACCTTCTGGAATCGCGCTAGAAGGTTGTGTTTCGGCTTCGGGGGTGTGCTGCAGTGCATGCAGACTTGAGGTGAAAGCACAGACTTCGGTCCATTATTGTATTACGTCGTGTCGCGAGCTTGGAGCGTGGGTGAGATGGTGATAGTGATGACCCAGGCGACGTGCAGTGGTGGGTTGGAATGTACTGCATCAGGCAGGACATATGCAACCATCAGCTCGATTGAGAACACAGGTGAGCACTACGATATCTCAGCGCTTAGGAAGTTGCTAAAGTGGGTGGGGAAAATTGACTTTGCGGTCATGGCAGGCATTCATTGGATAGTGTCAGCTTACCTCGACATATCCAGCATCCACCTGCTGCCTCGCAACATTATTCTCCCATGCTCCGATGCAGCGCATGTCAGATAAGTCGACCCCCCCCCACTTGACATGAATCCCAAGCTCTTGGTACACCATCTCGAGATGGCACATTTTACGAAAGTCAGATAATGATCAGCCGCCAGCGCACAAGCGCACTTCGTCATCATCCATCAGCACGGTAACTCGTTCAACCGACTGCGTATCGTTTCCAGCACTCTGTTTGGATCGTCAGAAGATTCGCGTGATGCACATTGACCGGTCCATGGGTGATCTGGGGGAAGCACTAACGGAGTGACACGATACTGGAGCATCGCTGGGCACGACAGTTTCCTTTTACCGCTGCGGTGCCTGCTTGGGAATTTTAGAAATTCTTGCAGCCGTCCAGAGTATCGTATCTGTGCAAGGAAGCTACTAGGTGGTGGGCGCGATGGTTGGCCCCGAGGCTACGCTGCGAGTTGCGATAGTCCCCAAATGCCACACCTAAAATGGACAATTTGCTGGATGACAATGACCAAATCGAAGCCGAACCAGTGCTTGCGTGATTCGGGAATGTGTATGTTGCGCCACGGTCGATACCCCACGAGGCACGGTTGAACGACGATCTCTCGAGAACTCAAGCCACACACGTCCCTCGACCACCGGTGTCTGCACGTTTTTCGTGGCCACGACAACATACATACTTTTTTGCTTTTGCTTTTGGGTTTCCCAAGCACGCGGCTCGGGAGCTTGTGACCAAAGCGCAATGACATTGAATCTCAATGATCTTCACATTCGGCCCTTGGGAAACCTAGTTACCCGGTTTGAGAACGGACAGAGATCCCCGAATTACTTCATCTGGATATCCGATGCTCTGTCCCCGATCACTCCACCCGCACTGATTACAGGAGGCCGCCTGGTGTCGTTGTTTCAGTACGGACAGGGAGAAACCACTGCGGTGGGACCTCGTGAGGTGGTTCCCTGCGGACCACATGGCTGAAAGTACGACACCCTTGTGCTTCTTGGTGGAGCCCTTGTAGTCGCTAGATATTGCCCTTTTTGTGAGCCCTGCCTTCAACGGAGGACCTGGTAACTTATGGGCGCCTTTGGGGCCTGAAGATACTGTAAAAAGTAACGGAAATCGCCGTAAACCTCAAGTCTCCACACACTGGCTGACGAGGCTATGACTAGCATCTGTGGAGGACGCCATGTCAGAGAAGGGTCCTCCACTACTGAGGCGTAATGGTGGGTACCAGAGGCATACCATAGGTACCTACACGGACGCCTCAACGGAAATAACCCGCAGTGTACTCTGCGCCTTGTGCACTGACCGGATCCTCTTTCCATCGTCCACTCGATTGCGCTCACATGCGCCAAAAGCACCGTTAATGATTCGTTACGTCAGGGGTGTAAGCTTGCAAAATGCAAGCCATAAGCCTCCCGGCCCTCGATCATTGGATCTCTCCCGTTACACGCGCGCACGCATGTGCAGCTCAATCTACCGTCTCCAATCAGACTGCGAGTCCTCCCATAAGGCGCCCTATCTAGCTATGCCAGGCAAAGCGCGCACAGCCCAGCTTCCATTTTTGGCTGAGCTTCCCGTTTTGGGCGTCCGGGTACGAAATGCTTGATGCTGGGTGTTCCCAGTTTAGCGCAGTAGACTTTCATCGTGATGATGAGAGGGCGTAAAACGCGTGGTGCAGATTGTGTGTGTGGGCAGGACGAAGCTTGGGAGCTCGGCACAAGCGGCGCGACTTGAACAGATCTGCATGCCTGAGGCGGAGACAAATGTGTGCGAGACCAGGTACCCACGGCTTCTTTGCGATGAAGATGGACAGAAACCTGCTCCAAAACAGAACGGTCAGGTGATGGATCTGCGGTTGGTTTCGATGGACGAACTGGTCGTCTATGCGCGGCCGGGACGGGCAAAATCCGCAACGCCTCTCATTCCTTTGTTCAAGAGGTGCAATTATCCTCGAGTCCAATCGCAACATCAAGCTGCTCAGTTAAAACAATCTCTCGTCAGAAGTGTCCCCAGGACGCTCAGCTCCCCTCAGCCCTTATGTCATCCACTAATGTACGTTTTACGGCCCCATCTAGTTGCAGCTCACGCCGCTCCACGCCAGCGATGTCGACCGCTCGATCTAGCCTATCTCAGTGCAGCGCTGGTGTGAGACGATCCGTTCCCTGTTCGTTTTGTTGTGGCTGGAAAGCCTCCCGCCCCTCAATTGCTTGTCTGCCCTTCTCCGGAGACGGAGAGCATGAGGGAAACGACTAATTAGCGGCAGAAGCCAGATTGCGAATCAATGCTTGCGATTTGGGCATCCACTGTTGGATCATGGGGCGATGCTCATGTAGATTTGCTGATAGTGACGATCTAGTGCCGGTGTTGATCTTGCGTACCCAGCAGCCCGTCTACGCGCCGCGGTGCACCTCCGGTGCAATAGCCGGGTCGCAGCTACATTTCCAACAATCGGCCTGCTAGCAATGGTACAAGGCCTATCAGCAGGATTGACAGCGCCGTTGAGAGGCATGTCGATATTTTGGATTCGTCCAATCTCATAGCCAATAGTTTGCGCATTCGCCTTTTTGTCCCAAATCTTGGGGGCGCTTACCCATCTCGATATTTCCAAAACCTCATCAATCAGATCGCAAGTATGCCTCATGCTAAGCTAACCAAGATACCGGGTAAGGTATTTTGCCTCAAGCTGGACACTAACATGGCTCATCCCTGTATTTTGGGGGCTTTTCCCTCGCCAGACGGGTGAGCCAACAAAGATCCCTTGTTCACATTCGATGCTTTGATCAAGCAAGTTGGATCAGTGAAACTAGGGTTCGGAGGCTGATTTATCACATCTGTCTCAAAGATGCGCGAAGGATTCAATCCAAGTTGCCGAGATTGTCGTCACATCTGCAAGTGCGAGAAACTCGTAGGAAGACTGCATCGCCGATGATGTGAGGCCACAACAAAGGGCCGACGATGTCGCATCTTGTAGATAGCCGGGGATGTAAGGCGTGGGGAAAGACTACGTAAGTACATGGCCGTGAAACAAACATTGCGGCGAGGGTGATAACTTGTGCGGTGTAACATTTCCATTCGTATTGATTGTGCTACAAGCATAAACGTGGTATCGCTATGCTTGGCGAAAGACAAAGGCCGCCTAACTAACTGCCTCGTTCCTTTTGCTGCGTGTGTGTGGAGACATCGGAAGTAAGACCTCATTAAATATGTACAGATAGATACTGGAGTGCTGGTTGCGCAAGGCTGAATTGCTGAGTAGATCAACAATGGATAAATAATCCGCTGGGGTAATAATGGTATCGCATAACGGCACTGCAGTGAAAATTAAAAGCGCTAAGAGTACAGCAAGAAATTTACAAGGTATTGAACCGAGCACGGTTCTGCGAGCGCGAGGCGACCTGGCGCTTGACGTCTTCGGGGGCTGTGCGCATAGTGATCTTGAAGGTGTCGCGCACACGAGTGCGAAGCAACTGCTCCAAGGCATTGTAAACGCCACCCTCGATGCCTGTTTCGGTGGGATTGGCACTCTTACAGTACCGCTCAGAGAACTTGTCGATGAGCTTCTCAACCTTGCGAAGCTCTCCAAGAACAAGTTGGGTTCGGAAAGTCTCTTCGTCCTCAACCTCAAGTCGGAAGTCACCTAGCGAGATTGGTGTATGAATGAAGGCCTCCATGGAGGTATTGCCCGCAGGATCATCCTGGTCGTGTACACCGGCGATGGCTTGGTACCAGGACAAAATCTTAGTGATTGTGAAGGCAATGGTAGTAGAGAAGTGGGGGTTGGTTGAGCAAGGGCAGCCAAGCAGGACATAAAGCTTGTCGACGGCAGACTTATTGGTAGAGAGTACAGCATCCAATGTGGGAAGACCTTCCGATGTGCCGTTGAAGTCGTTAGCCGATGGTTGCGAGCTAGGTGGAGAGTACAAGCTGTTAAGTGTTTGGAATGCGAACTGAGTGCAGTCGTGGTTTGGCATAGTTGCTGAGACAGGAGGAGTGGGCAGAGGCGCAGGGACCATTTGAGGCGGTGAGTTTACCATCTTGTCTTGAGGGAACATCGAATCTGTGATAGGAAAGAATGTCTGACCGAGCGGTGGTGAGCTCAGGGGATCCATTGGAGCAAACATCTCTGGCTGACTGTGCAAGCTGGTGCTGCGCACATGCCCGTGAAACGTGGGAGCAACTGGAGTGAACTGTGGTACTGGCGCGTAGATGTCTGGTGGGCTGCCAAACATTAATTGATCATCGTTCGACCAGCCGCTCACGAGTGATCCGGCCTCGGAGTAGGATGCTGGAGATTGGCTTCCATCGAAACCGCCTCCCATGAAAGCATCCTGGTAGTTGGAATGGTACTCTGGAGTGGCAGGTCCAAAGAAGAAAGGATCTGTGGGCTCTGGAGAGCTCTCTGATGCATAGGCCGTAGTACGTGGGATCATGTCAGGTCGAGGTGCCATCGGCCCACAGTTGCTGGCAGGTGATACCTCGCGCATAATTGTTCCATCAGGGTGTCTGTTCTTGCGTGGCTTCCCTAATCTATGCTTCATTAGATTCAGACCGTGGCACATTAGAATTGTCATTCATACCTCATTGATGGGGAGTAGTTGCAGCATATTCCCATACTACCACAACGGTGGCATGTAGGCCTCACTTTGTCGCACTTGACCTGTACTTGAATCAGCACAGCTACTCATCATCAAAGACACAGTCATTCATACCTTGGCGCGGGAGCAAGCGTCGCAAGATGCCCTCATTTTGCGAGGCTTCGGCTGACCATTTGGTCGAGAAGTCATGAGAGTGGTGGCTTCTGGAATCGAATGCATGTTGTCTATCGGCGGTGATGATGCTTGCTGAGAAGTAAAGGATTGAGGAACAGCTTGGAACATGGTGTGTCTTACGAGACGTTCTTAGGGTGCAGGCTGAACGTCGGATGGTGAGCAGTACGTTATATAGGAAAGTGAATGGGGGACCAACAGCCACATGCTGATCCAAGCCAAATGTAGTAAAGATCGATGAGAAGGATTCGGCATGCAGCACGCAGGCTTCAGTCGCCGGTGCAGGTGGATGGCAGGGTGTGCATTACGCTGACGCTTGAGGGAAGCCAGGGCCAGGATGCAAGGATAGTTGCAGAAAGCGGGCACGCTTGGGTTAGCCTGGGGCTGAAGGCTGACGGCAAGTCCACACTCTACATCAAGACTAGCGTAGTCGAGGTGAGTGCATTGATGCCTGCTAAGAACTAAGCTCGAGCCGCCTCAGTGGATATCGACAAATTAACGCCTTTGGCCGCATTGTCCGATAACATTCTTAGAATGTTTGTAAATCGACCTAATGCCTCGCCGTAGATTCTCCCGCAGGCCACGAGGGCGCAGTAATCGGTGTAGAAAGTTTGGAAACATTTGTGTTCAGCGGACCGTACCGATGGGATCGGGGCTCAGTGAGTTCGAAGAGGCTGCGCAGGACAAAAAATAGCTGTCTGCGTGGAGTAGATTGCTACCAGGGGGGACCGGTGGTCTGGTATCCAGCGCCAGCGGTCCCTTTGCGGCCGTCTTTCCGACGATGACAGGCACGCCAGTCTGCAAGCCCAAGCTGCACCAAACCACATTGATTAACTCGCATCCCATCGCGCTCCAATGGCCTGCTACAGGTACTAGTGCTGACTAGTCCAGCTTTGGTAACACGAAAATAAACGGCGCTTGTAAAGTGCCTCTTGAGGTCGGCGCTCAAGATCAACATGCCTGAGGCTGCGATTATTGACATCATGGCGGCGGACTGTATGAAACGATCGTTTGCGTCTTTGCAGGTATCATGTTGGGGCAGTGTTGGTGTTCCCAAAGCCTAATGTCAGGACACTAGGTGCCACGTGGGGCGATCTTACACCGTCCATGTGTCTGCGAACGAGGAACGGATGCTGCCTACAAGTGCGGTGAAAGACAGCCCGATCGTTGATACTGACTCTGATGAGGGCTCAGCGTGGTACAGTCTCTAAGCCTGTCTAAACCGTGCGGCGATGCTGACCACGTCATTTGCTGGTATGCTGCCCCGGCCCGACTGAGCCAACCAAGGGAGGCAGAGTGTATTGCACAGAACGATGCTCAGAGCGGGGCGCCTGATAAGATGTAGGATTCAGACCCCTCCAAGATCGCTGAAACGTTAACGATGTCGCAAAATAGTAACAGTCGTAGCCTCGTTGTGATCGTGATCGTACCGGCATGCTCAGCCTCCATTACTCAAGGCTGACAGTTGCGCAGTACATCCAGCAATGCTATCCATAGCGTGTAGTACTGTGTAGGGATTCTTCAACGCCCTCGTGCTAGAACGTAAAGACCCGTTCATGTGCAGGGTGTGATGTTGGAATCGAGGATGAGGGGCAGCTGGTGGGTGTTCGCGCAGCGGCAGGTGGTGTGGTGTCTGTCCTGATTCAAGAGCTCTCCCGCCGCACGGCTGCCCCCGCGGCTTTGCAAAGCTTGGCGCAAGATTCCCGATCCTTGCCAGGTTGTTCGAAACTTTCGAGCACTCTTGGGGAGCACTGCCCAGATGTGTATGAAGATCATGGCAATCAGGCGCCCACCGACGCACACAGCGCTGCAGTCTGCAATCATTCCAACATGAACACCTCCAGGCTTCGGTGCAAGGTGCTGCGGCAGCGCAAGAATGAATGCTTTTCATCTCGGTTCTCTTGCTTGCGAAGAACTCCCCTCACGACTCATGTTGGGAAACTCCGCCCACCCCAGTCGTGTTCGACCTTGAACATTTAGCCACCGCATGTTCGAGGCGTGGGTCCTTGGGTTGACACTCTTGCTTTGATCTACTTTGATCTATACTTCCTTGAGTTCAGTAAGTCGTGCCGCACACGGCGATGTTGTTGGTATTTACAAGCATGTACTGCATGTAAGCATAGCATCGCATCTTTTGAAAAACTCGTGATAGGCTCGCAGAATTGGTTCTGCACATGAGAGATGTATCGCATCATTCGCATTAGAGTTGCGCCGCTGCTTGTACATAGTCTCGAGCACCAGACTGAGCAACCAGAAGCGCCACATGTGGCATATCTGTGAGCGCTCAGTACAGGAGAATCGCGCGTGTACTAGTCCAGCTGCTACGAGTCGTGTTTGATCGAACAAGACATTCGAAGCGTCCTGGCGCATGCACGTGTTGCTTGAAGTGAAGCTCGTGAGAGGATGGCATGCATGATGCCTGGAATGTCGGGCCAAACAAGTGGAGATATGTGTTGGAAAGTCCACGATGTGGTGGGTGCGACGCGTGAGTACGGGGGAAAAACGTGGACGTTTGGACAAGGATACCAGAGATGAGGATCCGTAGCCCCACCAGCAGAGCACGGCCAGGCGTACGCACAACGATCTTCGTGTCCAATGTCAAAGGATTTAGTTGTGATGAGATCAGCGGCTCGCGCGCTATCTATTATGCCCCTCCACCAGGGCGGAACTAATGAGACATGTGACGAGAATGCGTTGTCCTGTGCTGCGAGTTGAGCGTGACGACAGCCGACTTTGTAGTCTTGAAAACAACCTCTATTCAAGCCAATGGTGTGTCGTGCCCATATATCCAGGTACCGATAGAAAGAATTCTTTCAGTGCGTCTTCCAGTGCCCAGCGCGCATACTCACTGCTGTGTCCCCACCCAACACCAGTACAGGAAAGTCCCGCAGATATCGAACCAGATGTCAAGATTGCTCTGTGCAGTGTGTATCGCTACACCGCTCCGGCACGTGGTTGAGTGTTCGGGTTCATGATTGAGCCGTGGCTAAGCCAATTGTAGGAACAACACAGTTGATGCTGTGGGCCCAATGAGGATATTCGGAGTACAGCATGACGCATGCTCGTATACGCGGGACGTGTCTGTCGCATTGATAGTAGGGAAGCTCTAACCGCGCAATCGCACAGACCATAGTGTCGAAGTCTACCAAGCGGATTAGTAGCGTCAAGTTCGGCAAGGACGTGCGCAGGTAGTCCCGTTGCTTAACACCCAGGAGACGGTAGACTTCACCGAACGTCTGGTGCCAACGTCTCCTCATTAGGCCGTACTGTAGATCTTGAAGCTGATTGTGCCATGACGTCGGTGTACCTATTGATCATCTCGAGCCGGTTGACATTTCGGACCCCGAAGACACCTAGGTGTCCACGCTACCGCCTGCAGGCGGGTGGTGGGACAAGTCTTAAGTACCTATCAGCTGTAAGCAAGCCGAAGCCTCGTAACAACTCTACACTCTCTGCTCAAGGCTTTCCCCAAAAGCTGATGCTAGGCCCATGGTGAGCGAACGCCTTCCGACGGTACTTCCCTACGAGTACTTCGGAGCCGTACTTGAGGATCGCCTTACTGGGAAGGATTTGTCCTTCGCGCGGGTGAAGCATGGGTTGTCTCGAAAGATGGTCTGTTCCATGTCCTCGTAGAAAGCGTTGGGAGGCATGTCGCCGCTTTGGAAAAGAACTTCGAATATTCCCGTCGCAGTGATGCGCCACAATGCAGTGCGGCCTGTGCAGTGGCCGACGTTCGAGTTTGTGGCGGATTGCTTGCTGTGCAGGAGCCAACAGCGCAACGGGAGGCTGAAACAGCCGATTAAAAGGATGTGGAAGGATTCGTACCAGGGGTCTGAGCCTTGTAACTTAGCCATCGCACTCGAATTTTTGTGTATTCGTCCATTACTGCACACTGCAAGCCCGATTTATTTCGCTGTCCGAACAACATAAAATCTTTTGCGATTCACCGTGTACTCTACACTTGAGTAATGCCATGGATACGGTGCAGCGACTAGGTTTAGAGTCGCGATGTTCGCCTGGATCTGCATGTAATGATTGTCGGTGTTGATCGAGCGTCAAATTTAACAGACACGCGTTGATGTTACAAGACATCGTCCATCGGAAGAGAAGGACACCTTTAGTGTTGCTGTGTAGGATCCGCTGCTCAAGGCGGGACGAATGGTCGAAGTATTGACGACAAGAACTATCGATTAATCAGCACTACGGAAGATTATTGGACCCTACTTTTTGGTGGCAGTCCCGGAGACCGAGGACAGTTGACGTCGGACTAAGCCATCGAGCTCCAACCAATGAGTGCAAAGCAGGTTTATTTGAAAAAGACCAGCGAAGAGGTTGTCGCTTAAGATCTGAAAATATCAGTCGAGACAGATAGAAAGTCCTTTCGCAAGGAAAGCGTTCGCAGTGTCGAAAACTCTGATGTGCGACGAAAAAAAGAGCCAGAAACTAAGCTGCATGGCAGCACGAGCGGGAGTGGACTACATATATCTCCACCGGGCGGACGACGGATGAAGACAACCTTGTGGAACGGGTAGTAAGACGGAAGATCACTCAACTAGACCCCACGGGAACACCTTCCGTTACAGGTTGGCTCTGACCTCCAAGAGCCGTAAACCCGCCGTTCTTTGTGAAACCGAAAGAACAAGTCGATCCTCGATCAAAACCTAGCTTGAAAGAGTATACTATGGGAGTATCACGTCTTTTCCGCAATGGGATTTCTCTATTCTTGCGACTTCGTTCGAGCTGATACTGGACGATCCGAGCCGTTTGGGAAAGGTATATGCTTGGACTACATCATGACAGGGAGTTGGAGAGACTCTTATACCTCGGGGATCAACAAGGTCCTATCTGAATCCGTTGTCCGACGATTCACAGTGGCTGGACGATCTGCTTACCAATGTGCGTATACTTGAGCAAGGTCCACTGAGCCAATGGATAACGTATATCATATCCTAAGAGGGACGACCCCGCGACTATCACCTCGAGGTGAAACAGGCTTTTGATGGCTTCGAAGCGTATGACAAAATCAGCCCGGAAGATACTGCAGGGCTTCCCAGTCATGGGTGCATGCGCGGTATACCGTCTCAAGACCGCCAGTCTGCAGTGGCAGAAATCGTGAGAATGTCTGCTAAAGTACCCTTTGGGTCTCTGTAAACATCCGCCTCCAGGAAGTCTCTTGCAATTTTTTCCTGCGCTATCTCAGTATTCATTAGACGGCAGTTCAGGCCCACTCACTGCTTCCTCTAGCTCTGCAGCTTCTTCATCGGGCATCTGGCAACAGGCGGCCACAAGGTCCTCACCTCTCATGCTAAGCAATATGAAATTCTCCGCGCGTTGAACAATCTCAGGCGGGACTCCGTTCATAGCAGCACAGCTGTCTCATGTTAGTGCTAGCTTTACGCAAGGACTTCGGGTGATCACACCATGTGCCGAAACTGGAAGTGCTTCGTCCATCGCGATAGCTTGATTCGGTCAGCTTGATCAGACACCGACCGACTCTGCAGACTCACTTATACAGATATGTAATTTGATCGCTCGCTTCTGAAGCCTCAGTGTCGATGCGGACTTCCATGTAACCAAAGGCGAGAGTGGGTCTTGGCTTGAGAAGGTTCATCTCGAATATCTCTGTTTCATGTTAGACACCATTGCTGTGCGCGGAATGTACCTTCTACCGTGAAAGTGCGTGGCTCCAATAACTTTCGGCCTTTCAGAACCCAAGCTCAGCAGATGCTCCATGACTGCGCAAGCCAGCCCTGCTCCATCACTGGACTCCGTACCCTTGCCAAATTCATCAATGATGAGCAGACTTCTTCGGGTAGCTAGGCTCAGGGGCGAGTGATATCTGCTGTAAATCTAGCATGAATGCACTCTGTGTTCGAGAGACAGTCTCCCGCGTGGTGACTCTCGAGAGGATTTTGTCTGTCAGCCCAATCTTTGCGGCCTCCGCTGGCACAAAACTGCCAACATGGGCCATGAAGACTACCAATGCCACTTGTTTCAGATAAACACTCTTTCCAGAGTAGTTGGGGCCAGTAAGAACTAGCATACTGGGGCATTCGCCAGGAGTAGAGACATGGCGCATAGATGAACTGCTGGAATGTGCATAGCTTGTCACGTCGTGATCGTAACCGACATCAGTCGAGCTATTGTTGCCTGATCCACCCACTAAAAGCGTACCATTTGGTACGAATGAGGATACTGTGAGCTCTTGAAGGATATGACTGGTTCCCGTTAGTATCTCGCAATGCTAACTCGTTGCTTACACTCACCGGCCGCCTTTGATGCGGATAATGTTGTCCAGAGTGAGCTGAGGGCGACAAAGTTTATACAGCTTAGCGCCTTGTGCCAGAGCCAATAGGCTGTATTTCGTGAGTTCGTTGCGTATCCCATGCTGGTTGCCCACGTACCTGTCCAGCTCTCCACAAACATCTGAGCACATTGTCAATAGCTCTTCGTACTGCAGAACATATTGAGCCAACTCGTGGGTAATCTCGATCTCCCGATCGGATATGATGCCGTATACGTCGCCAAAGTGATCGTCCATCTCACGCATCTCGCTCGTCTTGAAATAGACCTGGACTCTGGCATCCATCAGTACTTATAGCCGAACCTCAACGTAGAAGCACGCAACTCAGTGGTAAACATTTGCTCCCAGAGGTTGTCAAGGCTGCCCGCATATACAGCGTCTCCAGTTTCTGGGTCGATGGGAACAGTGACGAGGAAGCCAATCTGAGGGAAGTATATCACATTGAGAGAAGCGCGAAGACCCGAAGGCATTTTCTCAGACAGCTTCGCGGCTACCTCGTTGAGTAAATCATCCAAGCCATCGAGAGTCCTCTTGAGATGATCCAACTCTTCATCGATTCCTGGGAGAATGACGGTTCGGGATTCCTCGGCGGACTTTTCGAGATCCACAGTTTCGCTAATCTTTCGGCCGACCTGAGCCAGATGGAAGCCCTCAAATTTCTCAAATACCTAACTTGGTTAGTAAATGGTATATGCTTTGCTGCAGGTGAGCGCATACCTTGTTTCTTATAGCCAAGAGCTCACCACCACCAAGACTTTGTAGCGAATCCTTTATCTGCAGACAATGGAAAGAGAACTGAAATTTCGGTCAGAGAACGCGAAATGTTCGAGCAAGACAGTAAAAGAACGTACTCCACGAAGTGTCGACCAAACGCTTCGTGAGAACCCTCCTTGGCGCTTCGCCGCACCACCGATGCCCTTTCTTAAGCTGATCATCATGACACGCATGTTGCCGACATTCTTCATGATCTTTACAATATCTCGCATTGGCGTTTCGTTATCAGGCCGAAGAAGTGTGCTGATGGTTTCTAATCTCTCGTTGATAATGTCGAGGTTCAAACTTGGTCGTAAGAAATTTTGGCGAAGCAAGAAGCGTCCTTGAGGTGTTCCTGCCAGATGGTGAAACAGCCCATATACAGAGAGACCTTCTTTAGCTCCAGAGCTACTTGGGCCTCGATTGTGAGAATGCGGATGGGATTCTGCGTCCAGAATTTGCAGCGAATGAAGAGTGTCCGCGTTGACGAACATTGTGTCTCGCAGACTGAACATCTCCAAGGTCGACACGCGGAACATCAGGTGCGCAGCTTCGTCGCCAGGTAGGTATGCAGCTGCACGCCTCCGCTGTAGATATGAGATGAGTGCACCAGCACAGCCAACCTAAGCAAACGTTAGTTGGTCTTGCGCATGCTTGCGACAGTGGGCTTACTGTTGCTTGGCTGTCGACGTCGACCCAACCGGCAAGTCGAAGAAGCTGCCCTTGTTTACCAGCAATATTTTCCTCGTCGTGCTCGTTGGCACCAAGCTCGCCTGGTATGTTGAAGCGGACTCGCGTGCCATCCTCCTCACCGAGACGTAGATTCACAAGCTTGCTCCTTGCCGCATCGTACGAGTACTCGCTTGGTGGCCGCACCTCTAGGAGAAAGGGCAGGCGGAACTGGTCGTTGTCGCCACTGACGGACCTTCCACTTCTCCCTTCGCGATCAAAGCGTTCGATGACTGCGTCGTCGATTTTCGTTGAGACGAGGATGACTGTAGGGTCGATGTACATTCTCAAGGCATCAACGACGTCCACATCCCCGCATTGGATATCCTCCATGAAGAACAACTTCTCGTCCCTCGCAGTATAGTAGCAACAACCTACCGTTCCACGGTTCGTGAGATCGACTGACATGATTACCTCGTTCAGCGTATCATCAGCCTGCAAGTCAAGAGGAAGGCTCTCGCGGGTCGTCACACTCTCCGAAGGCGCGCGCGTAGATGCGTTGTCGTCCATGAATGGGCGTCTTTGCTTCTGTGTGCGCGGTCTTGAGGGACCTGCTGATGGTGTAGATGCGGTGTGGTGAGACCTTGAGGAGCCGGAGGTGCGTCGACTGCTTGTGCTGCGAGTTGATGCATTGCTGCGACGGCTTTCGTGTCGGGATGGGATCTTGAAGGCGGACTTGCGCGTCATGGCAGGTGTGGAAGGGCTGTTGGTGAGGGTAGAAATGGTGGAGCGAGGTGGGATAGCTGCGGCGAGAGTTCTGGAAGGAGCGATCACAGGCGCACGTCGGACGCGTACCTGCCACTTCGAGGCGAACTAAATCATAAAGACACGCGCTGATGATGTAGAAGCAGAGGAAATGAGGAAGACTTCTGGTTCAAACGATGAGTGAAGTATGTACATTATGCTGACGTTTTAGAGGAGAGCTAACTTACAAAGCTACAGGCTACATGTTGTACAGTAATCAGTATAATTTACAAGCTTATTTAAACATTCATTAGGTCGTAAATCATTACGCTTTTCTCAATAACGCCTCTCTCTCTACGACGATGGGCTCACGCTGAGGCCGGAGCCGTCCTCTTTGATAGTCACCTTGGCGACGTCGCCACTGCGAATCTCACCACGGATCAGCTTATCTGCTAAGCCGTTACCAATCTCCCGTGCGATAAGGCGGTTGAGTGGCCGAGCACCGAACTTCGGGTCATAGCCACGGTCGCACAGCCACTGCTTTGCTTCATCAGGACAATCAAGAACGATCCTCCGGTCGTCCAGTCGCTGCTGCAGCTCCTTCAGTCTGATGTCAACAATATCCCTCAATGCCTCGCGCGACAGTCTCCGGAAGATGATGAACTCGTCAAGGCGATTGAGGAATTCAGGTGGGTAAGTCGCAGAAACCACATCCATGACAGCAGTCCGGACGGCGGGTGAAATCTCGCTCGAGTCCTTGTCTACCGAGTCGAGAACATCATCCCCAACGATGATGTCTGCGCCAAGGTTTGAAGTCATCACGATGATGGTGTTGCGGAAATCGACCTTATGACCCTGCGCATCCGTGAGAAAACCTTCGTCAAGGACCTGGAGGAGTAGAGTCGAGATGTCTTTGTGAGCCTTCTCCCACTCGTCAAAGAGAAGCACTGCGTAAGGCTTACGTCGCACAGCCTCAGTCAGTTGACCAGCGTCCTCATAGCCTACATAGCCCGCAGGTGATCCGATGAGCCTGGAAACGGTGTGCTTCTCGCTGAATTCGCTCATGTCGAAGCGAATGACAGCTTGCGGCGTACTGAAGAGGTATTCCGCTAGTCTCTTACACACCTCGGTCTTACCCACACCGGTAGGTCCTAGCATCATGAAAGAGGCGATGGGGCGATGTTCTCCGGAGAGACCGGCTCGTTGCAAACGGATTGCATTCGCCACCGACTTGAGGGCTTCGTCCTGGCCTTTTACGAACTGTCGCAACGAGTCTTCCATGTGAACAAGCTTCTCGACTTCTCCACTGTTGAGCTTCGACAGTGGTATGCCCGTAGTTCGCGAGACCACCGAAGCAATATCGTCTGCAGTTACAGAATCATGGAGGAGCGAGTCAGGACGAGTTCCACCAGCGGCAACATCTTCGTCTTTCGGTAACTTTTGCTCTAGCTCCGGGATCCTGCTGTACTGAAGCTCTCCAGCCTTGGCAAAATTGCCTTCCCTCCGAGCCTGCTCAAGCTCCAACTTGGCTTTCTCGAGGTTCTCTTGAGCGTTCTTGATCTCGTCAAGCTCTGATCGCTCCTTTTCCCACTTTTCGGTTAGAACCTTGACCTCGTCTTGTTTCTGCTTCAAGGTTTGTTCGAGACGCTCCCGCCTCTCCTTGCTGGCAATATCGGTTTCGTTCCGAAGAGATTCGAGCTCGATCTGAATAGTCATGATCTGTCGATCAAGCTCTTGAATTGCATCAGGCTTGCTCTCCTGCTGAAGTCGCAATGCGCTAGCAGCCTCGTCCACCAGATCGATAGCCTTATCAGGGAGGAAGCGGTCGGTTATGTAGCGGTTCGAGTAGGTAGCTGCGGCTACAAGGGCGTTGTCCGTTATCCTGACACCGTGATGCACTTCATAGCGTTCTTTGATTCCCCGTAGGATGGAGATGGTATCGGGTACGGTTGGCTCGCCGACCACGATCGGCTGGAATCGTCGAGCGAGCGCGGCATCCTTTTCGATTTGGCGGTATTCGTTCAGCGTTGTTGCGCCTGCAAGTTGCTGACTTCAGTTAGTACATGGCTCAGCTTAATGTGGTGTTTGAAGGATTGTAGCTTACCAGCTCGCCTCTACTAAGAGCAGGTTTGAGCAGATTGCTCGCGTCGATGCTTCCCTCAGCCTTGCCGAGACCTAGAAGCGTGTGTAACTCATCGACAAAAAGTATCACACCCTTTTTTGCGTCTTCTACCTCCTTGAGCACCTTTTTCAAACGCTCCTCGAAGTCACCACGGAACTTTGCGCCCGCAATCAGTGATCCAAGGTCGAGGGAGATTACACGCTTCTCTTTTATGGACTCGGGTACATCTCCACGAACAATGCGCTGCGCCAGACCTTCGAGGATGGCAGTCTTGCCGGTACCAGCGTTGCCGATCAAGACTGGATTGTTTTTCGTTCGTCGCGACAGGATCTGGATGGTCCTCTGAATCTCTCCGTCCCTGCCTATCACGGGATCTAACTTGCCGTCTCGAGCTCGTTCTGTGAGGTCTACGCCATATTGTTCCAATGCAGGTTTCTCAGGCTCGCCACTCATGTTCATTCTATGGGTTCCGCCAGGCGGATGTGGCCGCCCATTGGCATAAGCCCTGCTTGCGACGATTGATCTTACGAGACATTGTGGTTGACTTGACCGCGCAAGCGAGATCTGCCATAGCGGTGGAGGCCGGACGAGCTGGCGTGGTGAGGGTACTATGCGCCTTGCTGCAAGTCGTGTTCTACTGGTCAGCATTGTGATATGAATTGTGTGTTCAGGAAGAGATCAGTGTCTTTAGGATGACGGGGACATGATGGTTTTGATGTTCGGAGGCCGCGCAGGCACTTGCACTGACGAAGCTCCACGATGCTTCGAGGTTGTTCTACGGGAGATCCACAACAGGCGCCGCAACACAGCACTCGAATGACTCCAGAACCGAACGAAGTAGCTTGAACAATCGAGCGGCACGGCGCCCAAAGGTCACTGACTAAGTTTTATGCACGTCACAGGTTGAATGCATGAACGCGTTACGCAGGGAAATGCGAAAACACGTGAAGCTAATGCTCTTGGCGCGTCTGTGCCCGCCACTAGCCAATATTTTCCCGAGCGCAATCTGCCCTGCCTCAAAAACTCCTCACAGTCCCATAAACCCAACAACCCCTCGCACGATTCCTCACATATTCTCGAATCAACCGCAAACATGGGCTTCACCGATCTTGTATCCGACGCTGGTCTCACGCTCCTGAACAACTGGGTGAAGACGCGCAGCTACATCATTGGGTAAGTTGCTACCCCACCATGTCCCCTTTTGCGTGTTTCCATCAGCACCATCCCCTCCCGTTTCCAATGATGAGAACATTTGGTCCGTGTTAATGAGGCGGCTTAAGACCCCGCTATCTGATATCAAACCCAAGCGCTTGTCGCAACTCTGATCTATCCCACCTTGTCGTTACTCTCGAGATTGCCTATTTGGAGTCATCAATTAACACAAGAACAGCTACACGCCATCGCAGGCAGACGTCAAAGTCTTCCAGCAGATCAAGCAGATCCCCGCCCCAGAGAAGTACCCATACGCATGGCGCTGGTACAACCACCTCCTCACCTTCGAGGGCGAGTTCGACTCCCTGCCCGGTGACCCCACCAAGGAGTTCACCGCATACGGCCCTGACTCATCTGAGCTCACCCTCAACCCCGCCAAGGCACCTGAGAAGGCTGAGGAGGAGGACGATGATGAGGTCGACCTGTTCGGCAGTGACGACGAGGAGGTCGACGAGGAGGCCGAGAAGCTCAAGCAGCAACGTCTGGCCGAGTACAACCAGAAGAAGGCCGGAAAGGTCAAGCCCGCTGCCAAGTCCATTGTCACACTCGACGTCAAGCCATGGGGTATGTACCAAATACTGCCGCTCTGTTCTCATCATACTAACGTGTTCTCCAGACGACGAGACGAACATGGAAGAGCTCAAGAAAAACGTCCTCGCTATCGAGCAGGACGGTCTTGTCTGGGGTGGAGCGCAGTTCATTGCTGTCGGTTTCGGTATCAAGAAGCTACAGCTGAACGTTGTCATCGAAGACGACAAGGTCTCGCTGGACGACCTGCAGGCCAAGATTGAGGAGGACGAGGACCATGTCCAGTCCACCGATGTCGTGGCTATGCAGAAGTTGTAGATGACTGTCTCAAGAGAGGCTTTATGATGAACGATGCATGACTGGTTGGGATAGGTTACGGATTTACGTCTTTATGAGCGGTTGCTAGACGGAAAGAAATGACTTGGTACAATACCAATACCCACTGCGGGACACCAGCCACATACCACCTCCACCAGATGCTTCTGTGAACATTGCTGCTCCCCTTACTCTTAAGCAGCTGCCTTCCCCGTCCCTTTTCCCTTCGCTTGAACCTTGGACGACTCAACCATTTTGGCATCAAGGACTCTGCGACGGAATATGCCAAATACAGCCATGGCGACCTCGCCCTCATCTTGCGATGATGATGTCACTTCCGCCGCCTCTTGTCCGGCTACTTGTAGCTCTTTGAACGCTGCGAACATTGCCTTCGCCTTACGAGGCATGAAGTATTCATGGAGCTCTTGGTATGTCCCTTCTGTGAAGAGTCGAATGATCTCCACTTCAAGCTCTTGGCCGATGCGGTATACCCGCGATGTCCCTTGGTGTTCAGTCGCCCAGTTGTAGCCTGGCTCTGCAACAATGACATTGGCACATTGGTGCTGCATGTCATGGCCAGCGATGTTCACGGGGAATGTCGAAATCTACTTTCGTCAGTCGGTTCTCCGTCTTCTGAAGATTGTCTGCGGTGAGTTCGCCAGCGAAGTACTTCGAGCACTTAGCTTCCCGCTTCATGTACTCAACCATGTCATCTGCAGACATCCGCAGCTCCTGTGTCTATATCGTGGCGGCAGGGATCTCGTCAGCGACCGCGAGCTCGCTGCCGTCGGGCGTGTTTGTAGTGCTGAACAAGTTGCGTGACAAGGCAAGGATCTCTAGGATGACCTGTACTCGACGAGTTAGGATGGCAATGTCTTCGTCTAATCTGGCCTTGGTTAAGTGCGGCTCGATATAAAATCTGAACGCCACGCTCGTTCAGCAGCATAGCTTGTTCATGTTGTCGGGATAATAAGTGTCGAATGGTTTCTCATCAAAAAGAGCGAAACTTCCTACAATAAGGGAGCTGCATCCTTGCTGCTTCGCCTCTTGCTTCTTCGCTCGAGGCTGCGCGGCCTGTTCCCATTGTACCTCAGGCCTACTGGGAAATGGGAACACTTCCATCCTTCTTCTACCTTAGCCTTGACTTGATCTGCAAGGGGCCCATCTACTGATTCACAATCGCTGTGCCAATCCGTGTCTTCTGCGAACGGCTCAGCTTTAGGATGCGAAGAATGCTTTTTCATCCTAAATGCCGCATAGCGCGACTGTCGCTCTGGAGTCCTCAGCACTTGGTTCGTGTCCTGCGAGGCAGACCAATGGGGATGTTCGAGAAAGGACAGATGCCCTGCGAGGTCAAGGATGCTGTCAACGACCAGTGAACCAGTGAAGAGCCCTGGAAATGCGGCCTCAAACGAATAAAGAATGCGCCCTTGCTTGGTAGCCATGCATCTATGTATGCTCCAGGCCTCATCAATGAGTATGCGGCAAAAGAGGTTTTTTCGACCTGCAGTTGCCTCGATAGACTCACTGCAGTTTTGCAGCTGACTGAGCGACACTATGATGACGGTGCGTCTAGCTTGTGGCGAGTTGTACACAGTGTGACGGCGGTCGAACAATAGGCGTCCTTCGTATGTTTGCAGCGCGGGCATCAAGCAGGAACAATACCACATATGAAACAGCTTATGCACAAGGGAAGGCTAATCACAGAGGCGAGTGCGTAAGACGATGTAGAAGGATGAGCATGTGTTGAAATGTACAGAGACAGAAACAGTGAAGAGGATAAATGAAAGAAATGCTATCTGACGTGTAGACTGAGAAGCGTCTCGCATGATGGGACGAGACGTTTTGTGAGCAAGCACCTTCTGCCCACTGCTAATTTGCAAATGATACGGACATGTAGAAGAACGACGTGACAAACCTGCATGTAACGCTTTGCTCTGGCTATGTCATTGTATTCATGACAGGGATGCTGCGTCAGGGTGGCTTGAGAGGATGCGGACGCGCTGCAGGCTGTCCAGTAAACGCGAAGCCGGTAGAACGCGCTCGTTGGACGTGCCGCGTGGACTGCTCCCTGCGTACATATTCATCTTGGAGTGAGCTCTGCATGTAAGAAGACGAGATTGTAATGCAGACTGAATGTGAAGGACATGCACAGGAAGACCAACTGGAAAAAGGAACATCTTTGGTTTTCTCGTATGCCATAATACGAAAGGAACTCCACGGACAACGCATCAGGATGCTAAAAGTCTAGCATTGGGCCTCTACAGACAGCTTTCGCGGTCTAGCATGCATCTCTGCTTGCGAAATAACACAAAGAACTATATTGGGGAAATCCGTTACATTCTGAGTT